TTAGTGGGATGGAAATTCACTGTAGTATTATGAGAATGTTACTTTAGTCATTAGTAGGATTTCGTGTCTGTTTCTACACAATAGCACATTGTAAAAGCTAAGTGGGATTTAGCAAGTTGAATAATAATTCTGTACTGTTGGATACTCTAAAGTCGCCTTATCTAACCAGTTGAAAGTCTGTTTACTGTTAAACGCCAAGTATGTAGTACAAGTAAATGTAGTAACTTAGGCTTGATATCTACTTCACTAATCCGTTAATATGCAGTGACATCATCAAATAGACTGTTCACTTGACGATCAGCTAAGAAACATTTTTTATTTATTTTAATATGCCGTTGAATCATAGGATGTTATCTAGTATCCATCATTTCTGTGATCAAAAACTGCGGTATTTGCATGTCTACTTTATAGATGTTAAATAACCTACGCCTGTATGCATCTAATTACCTCCAGTATTCCCTATTCATTTGGTGTGTGTAAACTAAACAAGTCTTTCATAAATTCTCCCATAAATGCCAAACTTTCTAGTGTTACAAGCGTTAATAAGACCTGCTTCCTTTGTTTCAAATCAAATGAGGTATATACGAACTAAGGGAAAGTTACTCTTACTTAATCTTTAACCCTCACTCAGAGCCTTTAACGATCCCAAACAGTTCTCCTATAAACACAGTAGACGTACTTTAGATGCAGCTGCAGTCTTGCTTCACAACATTTTCTCCAGTATAGACAATGGGGCTAAATTCGCTGCACCTTCCTAGAATACACATCTGCTTTCGACTCACTACCTAGAGATATTCTGTTAGATAAGCTTGCTGAAACTCAAACTGAGTATTGGATTGTTAGATGGCTTCATTCTTATTTATCAGGGAGAAAGCAGTACACTGTAGGTCAGGGGGAAGTCGTCCATTACCAATTGTATTTTTGTTTGATGAACTTATTGTACGAATGCATACGAAAAGAACTTTTTCAAACACGCGGACGATCTAACTACTTCAATGTCTGTTAACTGCCAGCTACACTGTACTAAGATGAACAGCTCTCTATTAGGAGTGGGAAAATGCTCTTAAACTAAATCCTTCGAAATGTCAGACTGTTATTTTCAGTTTCCGATGTAAACGAAAGTTAGTTGAAGGTGTTAATTCCTATGACCGTTGCAAAATTGATAATAGTGATATGGAAATGAAGTCTGACTTTAAGTATCTCGGACTGATTCATCGCAGCGTGTTGGCCCTAAATGTATGCCACATGCAGGCATAATGTTTATGAGCTAGGTATGCAAATCATGGTAGACGCTTGTACGGTACATTCATTATTTATAAAACTAACTCGCACGTAAGAACTATGGTTTGATCAGTTATACAACGTTTAATACATTTAGACACAATTAACCTACGATGCTTACTTCTATGACGCATTACCTAAAACTACATTAATATAGTTTCCGCTGAAGGTTATCTCCTATAGTTACCACCTTAGTGGGCAACTTAGCGTTATCTTTGAATAACGAAAATTCCGAGAACTTTCTTGGTAAAAAGATCGTCCCTTACTCGAAAAAATTAAATATACCCTAGTCTCCACAAAAACGTTCAGAGGTATTCATCCTATCACCGCAAACGACTCACTATTTGCAGCCATTTAAAAAGTAAAAATAAATTTACCGATGGCAGCGTGCTTATGATTTCTAGATATCATAATGTACCATGAGGAAAACGCTATATCCATGCGGTTATAAGTCAGATGCGCGAAATTAGTCAGAAACACAACAACCACGATTCTCAGTCACATAACATCTTACTTCGCTACCTAATCGTATAGTCGTATTAACGGATGTTTCGCCGAAGAAAAGAAGACTACTGGTTCAAGGATAATTTATTTAGTTTTTTTTAAGATCGTGAACATCTGTGTCTATAGTCACGGAAGAATCACAACTTCGAGGAAACCACCAATCGTAGACTACAACCCGAAACGTTATTCTTCCTAATTAATGTCTTACCTTTAACTGGGATTGTTTGTACACTCACCAGATCACCGTATTTTATCCGCTTTGAAAACCGTTTTGCAACCCATCGAATGGATGTTAACACTGGCTCTATTACGGGTAGTCCTAGTTCATTTATTGCGATCTAGTACATCAAGCAATAATAAGCATAAGTAACACTTACCCTTAAGGATTCCAGGTTCTTTTAGTTCCCCCAAAATATACACAAGCACAACAGATTCATACTTTTCATGCGGCTCAACCTTATTTGGCTTAGATTCTCTCACAATATATTTTTTTAAATGATAGCAGACACACGGATGGTATATTCACATTCTCAAAAAGCTTCAAAGCTTTTTCAACTTCAACCCAGGTTCTAAATTCTCTGGGTTTAATTTGTTCTTCGAAAACCTTGCTAATACCAACTCTGATGGTGCTCTCTTCAACAGATTCACTCGCAGATTGTTGTATGCTGCAAACATGAACGAAAAAGACACTCTTTTTCCAGATTTCTACATGTTATGCAAGTAACTGAGCCAACAATAGTAACGGCAACCAACTAATGGACTGGAAACAACTGCTTCTGACAGCCAAACATCTTCATGTGCACAATTTCAAAACCCTCTACACAGTACTAATTCATTAACAGCTGAAAACCAACTAAAACACTCAAAGCCGCATGAATGCAAGGTATGAAAACAATTACACCGAAATGAATGCACTGGCCTGGTAGTGAAAACTTTCGAAACCAAAGAAATAATTCATTTTAACAGCAACGGAAACAAAAAATGAGGTGAAACGCAACATTTGTGAACGATACGCAACAAGATAAGTCGTGTATAACGGCAGGATAAACGGAACAACAAACGCGTTAACGAACAGCTACGGAACTGCGATCCAACATGGCCGACTAAAATGGACGAAAATGACCTTCGAGCGCCTCACTCCACCAATGACCTTGATAAGTGACGGATAATTTCAGCCACCACGGGATGAAAACGAAACAAAGTCGATTTTCCCGCTCAACCTGGAGGACAACTGTACAATTCAATAACTATACGGCCTGGTTCAGACAATCAGTGTAATTATATATATGTATCAAATATTAAACTGTTGAAACATTATTAACTTGTAGACAATTTAAGATATGACATTATATCATCCTTGATCGTGCCTGTAAAAATGGCATGCATTTTCATGTAAATTTATGTTTATATGAAAATAAATTATTATTATTAATCCAAAGTGCTTTCATCACCTTCAATAACCTTGAATTAGAGTTATGTGAAATAATTGTGAAACAGTCATTGATATTGATTTCGTGACCAGACATTAATAAGTGTTTTGCAATGAATGATGCTGGATTCCGAAATGGCTACTAAATCATATCGAAAATCCTAACGCGATTAATCTTAATAGAAATCCAGCATCATTCATTGCAAAACACTTATTAATGTCTGGTCACGAAATCAATATCAATGACTGTTTCACAATTATTTCACATAACTCTAATTCAAGGTTATTGAAGGTGATGAAAGCACTTTGGATTGATCACATACAGCCTAAACTGTGTGTACAAAAATCGATAGACTTCAATCTTCGCCTACCCTGGACTACATGACCTATCTAAATATGATTGGTCATTAGTATGTACTTTTGTTTTTCATTTAACTGAGTAATTTTCATGATCTTTATTTTATCATTGTTAACCATGCTAGTTGTAAAGCGGTTGTAAAGAAACTACGAAATGATATCATCTCGCGAAATTTGTCTTCTTAATGACTTATTCAAATTTATCAAAGGGACTAATTGTTTTAATTTGTGTTTACGTCTGAGTAACTTAAGAATCTCTCGGTTTATCCATTAGGACACTGTTTCCGACCCTTTGGGACAAACAAAGGAATCAAAGGTAGAGTTACTTGGGCATAAAGTTGTTTAACCTGGTTCCATGCGGCTTCTACTTGAGATTCTGGGTTGATGTACCAGTTAACTGAGTTGGCTGCTGAGACGACCGCATTAATATCAGCTTTCCAAACGTTTGGTAGAGCTGAGGTTTTGGCCCATGATACTGCTGCTGTGAATTTGAAAGAGAGCACAGCATGACCACTTCTTCCTAAGGGAGGAAGATGATATATGAGGCTCACATCCTCACGATGGGAGAATACTAGGTCCGGAGTTGAACAGGAGTGCTGAGAGTCATAGCGCGTGAGCTTTTATGGCATGTTGGACTAGGGCTGGCAACATGCTTGATATCAGCAGTTCATAATCAAAGAAGTTGTCTGAACATGGCGTCATAAAGCTTGTACAGTCAACTGTTGTGGTGTTGGAGTCGCCAACCACGAGAGTTTGACACTTCGATGTCCAGGAGCCTAGCTTCTCTATTATTAAGTTGTCTGCACTTCAGTTAGGACTGCGGTACATAGAAATGAGGTCAATGCCTTGGCCTATGCACTTAATTCTACAGCATAGAAGTTCTCACGATTCACTTTCGTGAGCAAGTCTTTCTATGCTACACACGCTTATTCATTTCTTGAGGTAGACGACAACGCTACCTTCTTTGCAACTTAGTAGGTCCACTCGATGCACTTCGAAGTTTGGCAGGTTAACTTCATTATTATTGACATCAGCCATGTCTCTGTGATGATAATTACATCCGGATTTCCGGAGTCTATCATATTACCCAGCTAAGTCCGTTCGTTCAAAAATCGTGAACATTTGTGAAGCGAACTGTCAATTCAGTTTGGTGCTTCCACGGCCTACCCACAGAAGTTTCGGGATCATCAAACTTCTAACTTCTACAACCCGAAAACCCTTACTCTTAGGGTTATTTTTGCTGTTTCAGGATCGTTCGCTTAATCGTAGGGCTGCAGACTGTCTTTTGTCGCCGTCTGCTAGGCATAAGTCGGCACGGACGTATATGTCATTGTCTTCAGGGATATTGTAGCAATTCATTCATCTTTCACATTCCTCTTTTTCACATTATTTTGTACAACTTCATCCTACTCAGCTGTTCTTGAAGTATCTGATGTCCACAAGAGTTAGTGCATATGTTTTACTTAACTACTTTGTTCCACTTGTGACCTACCAGCTAGTTTCACAGATGACCTGGGATTGTATAATATTTGTGTTTTTCGGTGGGATACTCAGATATCTTGTCAACAAATATGCTTCAGATGACTTCTTAGATAGCCTTACATATTCTTCTTTAAATCAGTGGGACTCTGGTATGTTTCATACCTAATTGTTGCATTAGATTCAGTTTCAGAAGGGATTTATTTACAGAATCATGGCATTTCTCCATATGACGGTGACGTGGTACATCAGGTGGGAATCTGTTTATGTCAAATTTTGATTGATAGACTCCACTTATGCTCACGATTTGGTCGAATCTGTTGAAGCTCACAAATAGGAATAAATCAATTTTCTTCTTGGTAGGTGGTTGAGATGACCATTCATTTTCTCAGGCTTTGGAATGCACCATGCTATTTTCATTGGCCGTATTTTGTCAGTCCGCGCTAAAGTTTATGCTTTCTCTACAAAAGTGTTCCAAATCCTCAGTAAACGAATCATCGAAGCATCTTTTATTAAAGGAAACGGATCTAAAAAAACTCCAGGCTCTCTCACTCATTTGGTAAGTAACTGAAAATATTTGGATGGCACTTATATAAAGGATTTCATCAGGGGCCTATAGAAATCCCTTAATTTGGTGTGGTGTTTCATGATTTTGAATGATAACATTGGTTCTTTAATTTACTCACTCTTGTCAGTGTAGTGTTGAGTATTTTTTGTTTAGTTATGATGCTTCGTAAGGGTGGGGGTTAGCCATGGCTTTGTCTTTATGCAGTAGAATAGTTTAAGATCGTTGAGTGCTTTGTGCTGATCACTCAGTTTCAACATTGAGTCTGGTAAAAAGCTAAGTGAGCCGTTCTCTAGAGAGTATATTAATCCATTTGATTTTAAAACGAGGTTTTAGTGATTAATATCTGCATTTGCTGACGATATTAATTCCATTTGTGTCAATTTGAGACCAAACACTTGTCAAAGATAGGATTCTAACTTAATCTCAAACTTCTGAATCTGAAAGACTTGTTTTTCGCTGTTTGCAACTTCCCCACAAATCTGTGATGCTTTGGTGATTTTGAAGACTGTAGTATTTTAATTCTACAATAATATCAGAATACTACAAGGCTATTCTGTGGTGATTTCCAAATTTCCTTGATCTAAGTTGGTCTGATCTTTAAGGATACGACATTAAGTGCTGGATCATGGTATCCGTTATTTATCTACAGCAGATCTATATTGTGTAGTGCAATAGCATCCAACGCAAACCTTTGATGTGGTCGTTCTAGAATATTCCGGAAGTTTAATGGTTTGTTACTTGTGGTCCATATGTACTATAAGATTATATCTATTATTGTGAATTTAGACAAAGCAATAAGAAGACGTAATTTGTTGGAATCGTGTAATGTATTTTCGCAACGTATTTCGAACAACCATAGGAATATATATATATATATAATTAAAAGACAGTTAAGCGGTGAAAAAATAAATTTAAGTCAAGTTAAAAGGACATAGTGAAGGTCAAAGTAACAATGAAGATCACTAAACCGAATAATAGGTACATCTGTTATGGTATCCAAAAAGTTTACCAAGGAAGTTTTAGTGTGAAAACCAATTGTTCTTAAAAGCATAAGGGTGGTTTAAACTTCCTGATTGCTAGGGCTTCCACAAACTTTAGGATACACCCCAAACATGTTTCATAGATAGGTTTAAAAGATGTGTGAACATCAATTTTATATCCTGTCTCTATATTATGTTTCGTGATAGAGGAGCTAGTTCTCATGCTTTCACCATTAATGGGTTCTAGGAATTCAATTTGCTTTTGGAGCCATTTAAGAGTATACTCTGAGTCTATTGATAATGTGTATTCCGTGTGAAATGAGAATTTTCGTTTGTTTGAAAGCCTTTCATTATTAATTTCATAAATATAAGGAGTATTTATGTTGAAATACAGTTCACTGCGTGGATGACAATGTTCACGTGTCTGCATTGAAGTATGTGTAAATCATAAGCTTGTATTTTGGAAGCGTGCATTCTTGCTGGATATATTAATTAAATGAAGGCATTAGTTGTGTAGATATCGTTGGTTATAACAGCCTTATAAAAATAAACTACCATAAATTTTACACTTAAATAAGAATAAAAGACAGTATTTCAGTACAGTGACCTTAGTTTCTCGCTGTTTTTTTTGTAATGTAATGTTCAGGTATTCACTTAATCCTTACTCAATACTAGTATCTGCCTCCAGTTCAACCTGTATCGTGTATAACATAGTATTCCTGTGGATCAATATTTCCATCTGTAAAGGTTAGTTGTTCACTTCTTTTATCTGAGTTTATCTAACATTGTAGGAATAAGTTTACTTTCTTGTGAATCTGATTTATTTTTCTAGGCACCAGCTGGTCTCACCTGTTAGGTTTGAATCATTGTCCAGTGCATAAACTTCTAATAATGATAATAATAATTTGCTTTATTCCAAAACAGTACTTGTGATACAGAATGGAATTCTCAGCATTTTACTACAGTATTGCATCCAGTTTGTACATTAACAATAAATACAATTCTACATAGATTAAGGGTAATCTCAGATTAGTTTTAACAACAACGTATTGGCATGTCGGTAGCAAAGCCAAAATTGAACAGAGTGTTTGAAGGTGTTTGAAAAGTAGATGCTAGCATATTTACTGGCGTAAGCGGTAACAAAAAAGTCGAGATATACAGAGTGTGAAAGAACGAAGAAGAATGTTTTAAATAGAGTTTATAAGGAAGAAAGAAACAAAGCAGCACATAACAGAAAAAAAGAGAAAGGGAAAAGAAGGAAAGAAAACGTTGTGCCTATAAATAGTATGAGTTAGAAAGACGAGATCCAGTTGTTCTACCGACTATTTAATAAGTTATAGGTATCACGCCTAATGGTCTCCTTATCGCACAGAACACGAGTTAAGTAGGGTATGGTTGAGTTTTTGTACTTCCTATATAGTTTTCTATATAGGCTACTGGTTATGCCTGATGAGATACAAGGGGAGAGTTGTGAATGAAGAGGGTTTCTAACGTGTTTCTGAGCTATATTAACGTTACTAACTATGCATCTCATCGGCATCACTAAATTTCTCTTTAGTTTAAGTGTCTATGGTTATACAATATACGGTGCATAATGTAGTCATGTCACTCATACTGTTGGACGTGTACTACTGCTTTCGGCGTGTATTTAAATACGTGTTCCAAGCCATTGCCTTCCCTGTCGAGCAATGTTGGCTAACATAAAATTAGGTTGGATATGGGATAGGGGTGCTGAATTCAAACCTGGAATCAACATATGAAATCTTTAAATATTTGTTTGAGCCATATAGGAAGGTGTCGACCTCCTGTTTGGGGTCATCAAAACACTAAAAACCAGTGGTTTGAGACTTTGATGAAATGGCTCAACAACGTTCTCAACAATGTGTATGTATTCACTCGTAATAAACGAAACCCACTAAATTCTCATTTTTCTTTATATACTTATTTTTGTCCCGAATACTTCTGTTCATTATAGTTCCTTTAAATCTTAGTCTACCTTCGCATGCTACATAAAGTGTAACAACTTAAACTATCTCATTTTTGTGCAAAGTTCTATGCAGAAAACTCAGTCTGTCAATGTATTTATAGAAGGTATTAATAAAATCTCATGACTATATTTTACTAGCATATTCCACTGTATACAGTATAATTGCCTACTACTGTTCGTTCAGTTTATTTTTCACATCAACATGTAATATTAATCAGAGCAGACCAATATCAAAAGAAAGCATCTAGCACCTGTCTAACTATTGTTGTAGAATGTACAAGTGTAGTTGGCCTGGATTGACTCCTTGAAGAATTAAAAACAAGTAGTTTATGACTTACTCAGAAGACTCAAGTTATAAACAAATGCAGCTTCAACAAGATGTAGACGTTGGTCCTCCAATTTTAGTTGAAGTTGCCAAATATTCCCACAATTCAAAAGGTTTTAAGGCAGAAGGACCTGATAGTAGGACTCCAGATGTGTTTAAGTATTAGACTACTTAAAATATTAGAATTCGAAGTAGTCTCACTAGACCGTTGTTCATTGTCTGCAATACCAGTGTATGACTAAAAAGATCGTCCTGTCGTGATCACAGGAATATCAGCTTGACTAGAGTAGTATAGGAGATCCAGATTTTCATTGACTTGTATAGTCTAAATAGAGTCTGGAGAAAGCAAACTCATGAAAACCAGGTAGGTTTCAGACATAGATAAGGGTGCATTGATCAAATGTACATCCTTTAACATATTCTGAAACAGACATACTTATCGGTGTTCGATAATTTCCATATTTTGTTTTTCTGACAGCAGGATTTAACTCTGTTGATCGGGGGGTACTGTGCCATTATGTTGCTTCTAAGGGGGTTTCCAGAAACTTCCTTATCAAAACTCTGAACCCAGTTGCATGCAGCCATGTAAGAGGCTGGCTTTAAAGAGTTGTCTTCCGAAATGAAGAAAACTCATTGTGTCTGTCAGAAACACTTACTGCCAATATGGTTATTTAATTTGACTGTAGTTGAACTAGTGGATGTGACCTGGGTCGACTGCAGTGAATCAAGGATTGAATTACTGTTAGGGGAACTTCTTGGTATACAGTACACAAATGATATAGGTTGACTTGGTGAAGACGCTAACAAGATAGTTTTCTGAACACTGAGCAGGCATCTTAGTATGTTTGGTATTAGATTAATCCCCTATGAAATGTAAAATGTTACCAGACTGGTCTGCATTGACTTCTAGTTTGAAGATAAGCCGGCGAATTTGCGGCAGCCCTAATGGATTGTTCGTCTTATCATAAACACAAAGGATTCGTTTGACATTTTCCAACTTGCGTCATGATATTTGGCTTTATGTCAAAGGAGTGTGTACTGTGCGAAATTTCGTTTCTACTTCCTTTATGGCTTTGAGACATAGACACTGAAGGTAGGAAGATATAGAGGTTAGCGGTCTTTAATATATGTGCATTAGGTAGTGTAATATTGTCAGTTGTATGAAGGTTGGATAGAGAGGAAAAGTCAGCCGATTCGGTTGTGAAGTTGCATCGATGGAGATGACTAGGGCATGTGTCACACATGTCATACACTCCAGTCATTTAGATTCATTCCATTTACTTAGTTAAAATAGTTGCGTTTTCTTATCACTGTCACTTTTACGTTGAATAAGTCGTGATTGCTGTTACTCTCTTCAATTTAGGCTACCTATTGCTGGCTTCTGTTTTATGCGCTTTCGGATGTTATATCCATCTCTATCCAGGATACCTGATTTTTCCAGTTCTAGCTGCTGCTTATTTGGTAAGTTGGATCTCTTCTATCTTTTTGTTCAGATCATTACAAATCATATTTGTTAAGTGATTAAGGAAACTAGGTTCCTGCATTATTGTGTTATGTGTTATTATATTATTACCTTTGGTTCCTAGTGGAACATAGGGTTTCAACAGCACATCTCAATCTCATCCTAATCTCCACAGTCGTCTTTCGGTGGCTCCATGGTAGCTGATAAACTTTCATTTTCTCCCAGAATCTCCCCCACATCACCCTTGGACGTTCGACTCATGGTTTCCCATTCGGGTTCCACTCGAGGGTTTGGCTGGAGCACGATGTCTTTCAGTGATCTTCTCAGTGTGTGTCCGATTCATATTCCTCCCCTCCGACATTTGTTGGGCGATAGGTTAGGATTCGCAGCTGTCACCCAGGCGACATGGGTTCGATGAGGGAGCGCTTTTGTCCCAGTAACTGGATGGTCAATGAACTTGATTCGTAACCTGAAGATTCTGGATTCTATCTCTGGTGGGGTTTCGGTGCGTACCGGTGCGTACCACAGACGAGGGCGAAACAGTTGTTCAGTAATTCTTTTGCAATATGCTAGACTACTAAAATCTGATGAATCTAGTCTCATATTCATTTCCTTCAAAGCAAATCGTGTAAAAGTTGGAATCGCAAATGAATAATTGAACTACAAGTATACATTAGGTGGTGAGAAGCGATCAGAGTAAGATCTTAAACCCTATGGGTCTTGTTTGACAATGTCTATCAACAAAGTATGTATGCAACGTTATGGAAACACATTCTGTTGAAATTCTAGTGTGAATAATTGGCTAACTACTTAAGTCAGACATTTTGTTGGTATTGATAGACTATTCAAACCTTACTGAATGCCTCTTTTGGAATTGGAATACGTAAATAATCACTGATGTAGTTGTGTCACGTGTCACACGCTAATTGAAGTTTATTGATTATGTCATATGCATAAACTAAATAAACAAAGCGTACATTCTCAATGAGATATTAAGTATTGAAAATCAACTAAGAGACTATACATAGACTTCTATCTATACTGTCAGTATTTTGATTTGTGACTAGTAGTTTTCGTAAGTGAAGAAAAATGAAATGTTACTCAATAACCACTTGCAAATCTATGAATAGTTGACACTGAGCCACACTTATTGTACAAAGGAAAGTGACACTACCTGTCTGCCCTCTAAACCTCGCTAGTTGGAGCGTATTTCGGACCTGTGATCCAACCAATGGGTCACGGCTTCAAACCCCTCTTCCCTGGAGGAATAATGTATTATTCTTACTATTGTTTTAGTTGGTAACAGTCTCTGGAAAAATGAAATAATTTATGGCATAAATTCATTTTTTGTGCGTCGGTGGCATAGCGGTTAGGACCATGCACGTGGTCTGGGGTTTGATCCCCGGCCGACGCACTCCTTTACCTCGCCAAGCCACAAATAATGCTGGTAAAGAGGAAAAGTTGGGCATGAGGCTAGCAACCCCATCATGTAAAATTAACACTGCTATAGAAACTTCAAGCCATTAGCTTGAAGCCCTATGTTCCACTGGGGAACGTGGAGGGAAAAAAATAAATTCATTTTTGGCAAACAATGATATCATTTTATTTTGTTATTTCTTATCCATCTGAAGTTAGCCAAGTAGCGTTATGTTGCATAAGTTTATTTGATGTAACACAGTGTGATACAGTAATAATTCCTGTTTATTAATTCACTTTTGCATTTATCTGGAATTGATGTTGTGTTGGGTGTTGGATTTGGTGAGCAACGATTGATTGACTAACCTCTATCTCCAGCTAACTATATTGCTTGGTAATATCTGTATCATATCATAATCTGTTGAAAAGCAGTGACCGAGGTTTTTCCTAAATTACTTAACCTACAGAGGTCAGTCACCTTAGATTTGGCTAGATTCCTTTGTTCTGACAACCTAGGTCACCTGTGTTATTTTGGTTGCTGGAGATTAGCATTTGGATCCAGAGTGGTCATTCCGTCCTATTTGGGACTCACCAGCTCGATCGTTTCAAACGCCGAGCAATTGTGCAATACGTATTAGTTATTTTTTGTCCTTAGATTAATTTACATCTCCCGTTGATTAATTGATTATGCTGAACTGAAATGTTCGGTCTCCGCTAACGTGCCCGGGCGCCTAGTACGAACGCTACGACAATGTCTAAAGATGAACATGAATTCATTTGGGTTGTAAGCCTGATAATAAGGGAAGACTGAGTGTTAGGCTAGCAACCTCACTCCATAAAAAGGAATAATACCATCGCTGTTGAAACTTCAACACTCAAATCTTGAATCCCTATGTTCCACTCAGACCTCAAGGTAATAAAATATAAAGATATAAGAAAAGATATTTTGACTATTGGCGACTGACAGTTGAATCCAGAGTGCACATTTTGTCCTATTTCAAGACTTGTCAACATCACATTAATCTAAAGACATCATTGAAGCGTGTGTACTAGGAACTCGGACGTGTCAGCAGAGACAAAGCATTTCCATCCAACATAATCAATCGACGGGAAATGCAGATTAATCTAAAAACAAATACTAACTCATCCATGCCTACTGGTTTCACTCGGGTTTTTGACAATACAGTTACTACATGATATTTAGTTAGTAGACAAATGACATAGAATCCAGCATCTTGTGGAAGATAATGAGCGGGAGGACAAGGACAAAAATAATCTAATTAAAAATTAGTGCAAATTAATAAAATTCATTTCAATTTCGACTACGGATTGATGCCAGTTAGAGGACCATTGAAAACCACCAGAGTTTGGAACTCCTTAGGAGTACTACTCACCCACCGGTGTTCGTGCTCGGGACTTTCCGGTTACAAGGTGAGCTCGAAGACCATTCAGCCATTGGGACTCGTTTCTCTGACCCATGAATTCTAACTTCTGTTAATTCATGGTTTCCGCGCGACCACCAGGCAATGTTGTCGGCGAGTATTTATCCCCACTCCTAACCGACGAGTCTCGAACTAGGACGAAACAAATGTCCAGTACTTCCTGGTTGTTTTCACTGGTTTTCTAACTGATATCAATCTATGGTCAAACTTAAAACAAATCAAATCCCTATAATCTAATTCTTGATAATCTGTAAAATTTAATTATAAAATCGAGGTGACACACATCATCCACCCTTAAGAGATAGTAGATTTGATAGTTTAAAGCATTTAATTCGTCTAGGTAATTAGAAAAAGTAATAAATTCTGTATGAAGTTAGCAGTATTTCATCAAGATATTGACTCACCACTTAAGTGGATTTCAAACGAACTAAACAACCAACTGGCGTTTCGATCACATCACAATCTGTGTAGCAACCACTACTGATTGATGTGAGCAGTATGCAACTACTCATGTAATTCAGTCGGAAGAATAGAGCGTCCTACATTTATGCTGGCTTTCTTGATTGCCATTTATGGTATCAGGTAAATCGCACATGATTAGTGATCTAGGTAATTTCGGTTTCCAAAGGAAACTGTGGTGAAATTTCACGGTGAACTGTGGAAATTACAAATCGTGCATTTATTCAGAAATTGCAAGTTTGAATTAATTATGAACTCGGGTTGAAATCATTTAGTGATGATCTCAGTTAAGATGTGCTATATAGAGAAGGAAGGGGAAAAAGTAGTAAATTCTGTTCTATCCGTTCATATTTGTTTGAAAAGGGGTTTTAACGTTTGTCGCGTGTTATTATCATTACTCCCTTGGGTTTCGAGTGGAATAGACAACTTCAGCAACACATCTCCACTTTGTTCTATTTGGTGCTGTCCTCTTCAGCTGAGTCAACAAATGCACATAATCTCTCATCTCCTTCTCATACGATTTCCTCCATGTCACCCTTGGACGACCCACTTTTCACTTACCATTGGGATTCCACTCGAGACATTGCCTGCCACGCTATGTCATTCGAAAGTCACCTTAGTGTTTGCCCAATCCATCTTCACTTTCTCCTAAATATTTTTTGATTGATAGGTTCTTGGTTGCTTGTTCTCAGAGTTTCTTCTTGCTGATTCTTTCTCACTAGCCATTTTATCTTCATTATGGAGCCGACGAATGCAGCTGTTGATAAAAGTTTGTAACTTGTTGGAGATCCTCATCGTGACACACAGTGCAAGTTTCTGATTCACATAAAACAACTAACTGACTTCACATTTGTGTTGAAAATCTGAATCGTGTTCTTCATGCTAAGTCAACACTGAAGGTGATGAAGACGTATCTTGCCTTTCCCATTTAGACTTGTTTTGACATCTTCATCCGTCCCAAATGCCTGTGGTTGAAATCGTGCTTCCTAGCCAGATAAGTGAAGGAGGTAACCTCGGTCAAATCTCCTCCGTTGATGGTGATTTGTGCTGGTTGTTGTTGTTGTTGTTTTTGCTGTTGGTTGGTTGTTGGTCATCTTCATCACCTTCGTCTTCTCTGTGTTCACCTGGAGTTCTGTCCTCGTTGTCCGCTTCTTCTGTCAGTTTGTTGTTTTTTGCTTGTAAGCCTTCGAGTTTATGTAACATATTGGCTACTAGTAAAGAGGTTTCAACAAGTCTCAGACAGAACAGAACGCATGTTCTAGCTTTAATAAGTGATCTAGAGATTAGATGAGAAGTGAAACTCATCAATAATTACGTAATTCGTACCCAATATTTCAAAGTCATCATGATGGTCATTATTCACAAAGCCTAAAGAGTTGTGCCCCCCCCCCCGTTAACGTGTCATGGCGATATACTTTTAGAAAAAATCTTAAACAAATTATCTTCAGTGGCCTAGTTTTATTATAATACAATTTTCGAACTCTTTCATTTTGCAACTTTTATGAAATCCATTTGTATTTGTGTAGAGTTGATCAGGGCATTTCTTTTTGCTTTACCACAGCGTTCATCAAATGAATTAAAAACAACAACAATCAATCGTGTATTAACTAGCTGTCTTCCTCTGTTAACTGCTTTCATCACCAGTTTATTAACTCTCCTATGGATTAGTTATATTATACAAAATAATGATTGGAGATTTTTAACTTCAGTTTATTGGCATACGTAAGTATACACTTTTTGTTTTGTTTTTTATTACTTTATACTATTTTTTTTTATGGCAATGAGGTCAGTGGTTGAGTAGTATAATACTCGCCGACTACACAGGAAGTTCAGGTTCGATTCCCAACCAACGCACTGCCAAATTCTCGAATAACTCTTAGTAAAACCTAGAAAAGTGGGGAGGTTAGGTGTGGGAATGGCAACTCCACCCCGTAGAAAAAGTACACTACTACTGAGACTTCCAAAAAATCTGAGAGTCTGAGGCTCCATATTCCACTTGGAACATGAGGAGTAGTTGAAACAGTCACGAAAGTTATGCTACCAATATTATTTTTTTTTCTGGTATGTATTTTGGTAATGAGTACCAGTAATTCCTCAAATTTAATCTAGCGCTAGATACTACTTATTTTGTATTACAGTATATGATTTATAGCATGGGATATTGGTGTTTTTTGGGAGGGGAGACGGGTTTTTACTTGATTCAATAAACTTGTGTTTAAGTGAAATTCGGAGTGTGTATATGTAACCGTAAGGTTGATTTGGATCATAGCAGTGAAGAGTTATTGTTCACACTATATTTGAAAGGAAAGTTAACCGCCCTCACCTCTGAAACGGCATAATTTTACGGATCTAAAGGGTAGATCTTTCGCACAAAGTAGTATAAGCTAGAGGATCGTTGAAATACCAAGGAACACACTGTATAGCTATTTCTTTGTAGTTTAGAAATTTTCAGTCGCGCCACAGATCAAGCAAAGTACTGCTGTCAAATGGCAAGGTGAGAAACTTACCATTCGTCTGTTCATTGTTCTCAGATTTTTAGTAGTATTGTTATTGTAAAGTGAAATAGCATATTTCAAGTGCTTGAAGGGATTTGATTGATTTCAAGTTTGACCACAAACTAACTAACATCAGTTAGAGAACCATTGAAAACCACCTGGGAGTACTTTGCACCTGTTTCGTCCTACCCCAGGATTCTTCATCAGCAGTGGGCCCCCTCGAACCTCCCAGGAATTCAACACAGGACCTACAAGTTGCAAAGCGAGCTCATTAACCTGAAGTTCCTAGGTTCAATCCCTGACGAGGTCATAGGTACGTAGTTCCGAAGAGTCCCAAACATGGATGAAGCAGATGTCCAGTTTATCTGTTTTCGACATAGAACAGATGTCCAGTACTATTTTTTGGTGGTTTTCAATGGTTCTCTAGCTGAAGTGAGTTTTTTTATTAAACTTAAAGGCGTATTTGTTCAGTGTATTGATCGATTATGCTTCATGTGTATTGAATGTAGTTTTTTTCCTGATAAAACCTTTTGTTGCGCACAGCTGAATGCGATGTCTTATGTAAACTTGAGAATGTTTACAACTAACTATACGCATAAAAGTTGTGTTCTGTGTTCTGAAAATGTCAGAAAATAATAAAGTCTAGAAACAGAAATTATCTATCGTCTACTTGCACAAGTGTCATGTTTTAACCTGTTCAAGATTTAAGCCACCTAAGGTGGACGCAAAAAATATGTTGTAAAATAAGCAAGAAGTGTTTACACACACTACGCAGATTGTGAATGACTGCCAGTCAGTATCTGGCATGATTGTCTGCAAAATATGATTGTGAACTGTGATATTTTCCAAATAATTTTGTTCTCTCTTTAATCATTTTGTCCTCAAACATGCCTTGCTGATGAATCCCAGCAAATACAGAACGTAGATCCAGGGTTTTTCATCGAATGCTTCCAGGCATCTAACATTATTAGTCTATCTAGGTTATTCAATCAAGCACTACTCGCATGCGAGTAGTTGGGATGAATTGGCAAACAAGCTGTACGACGTCATAAGTTAGGCTTCATTTACATCAGCACGTTGATGTGAAGTATAATAGAAAGAAGCTTAGAATAAATGTACAGGTTGCTTCAGTAGACAGGAAGAAAGAAGACGGTAACATTCTTACAATGTACTGAGTAATAAATGTGTTGCTGTTTAGGCTTTTACATTTTTCCATCCAATAAAGCTCAGGAGATTACACGTCTCTGCATAGCTTTGGTCAGTATTTAGAGAATTCACCTCAGTTAAAAGTCACTTGCCTGCAAAAACTCTCTTATGTATCAGGGGCTATGATCCAGACTTAATTTGTGAGGATTGATAATACTACGCAATTGTCCAGGCGGAATTAGACTAAGTGGAACTCGAAACTAGGACCTGTTGGTTGAAATTCGAGTATTGTAGTCAATGAACCTCAACTGATCATAGAGACTTCATTTAATCGTGTTAAGTCTTGTTGCAAAGCACATTGTGCTGGTTGTTACCATAGCTCGTAGAGTATATATCCTAGCCTTATGAGTTGATGAAAGTTTGCAGCTTCATCAATATATTTGAATTCTTTGTCTTTAGTCAATTTCCAATCCAACCAAGTCGAACATTGATTAGGTCTGATCAGTTTGACTACCGTAGACAAAGAGCAGTGCTGGTCGTGGTGAACACTATGCGAAAGTGCACTGACAAGAAGATCCATACATCCTCCGATGAGTAGGGTACAAGATAAGTGAGTCATACATAACTACAGATATTTGACCACTTGCATTTAGACAGACACTGAAAGGTGGACAATATGCCCAAGCATGAATAATGCTCACCACCTGGACTGGACGACAGTTCAGCTCCGCGTCCGAGCGATTCCACGCACTGTCTTCTTCCTCTTTAAGATACTTTTCGACTTTTCCTAATGGTAATTGTTTACTGTTGAACTCGTGTGTGTTCAGCTTTGGATGTATTGGGTTGAATTCTTAAGCAATCACTCTGGATACTACTGTCATTCTTGCTCTCTACCTTTATGGGCATTTCGCTCTCTTTGGGCTATAACATTTTCGTGGCATTTTAATTAACTAAGGAGATTTGTTGATAAATATCCGTAAAAACCTATTTATTAATGGTCTGTATGAATGTTTGAAATGTTTTTAAAACTTGTTAAAAATAGAGATTAATACAACTGACTACAGAAAAAGATGCTTTTTATAACATTGAGCCACTGTTTGACCTTTATGATTATCTGGGATCCCATGATAAGTAGTGATGAAATTATATGTAGAGTCAATGAGTTTGTAATTATCCATCGGTTGGAATATTTAGGATATGTGTTATGCAAGCTGAACTACTGCCAGTCTTGACCACCAGTGTTGTTGGCTGAAAGGGGATTTGGTCGGGAGAGACTTAGTGGGGGTCGGAATCGGCCCATGAACTTATTGACTATTAGCCTGAGTTACACAGGGGATCATGCTTTACCACAGTACACTACTGTAATTTTTATTTATTATTATTATTAAAACACAGACTTGGTAGATTATGGTTATCAAGGTGTGCACCACACTCACAGTTTTTGCGAGGACTGGGATACTTCGCTGGCGCCTAGACCAAAGCAGGTTATTGTTTTAAAAGGCTCCATCCTGAGCCTTTGACTTGAAGTCTGATCCATGAGCCAGTGGAGCATCGTCTGGAGCAGCATTCTCATGGTTGACGGTGACCAAAACAGGTTCATACACCATGGTTTCGGAATCAGAGTTTTCAAGCTCCCCTAGGTAGACCAGCATGTCCAGTTGTAACGGCCAGCCCTTTGCATTCACCCTTTGACTTTTGTGGTGGAAAATCCCACCAAATGAAGGCAGTGAATATCACTTACTTGGCATAGGCTATGGACGCATTGTCACATGAGAGCACTTCGAGAGGAAGACTGAAGTCTACCCAGGCACGGCCATACCAGGTCACTTATGCATTGTCTCTGACTGGGGTCCTCAAGATGCTGAGAGTCAGTGGTTGGTCACCCTTAGTGGCGCGATTCGAAATTGTTTGTAATAAGAAAGATCTCTGTTCTTTTCGGAGGTGACTTTTATCAAATCTTTTTTTATGTATGTATATATGGAAGTCCAGTGACAATGACTAACACTTCTAGATTTTGTAAAAAAATGGGCGTTTACTTCGTATGTAGCATTAATATATTGAATGTTAGCAAATCCAGCTGGTAAGTTTTTAAAATGAAGAGACATTCACTCTCGATTCTATCGCTAGCTACTATTTTTTGTGGCCTTCGTTCATTGTTCTGATAATCAACTTCTAGTCGTCGGATTGAAAGTCCGGATCTTGTCTTCCACATTCCGTGGCTTCAATGTCAACAGTGCATCATCACGGTTTACACACTTGACATGACTCATTGTTAAATATGTGGACATTCACTTTTCCCCTAATATTTATATGAATTTCAAGTTACTTACCATGATATTATGACGTGTGCTGACTGTTTAATAACCTCTGTTGACTATATGCATGAATTTATGTTCACTAATGTGTCGATATATGTATGCATTTCTCTCTCTCTGTCTCTTCATAGAATAACCGTAGCTGATTGTACTCCTCAAATGGGTATCTATTGGTATATGTTTGTTGAAATGTTTGAACATTTCCGTGAATTTTTCACCTGGGTTTTCCAACTACTTATATTTATTTTAGTAGTTGGACTAACACTTAAATTCAGGTAAGTTATTGAAAGTTGCTAATATAGTTGAAAATTTCGAATTAAAATAAAAAAAAACTCAAATAGGTGGTTTATTATAGGAAGAAGAGTACCAAATTTATTTCTCCATGAGGTAGAATTAAATATAATTGAATGGAGTAATAAAAAGACAGTTGCAGCGAAGAAAATTCTCTTTTCGACAAAGTCAGCAACTAGGCTGTACATTCGTGTATTTATAATAGACGAGTGGGAAAGTTCCAGAATAATTTCCGGTCAGGAGTGAAATTAGTAAAATTATAATTAGGAATTAAAATGCCATAATAAAGAAGGGGGGAGGCGGATGAAACTCAAACAAAGCAACATCATATATGAATCGGATGTTAATCAATAACCAGTCACAATTCTATGCACAATAAGCCACATGTATTGTGTGTTTATGCGACTGCTAGTGGGGTACTCTCTGGCTGTCCGAAGCTCTGTAGGTGGATCAACGTTCGAAACCGTGACTCATTGGTTGTAATGTTGGAGTTTGGTGTAGCATGTCACATAGACGTGTCTCCAGCTTATGTCCAATCCATCGACTTCCATTTCCTTCTGCATGTTTGTTGAATGACAACTTCTTGACTGGCTCGTTGTCAGCTTAGGAAAAGCTTTAATGGGAATAACGTGGCAAACAGTATATAAAGCTAAATTTGTTTAATAATTGTGATATTTTACTTTAGTGTATATATACGCAAAATGGAATTACAACCATCACCTCAGTTTTTGTCTGTTTGAAAAATAAAACAGCTTTGTGAGAAGTTAGAACTCAGTTCCCCGAAACAGGTTGTTTATATACCAGGATACAGGCTACGCTTATTGCGTAATGGCTGATGGTAGCATGCAATTAGTCACTTGGGATGAAATAGTTGAAGCTAGATTTCAATTTCGGGCCTTCTTGCGGAAAGTTGAGCGCTTAAACCAACGAGGAATTACCTTCACCACTGATTGACATAAGCATTTGAAAACCACTCACAAATAGTAGCAGTAGGGTTTAACAGCCAGGTTGAAGTGATCTCAATACTGAACGAAGTTGTTGCGATTGCTTGAGGCCGAGGTCATCAGCTATGCACTTAGTTTGAATCAGTTCAAATCACCCGAACTCTGATTTGCCATGTATGATATTAAACAGATTACGCATTGTTCCGATACCCTATCTCGAACTATTTCCCACCAACTAAAGGTGTTCTTCAGTTGTACTTATGAATATATGAATCAAGTAATGTAAGGTGAATGTTTTTTGCGATTTGCCTATTTTAGCTTTGTTAAATCAGGTAGGTACAGAGTGTGATTCACGGGATGGTCTGATCGTATCAATTCAGTTCGTTCCTCGTTCTACATACCATCAATATTCCTTTTCCATTTCCCGCCTACCATCAGCCTATATGATTGAAGTTGTTGTTATACTGGAAATTCACAGAAATCATTGACTCTTTCTCTTATTTCTTCTCAGAATACAATGTCTTATTGTTTTTTTTATTTGAATTGTGTCTGTGTGTGTGTGAGCATTTGTGTAGGTGTTTCATTTTGGGTAAATTAGTAAGGTGGAATTATCGACCCTCACGAAGATGCGAATAGCTTGAGGAAAATATCACTGCCAATACAATCAAAGGATACAAAATTAATTGGAATTATTATGTAACAATAGAAGACAAGGGTCAGACAACAGATCGTTTATTAAGGAAATCAACACGTATTTATATATTTTCATGTACATTAGTATAGCTTATTCAAGCAAACAAACACAGTCTACTGATTGGCTGTTTCTCACAGAAAGTTGACCTTGCATCTCTTTGTGTTTCTTGAATGTCAGGTCATCTATATATTAACTGTATCTGCCTACGCAAAGTGTGCTGTGATTGGTTGTTGAATCAGTCTTGTTCATATTTTCTCATGGCCAGTGTTTGCGACATACCCATTGACGTAAAATGCTGTCTACCATTTTTAGCTAGCCTGCTCTCACCACAACTATATAAATAAAGTATGGGGGTTATTAGTGAGTGGGCGTCTTTAAATGATGACTTTGAGCAGCAATAAATTGTGCTCGAAGCGTTTTCATCTGTAAAAAAATAATGCTGTATCAATGTATGCATGTGTGTGTGTGCTTTTATCAAATGATATCATTCTATGATAGAATTATGTTAGTTAATTGATAATACCATTTTGGTATTTGTATACTTAATTACAATAATAATAATAATCACTTTATTCCATACAACAATAATGATTATACAAAATCGTGCTTACTGCAACAATTTATCTCCTTTTGCAAATAAATAAATAAATAAAATAGTAAAATTAATAAAACTACAATGGCTGAAAGTTAATAGAAAAAGAATCATATATGCGTGTGATACTGATGCTTGGTAATAAGTTACTGTTTATTTACAGATTATAGATAGGAGTAGGTTTTTTCCCTCACGTTCCCAGTGAAACATAGAGTCTCAAGCTAGTGGCTTGAAGTTTCTGTAGCAGTGTTTAATTTTACAGGATGGGGTTGCTAGCCTCATTCCCATCCTTTCTTTTTCGCCAGTCTCATTACTGGTTTATCGAGGTGAAGGAGTGCGTCGGCCGGGGATCGAACCCCGGACCATGTGCATGGTCGGTGAGCGTCTTAACCTCTGTGCCACCGACGCATGGAGTAGGTTTACATATGCTCTTTTCTGACATCTGTCTCCTTTCATACAACACTCGTGCTATATGTGGTTTTGTTGGATTTCAACCAAGTTAAAGCATAGAGATCCATGGAGTGAGAACACACGACTGACCTTGAACATATATTATTCGTGGGATAACGGGATCTACCACTAATGTAGCGCCATTATGAACGATCTTGTTTTTAATTAATAGTTATATAATGTGTTGATAACTTGTTAGGATTACGATTAGAATTAGTGTTAGGATTAGGGTTAATGTTTGTATTTGGGGAGTGAATTAGTGTTGAGGTGTTTTATTTTTATTATCTGCGATTTCCTGGTAAATAACTGTCAAGGGTTTTTGAGGAAGACTGGAAAACAGGTGAAGAGCGGTAAATGAGTCACGAAAATAACTCATCTTCAGTCACCTTGGTGAATACGTGGTATAGTAACTGGTTTAAACTAAAAACCCATACTAATTATAACAGGGAGATGTTAATAAGTTACGTCAGGGGAAATATCCTGTTTAATGTGTTTCATCATTTCTCTTATGAATTAATGTCAGAGCAGTGATCTACAGTCTAGGAGAGAAAAGGATAATATTTACAAAGTTGGTTGGATTGTCCAAATAACTATCAACATTGTAATTCGGTCGTTCAAGAGGGATATTCCAAACAGTTGTTCGGATAAATAAATAAACAAGATAGTGGAACTAATAAAGCTTTGACCATTGATCTTAATAGAAGAATAATATGTATGCAATAATAATGCTGGTAATAAATTACTGTATATTTACAGATTATAGATGGATTAGGTTTATAAGCTCTTTTCTGACATTTGTCTCCTTTCACACAACACCCGTGCTAATTAATATGTCATGGTTAGGGTAGTCTGAGTGAAAACTCTTTTTCTGGTTTTTACTGGAAGAGATTCAAGGCAAGATTTGCGAATAACAAAGAGGCTGTTCAGGATCCGACTAAGTAACTTTAGCCAATTGTTTGAAAGAGTTAAAATGTCTATATTATGATTGGATACTGCTAGGTGGTAACCAGTGTCCTGTGTGTTGTTTCCGACTGACTTCTGTCAGTCGAGTTTTCAATATGGCCGCCATGCTACATGGTTTTCCATCACGGTGCAGTCGAAATTGTTGTTATTAAACGATTGAAGACAATCGACAGGGAGCCTTGGATCACTTAGGTATTGTGCTAGTTGGCACTCGTCAACAAGAAGTATCTGCTATCTTGAAGGAGGCACATGACCTAGGTGGTCCAAAGTTTCCTGCCGATTGCCTCGAACCATCTAACAACATTTAAAATGCCTATGAGATATAAGTAGTATATATGTAGGATACGACGTCTTCTTATTTATGTTATTTATGTGTCAATGGGTGAAACTCCAGGAGTGAGAGGACTGTATAACTTTGAGAACTTAATAAACTGACGGATAGCAATGAACAACAATATCATACCTAACGCAGAATGGATGGATTGGTTGTTTTTCATGCAATACAGTGAGATCAATACGCAGTCATCACTTTCTTAATGTCCATTGTTATTTTGTACGCCCTCTTGTGACTTGTCCTCATCAACACTACTCTATTCATATGCATTATTCTTTTATTTTATTGATTACAACAGTCCTTTTAGAGTTTGCCTTTTTCTTTATGTGGTTGATATATATATATCCATATAATATGTGCGTTTGTTTGACAGTCTGATCTTGGTGACATGTATCCATGTAATATGTGTGTTTTGTTTGACAGTCTGATATATTTTGCTATGTATATATGGATCGATATTCCATTATAATTCGCCAATCATGTTAAGACTGTCTGTTGATTTGTTCATTTTGAATATTCGCTCACACACTTGTGTTCACACACTTGTTCGGACATTCATATATATTTTTGCTCTCACACTCTTGTGGGACATATTGATTCTCCTTGTGTTTTGGAAAATAGAAATATCATCGCAAACCTAGTGGTCTTCTGATTTCCGTCTTTCTTGCGTCAGGACTATTAAATTCTCGACCAGTACATGACAGTGGTTTACTATACATTTGATTTATTAATTAATTTATTTTTGTGCTTATTTTAGTCATAATCCATTGTATATATGCTTGATTGCATCACTCTTGATGAATGTATTACAACCATATCATAGTATTGGTCAACTTGGCCTGCTAATATCTATTCTGCCTGTATGGAATCATATATTAAAGCGTAAGTCTAACACAATTTGTACTTAGTTGTCGTTATGAATTCATTTTTAATAATAGCTAAGGCTCTTTTGTGTAAACGTTTCTGTACTATCCCAGTTGGTGGAATATGATTTCAGTCTTTTCATGAAAGACAAATATAGTTAGTTATTAGATATGCAATTAAAGAATAGCAGTGTTTATTAAAATTGGCGCTCAATAACCAATGGTCAGAGTTAGAGCTCAGTTACTAAGATCAACCTACTTTTTCCTATTTCTTTGCATGGAACACAGGGCTTCAAGGTTTGTAAGTTTCATTGGTGATTATGTTGTTTTTACCTCAAACCCAACCTTCCTTGTTTACCTGGCTTACTACTGGTCTAGAATTATCTCGGTCTGGTCTTGAACCTCCGACCACGAATGCGGTTGGTAGGCATTCTACCCGTGAACTACCGACGCATACGATCAGGGTATGAGTCATATGTTACTTGAGGGCTAAATTGGGTAAATAGAGACTCCAATCTTTGGGCTTATTAACTGAAAGTTGAATGCTTAAGCCAATGAGTCACATTTTCAGTGGGTAATCATAAAGCCGTATGAAAAATTTTAAAATGAGTTGTTCACTGAGTTATAGTTTCAACTATCAGATGTTTAAGTGTCATCCTGGAAAACATAATCAGTGCAGTTTCATGATTGATTATAATTACTTCTATTTAAAGCACTATAATAATTGAGTCTGATTTATTCCTGGATGATGTGATTGTCAAACTACAACACACTTTGTTGTTTTTAGTTATAAATTCGCACCATCAAACTGATAAGGTTGAGAATATTGCGTAATCGCCTAGTACCATCTCAACGCCAGCAGGATACACTGAATTGGTCACCTACAGTCTGATGATAGTTATTAAAATTAACAGAAAATCAGAGTTTTTCATGTGGTTGTGTTCTCTGAGCTGGTTAGTTAATTTGCGAAGCTTTTATCGCCCTACTAGACAACATCTTCAGCGCGTACTTCAATTTGAAGTAAACTTTTAGATTTCCTCACGAATTCATTAGTTTTCTCTCCTGGTGATCTTGAACGTGATTGGTTGTTTTTGTGTGTTTTCACACCCTCTAGGTTACTTGTATTGTAACTGATTGTTTCTTTAAGTTGAACTTTGACCCTTTGTGTGTGTGAGGTTTCTTTCTTATCGGTTGGTAAATTTTGTCTATCTCAATATGTCTACTGATTGACGATTCACTGGAATACCAGGCTTCTACAAATTCTCTAGCATTCTTGGTGTTTCCTCTGTCTAATATTTCAACGTTTTCCCAGTCGAAATGATGTCCGTGGTTATTTGTATGCAGCGACATGAGGGAGTGTATGTCATATCTTTTGACGGCTAGTTTATGTCCGGAGCCGAAGTGGATGTCCACTTTCGCCAATGTAGTGTTTTTCGCAGTTGTTGCAATTTACTTTGTAGACTTTGTTATTTTTATCTTCTTTCCTTGTCGGGTCTTTTGGTTGACATAAAGCTGAGTGAAGTGATTTTGTTGGTTTGTGTCCACGTCAATTCCTAAGGGTTTGAAGAGTCTTGTAGTGATTTCTAAGATGTCCTTTCTATATGGTGTGCTTGGGGGCTTTTGGTTTGATAGGTTGGCTTGGGGGTTTATGCCTTTTTATGAGATTCCGTGGATATCCATTCTTTCGGAAGACGTCCATGAGATATCTTTCTGAGCGCAGATACAAAAGGCTTGTGTGACGTTTGCCAACATGATGTCGGGGATCGATCAAAAGGCATATGTACTGTGGAAGAGTTCGCTCCGTTCTTTGTTATGGCTGTTAGGCGTGATCCCTGAAATTGAAAGACTTGAAGAGCTGTCTTTTACTGTAGGTGTTCGTGTTGTGTTCCTTTAACAAGCAATAGCCGTCGTCGAGCGATGTTAGCTGACGTAGAATTAGGTTTCCAGGAAGTTGAGGGTGGTCAGATGAAAAGTTATTATCAATCCATGAAGTTTTTGACTTTTGGTTCACTTAAGCCACATAGGGATGTATAGACTATCTCCCTGGGGTAATAACTCTCACCTTAGCCAATTTCATACTCTTACTCCTCTTTTATCAGTTTTAATTACACAATTTCTTTTTACCTCTAGAAACCATTTATGAGTAACTGTCTGAATTATATCACATGCTTATTATACTCAGTAATATACTGCTATACGCTTCACAATGTCTATAAATACGACTGACCGTACTACAGCCGTTGATAATGACTTCTTCGTCGATGAAAAGAGAATTCTCTTAGCTGACTCATTGTAGATATTTTCGATTTCTTATTGTTATGTTTTCTAAAATTAAAGTTACGTATTAAACGTAACTTTATTAAGAAGTCGCTATATATTCTGTAAGCTTTACACAGCTCATAAATCAATATAATACTTAATTGTTACATAATCTATTCTTGTACAGTCTGTGTCTTCCGTCCTACGCATATATATATATATATATATATATATATATATATATATATATATATAAGGCTTGCATGTTTGTGTAGCAGTATGCTATCTAATGTAGAGTCATATTTCAGTAGTTGAGTGAAATAGTAAAATGCACATTTTTCAATTATACTGTAAATCATCACTTGTTAAATTTCAACCTACATTGATCACCTTTGTGGCGACTTCGAATTGTGTAATATGCAGTGGATCATTATTGCCAGTGAAGTGAAGATGTGACTCGAACTGGGGGTTGGGTGGGTCCGAAATTAGTAGTTCGCCAATTGAAGACTACCTCAGGTAGAGTCAATTCCAACATCTGTTAGTTATAGGTTGATGAAAATTCTTAGCTTTCCAAAACTGATTAAGTTGGTGAGTAAAGAGTGGAGAGGGGTCGGGCTAATTGTGAATACTTGATTGAATGGTTCATAATCGTTTGTCGTAAACAGTAGACTGTGTCTTCAGGTTGTATTCCTAATTTATCCACAGTATAAGACTATAGGCGACAGAATATTATCAGTAGTCTATAACCTGTAGGGATTCAGAGAGGTACTGAAAAAAAATCACAAGGTTGTCTGTTGTGTATTATCCAATCAAAGCTATCCATCCATTTTATCCTTGGTATGTAATTGGATAATAAAATGGTTTTGTCATTATGTGAATACTTATGCTATGCTGTCAACGATTGTTAGTTGAATAACAATGACCTTCCAAAACCGATGCCCCTAATCGAAAATTGGATAGTTAAAATTTATATCAACTGTGATTGTTGTTATGTGAAAATCTAGACTCCAAGTGTTACACGACTTACTTTGTATCGATGGGGGAGTGTGTACAGCTGTTGGTCTTAAGTCCTCCTGATTATAGATTATTTCTCTATTTGATATAAGAATAGAACCTGTGCACTGTAGTAGAGTATAATTCCATTATAGGTAATATTTATTTTGATAAAGTCTCACAGCGTTATACAGTAATACTTACTGGTGACGTTTTGAGCACAATTTATTGCTCATAACCATATCACCTTGATATGATTGTACAAACGTATTCACTAATTTACCTTATTTGACTAACATTCTGCATTCATATATTCGTATAATAGGATCAGCAGGATGGATACACTTATGCTAAAAATCTTACAGATTTCTTATATATTTTTTAGTATTAGTGGTCATATGGTTGTAAAATGGTTCCCAACGAACTGAGTTATACAATGTTAGGCACAGTCGGTGACCATGGGGTTTAAATATTTATCATCTAACTGTTTGTTCTATTTCAAATGTGGAATTGTAGCTCTATTGGTCTAGGTGCACTTGACTTTCAACCAGCTGATGGGCCACAGGCTGGAACCCCCCTGTACATAATAAGTTTTGGGCAGCTCTCATCCACACAGTAGGTGCGGCTTATTGCCCACTCTGCATGGGATCGCAAGTGGTTGTTGAGCATATTACACTACATTCCATTCCATTTCAAATGATTGGTGATTTTTAACTACTTATTATCATTGCACGACGCTACATCCTACTCACTAGCTCATATGAGTAGTTGGATACCACTCACACCAACCAACCGATAGTGTTTTCTAGCTAGCCAGATTGAAGTGATCTAAACACCCATTGATGACCATTTCACTCGTGTGTAGTCGATTTCACCAGTGGCGTTGCCCAGTTTGATTTAGTTCAGAGAAATGTTGAAGCTAAATCAACTTACTATCAATTCAGCATATAAATATAAATATCATCTGATATCTCCTTTACCTCGCTAAGCCACAAAAAAAGTGCTGGTAAAGAGGAAAGGTTGGGAATGAGGCTAGCAACCCCATGCTGTAAAATAAACACTGCTACAGAAACTTCAAGCCACTAGCTTGAAGCCCTATATTCCACTGGGAACGTGAAGGGAAAATCAATCATCTAATATCAAAGATGATAGGTTACTTCTCTGATATCCAAATAGTGTGTAATGTTCATTAAAACTTTACAAAAATTCATCTTGTTGTTAAATAACTAGTGCTTCTTGTTGTATTCATTTATGAAGAAAATAAAAGACAATTCAGCGAAGAAAATTCTCTTTATCGAAGAAATCATCTTCAGAAGCTGTACAACCGTATTTATATTTACCAAAAAATGTATAGCAGTCAATTATTGAGTAATAGAGGGTGACATAATTAATATAATTACTCGAAAGTAGCTTTAGAAGTAAAAATAAAAGTTGTAAATTACGTAGTACTCAGTGGCATAAGGGAAGATAGGGTTAGAAATTGGATGAAGTTAAAATTGTTATTGAATGAGAAGAGACGTAGTTGAGTGTCAATTTTACAAGTGTGAAGAGGGTGAGAAAGTGTACAAAAGGACTATGTGAGAGTAATAGTAGTGAGTTAATTATTAAAGTGAAAGCAAACTAGAAGTAAGATTAAAAAATAAGAAATTGACAGGGAACGACCAGTGAAGAGGTTAAGACCAGGGTAGAACAAGAGACTGGACCAACTTTTTCTGTGTATAGATTTCGGGGTTTTATTGAGGAATCTCCAGCGACTCTGTCATACAGAAATGCCGAAACTTGATGCTCTTTGTACCATTTGGCTTCACTTTGTAGATAATCTTGAAAGACGACTCCGGTGGAGCTGCGTGGTTTGAGTTCACCAAGTGCTCAAGATTTAAGCTAGATATTGTCTTGCATCGTCCTTTTGCTAACTATGCGGGATATTATTCAGAGATGCGTTCGGGAAGTGTGCGCTTTGTGCGGGGCAGTATAAAAACAGCTCCCCAGGAAAACCCCCATTATTGTTGTTTCGTTCATAGATGGAGTATTTATACTCAATTATTATTTTTGTCGTTTATTTTGTGTTTATTTTACTCTTTATCTATCCCACTTCTTCCAGAAACCCATTTGTTGTTCATATCAACATGTTTTCTGGTTACTGCACTTATTCTCAGTCCACTATTTCATTATATCTGGTTACAACCGGGTACAGGGAATGCAAATTTCTATTTTTCTGCATCATTAGTTCATGCATTTGGACAGGTAAGTGTATATAAAAGTGGGAAATGCTAGTTGTTATTTTTCCTAAAAAGCTGTTGTGATTTTCAAGGCTAATCACGAAATAACTTCAGTTAATGAATGATTGTGAACCAAAGAGTACTGGATGACAGTTGCTGAAGTGAGAATTCATGGGCTAACCATTTGAATCAGTCCTTGTGGCTGAATCATCTACGAGCTCGCCTTGTAAGCTGAAGGTCTAGTATTTCCCCCCTAAGTGGGGTTATGTGTGTATACAGATGAAGAGTAGTTCCAAACAGAAACGAAGAATATGGCAGTAATCCTTGGTGGTTTTCACTGGTTCTCTAACTGATTTCAGTCAATTGGTGATCAAACTTGACACCAATCAAATCCCTGCAAACCAATGCTTGGAAGTTCAGACGTCATTTTTAAGTGAATTTAAGAGAAGCAGAGAAAAAGTATTTACTGTTTATACTCTGTGATCTGAACTTAGCGTAACCTTCTTGATATTCCCTGGTATCAGTGGATAACACACTGTCTTTTTCTGATCTCTTAATCATCTCTACCAAAGATATTCATGCATGACTATGCTTCTTAGCTAGCTGCCTTTCAACGATCTTATCTATTTGCACTGTTCTGTAAAAATGTTTTTATTCTCAATAATTGTATTGATCACGAAACAAGCAGTTGTATTCATTTTGGTTGATAACGACTTACAGTGGAATCTAGCACAAAAAGTGGCTATCATAACCCTTGTGGCCTGCTAGATAATCCTTTGGCATTTAAAACGATGGACACAGGCTTCGGGTCTCGGTGGAAATACCATCACTCTTTCATCAATGGGAGGCAAAAGGACACACCCAGCTAACCAGTTTCAAATAGAGGACGAAATGCACGTCCATAAGATTCCACTGTTAGTTATCATCAATGAAGACATCTTCGATGCATTCGTACTAAGAGTACCGGCATGTCAACATAGAGGCTGAGCATGTCTCTTCAAAGTAGTCAATCAATGGGATATGTGGGTTTACGTAGGAACAAACTGTGTTCATTAGTCAACTTTTCTCGTAAATGTCCTGCTGAAATCTTTTTTCTAAATAAGATTTGATTATCCTTTAAATCGTGTTTCTCTGATCATTATTTATCTCTTCGTTTTTAACCTTAGGTAATACTTATCACAGATTTGTTAAATGCTCAAGGGAAATATGATTATTATTTACGTGTTGGAGACAAGTTCAAACTGAGTACTGGTGAAGAGTTGAAATTAATTCAAGAATAGATAGATGTAAATATGTATTGTAACATCAGAGAAGAATAACAACGAAAATATTCGGCATTTTCTTTTCACTACTGCTTCCATATGGGGATTCAAAACACACACAAAAAACAGTCTACTAACGCCTTCTAGCTGTTGTTCTGAACGGTGTAAATACGCGTGTATTTGTGGTTGCATGTTTTTGTGTACTTGTGGAGGTGTGCTTTCGACATTGCTCTACATGCTTACTTCTTTTATAATGTTATATATATTAATAACAATAATAAAAATCTGCAATGTATTATACACGTTTTTCTATTTATATAATGAGTTTGCTTGTTAGTTAGTGTGTGTGTCTGTGACTTTGTGTGAATTTCCCTTACATATTTTATTTTACATTTAATTAAATTTGTATAAATAAGTAATATATTGGGTAGTGCACATCGGTGATTTGGTTCGGCGGTAGAAGAATGCCCGCCCCGGTCAGCCGTCGCACTTGCAGATCTCGCTTTGCTCTGCCGGTTGGTATAGTAGGCCCGGAGAAGAGGGGAGGTAGCTATTTGAATTTCAGAGCTTGAAGCCCTATGTTCCATTGGGAAGTCATAGGGAAAATTGAAATAGTGAGTGTTGTGAATAATAGAATGTCAGGTTACGTGGATGTTTATCAGGTAGTTAGGGAATATCCTGTATGAACTAATTGACTAATACTAATCGTAAAACTTCTCATCAAATGATTATTTCAAGTGTTTGATGTTCGATCATGGTTTGATATGAGTTAGAGATGGATTGAAAATCACCAGTGAGTGTTGAGCAGCTATTTCTTCTTAGTTTTTGACTCTTCATCAGTAGTACACATCAATGATCCCATGCACACAAGATGGGATACAAGACCTCCAGGTTACAAGATGAGATTGGTGAACGGAATCTACTGGGCTATGACTTATCTGGACCGAATTGATGTGTTTTGTATTGGTAGTATGGACTTGTGTTAAATGAATGAGTGCTTCGTTATGAGCATAATTGTTGATGTAAATTTATTTGTGTTGGTGGCAGTTATCAGTGTAAACCAGTGGCTGAATGGTCGATGAGCTCTCCTCGTAAACTGAAGATTGTGGGTTCCAACCTTGGTGGTGAGTTGATGTGTGTGTGTGTGTGTGTGTGTGCAGTGGTACTGAATAGTCCCGAACTCAGACACAACAGCTGTCTTATGCCCTCTTCTTTGTCTTCAATGGTCCTATAAATGATTATTGTTTTTAAAATAAATCTGAATGTGTTGTTTCAAAATTGCTTATCTGTTAACGAAAAGAAATATATTTAAACTACTTTAGTCAGTTTCTAAGCTAATTCTTATTGGATTTTCATGTATTTATTGTTGGGGAACGTTAAGGAAAAGTGGCATGTACAAATAACCGTCTGAGTGACCTTGAAATGAGTAAGTGAAAGCTGAAGAAAGGGCTGAAATTGCTGATAAATGCTATTTAATACCTACAACTGCTCGCCGACCATACACATGGTCCGAGGTTCTATCACCTGCTGACGCACACCTGATATGTAAGGTTGGCCTGCAAAATTTGGGCTACCGATATCCATGCTTAAAATTCCATGCTTGTACCAAACACACAGTATGGAATCAAGCTGTAATTAGAAATAATAAAAAAAATAAGTGCTAAAATCATTGCACTGGGAAGGCAAGGTGTATATTTCTGTCTCTGTAATGAAGAGCTACTAACAGTCGGTGATCTTAATCTGATTGGTTGTTTAAGTCAAGGTTAGTAACATTAGATACTTTTCCACACTGTCTATCTGTTGTTAACAGCTTGACTACATATCGAGTAGAGATCTTGCATATTTCTTGTGAACCTGGATGTAGTATCACTAACTTCAAGAATTGATTCAGTATGTCTTAGAGATGAAACTATTTAGTAATCTAATTTCAATTCATCAAGTGTAGTGGAGTTAAATAGATTGTGAGGTAGTGAGTAGTGAATACGGTTCAGTAATCTGTGTTAATTTGCATTGCTTCACTTACTTTCCTTTAAAGAACATGTACATTCGCATTACTGATACTGTAAAGTTATCGTAGATTATCAAAGTGAAGTTTTCACTTTTATTCTGTGCTTAATTGTTGTTAGTAATTTTTTTCTATTTCATTATTTTACACACCTACCGATTTATATGAAAATCGTTTGTTGTTACTTTCATTATTACCTCCTTGGGTTCTGATATGTATCCACATATATATATTTATGTGTGTGTATGTTGGTCTCTCTTTCTGTTTGCTCGCTTAGTCTGTGACCATTTCACTTTGATGAACCTGTCTCCTTTAACAATGTATATTCCCCTTATATTATACTATATATAATATGAGTGTTTGTTGACAGTCCGTTGCTTGGTGACATATATCCATATATGGTGGTTGTTGACATGTCTGCTATATTTCGCTATGTATATATGGATCGATACTTCATTATAATTAGCCATTCATGTTAAGACTGTCTAATGATTGTTCACACCCTTGTCATATATATTTCGCTCTCACAATTTGTGTGACTTACACTTACTGACTTGCTTACTTTGGTGTGATACCACTTATTGCTTCTCCTTGTGTTTGGAAAATAGAAGTATCATCGGAAACCTAGTGGTCTTCTGATTTTCGCCTTCTTGCGTCAGGACTATTAGTTTCTCGACCGGTCCATAACAATAATTTAGCGACGAGTACATAACAATTTGGCGACGGGGAAAACTACTATTAACCACTCAGCAGCAGCAACATAACAGGTTCTTAATGGAACATTGGGCTTCATCGATATATCTCCGTTTCACTTTATTCTTTTGAGTGTTTTTTATCTGACCCCATGATTACCCGTAAGTTTACATTCCCTCCTCCTCCTCCTCCTCCTCTTCACACGAACTCTTTCCCTTGTCACTCTCGGTATTGCGCCCAATTCGTGGACCTAATAGTAGGCGAATTGTTTTTCTTACTTGATCACTAACAGACTACAGTTAGAGAAGTATTTGAAACTCAGGGAGTGGTACTGGATAGCTGATTCTTCTTAGTCTGTGACCCTCCACCACTCCCCACCCTCCCATGACTCAACCCACACACGACCGAAGCTAGGACCTTCAGGTTATGACATAAACTTGTATGCTATTCAGCCACTGGAACGGAATCCAATAATTATTCCATAAATTCTAACTTCTGTCGACTCGTGACATATATCGTGACCCCAAGCCAATGTTATCAGCAAGTAGTTTTCTTCACACTTATAACTTGATGAACTTAACTGGAACTTCCGTTGGTTGACATTAAATAACAATAAAAATATTGATCTGTTGTTTCATTAGGATTTTACGCTTTTCAAACACTATTTTGTGTTAATGTGGGACTAAGAAACTGTATTTTTCATTCTCGTATATTTAATTCTCTTAATCAGTACTTTGTAATGGCTGGTTTTTGCCCTATATGTGTACAACTTGAACATTGTGATGGTATGTAATTCCATATCAATTTGTTTATTAAGATAGATCACACAGTGATGAAACAGTATTATTTACCCGGTTAAAGTTTCTAACATATTTTACTATATAGAATTGCATCAGCCTGCGATTATGATCATTAAATTGTGTTCCTAAATTCCACTGGCCTTTTCTGTCTGTAATGAACAGTTTGTCAGGAAAACAACTCACAGTAATTCCAGTCATCATCCTGTAGGAGTTTATTTTTTGGGGAATGAATAATTAAGAACTAAGGTTGAATGGTTTGAAGAGATTGGCAGAGAAATTGCTATACCTAGGTTTTATGCACATTACCACTCGTCGACAGCAGTCAGTAGTATTCGGTGTAACCTCATGGGAAGTATTATCCCCAGACTAGAACGAAAAAGCTGCATACTTTCCCCTTCCTTTCAATGATTCTCTAGCTGATATCGCTTTGTGTTGAAGTCTAAATTACAGTTTTATTTGTCTAGAATTGTTCATTAGGCTAGATCTTTGACTGTCGAACGTCTCATTATCATACTTGACATCAATGTTGTCATTGATATGAGAATTTGGAGGATAGACTACTTTCTATGCTGAATTACAAGTTTTCTACAGTAATGTACATTTACTGATGTTTGAGTATTTTAATATCATTAATATCAAAGTAAAATGCACTGTTCTGTTGAATGATTTATAAACCGATGACATTTTATTTTACAGTTTTAAATATTCTGGGGCGTAATAAAGTGTGATTTTTTAAGATAAATTTTCCTCAATTTTTCTGTTTTTTCCTGGCAGGGTGAGTTCAGCTATTCAGTTGAATTGTTTCATTGTTTTCGTTCATGAGTTTTATTCCCCAGTTATGGTAGTATGCGTATGATTCCGTGTGTGTGTGCGTGTTTGTCTCTGACTAATAGTCTAAGCCACGTAGATAGATGTAGACTTCCTGGTTGGGGTCCTCGGGACGGTAAAAACAAATGGTTGGAAACAATTGGTGACATGGCTCAAAATCATTCTCAGTGGCGCAGATGCATCCACTCCTTGTGATTTATGATTTCCAATGAAACTGTTTTGTTCTTCGTTATTACTCTTCCTTTGTCTCACACCTCTGCTCACTGTCTCTATTATGCTTTTCTTGTACTTTCTTCTCTTGCTTTGTGTGCTACATGAAGGGAGTGTGGCGACTTGAACTTCCGCACATTTGTGCAAAGTTCTATGTCGAAAACAGACAGACAGACAGACTAATACAACTGAAATTATTTTTCTTTTTGCTTTTAGACAGAATGTTCTTTAAAGCACTAAGCACAATCGTGGAAATAACTTGACACCCAGAGCTTATAAGTGATTAAGAATAAAGTGATTATAGCTAAGTTTTGTGAAGAAATGACTAATTAACTTTTTTTCTTTTAAAATAATAGAGAAGATTTGTAGCTCAGGTGGATGTGATATTGAATTAGTTGTGTTCTCTGAGATTGATTGTTCTCTGGTTGATTTAATTGGGAAGCTTTCATCGTCCTTCTAGACAACATCTTCAGGGCAGGTTTTAATATAAAATGAACAGATTGACTGTAAAAAAACATGATATATATTCTATCGTATCTATGCATGCTGATAATTATGGACACCAATTTGATAGGAATAATGTAGAAATTTCAAATAAAGGATACTCCGAAATTACTGACAGGGAATTCCTAGAAGCCTAGTACTCAATTGAATTAGCAATTAACAAACACATGATTATTATTCTTGTCTCCTTTAGTTCCTAGTGGAACATAGGGCTTCAACTGCACGTCTCCACTTGCTTCTGTCTTCTGCTGTACTTTTCACCTGCATCCATGTTAGTCCATACTGTTTCAACTCCTCTTCACACGATCTCCTCCATGTCACCCTTGCACTAACGTCCCACTCGCCGCTTCCCTTTCGACCTGGTTCTACTCGAGCAATGACCTGACGCGCCATGTCACCCAGTGGCCTCCTCAGCGAGTGTCCAATCCATCTCAACTTTCCCCTGCATATTTGTTGGTTGGCGATTGGTTCTTCCCATAGTTTCTTGTTGGTGATTCTTTCCGGCACGACCATCCTGATCTTCAGTATAGAGCGAAGCTCAGAGAACACAACTAATTCAATAAATTCTTCCTTTTAACTTGTTTCTTTTCTTGTCTAGTTTTCCTTACATTCCTACTGGAATATACGACTTCTTGCTTTATGCTTTACATTTTCAGCAGTAATGGTGTTGTTTTCCTATGGAATGGTGTCTCTAGCCTCACGTCCACTTTGTCTAAGGGCTTAAAACCTATTGGACGGTGGTGAACCAGTCTAGAACCGCACCATTGAATTCCTGTGTGAGAAGCTGAATGGTAAATGAGCTGGCCTCTCTGTTCCGAGTTTGATTCCTGGTATGTTCATTGGTGCGCACTGATGAAGGGTCCTAAACTAGAGCGAAACGGCTGTCCAGCTATCCGTGGTTTTCAAATATTCCTTAAGTGGTTTTGGTTAACAACGAAATCTATGCTGAAATCCATCCGAAGGGCCTACAAAATTCAGAATCTAAATATTATGTAGATATATTCTTTAGGAACACCTTATCTTGTATATGATCTCAGATAGTGTGTGATGCTAAAGTCCCTCTGTCCTCTTTCTGTGATTGAGCGTCAGTTGATTTGATTGTTATGTTATACGTTCATCTATATGTATCGAATTTGCTGTTTATTCATTCACCCCCATCCACCTCATCGCTTTTCCTTATCTTTGTTTAGCTTGATTGTCAGAATCGTATATCTGGTTTATATACCAGTTGTGCACCGTCTCCACGTACTGTTGCTCGTTCATCGAAACGAATAGGTCGAAGTTCCAACTATAGACCATTCGACAATGATTCTAACAATGGAGGTGGTGATGATGGGTCTTCTGATACTGGATTGTTTTATAAACCACGTAGAAGTCAACCAATTGTACATCCGCCTAGCGAAGTCCCATTTTGTGAAGTAAGTTTGTTATATGAGTTTTTGTATATGGAACTGTAGTATGTTAGTCTACGCATTGCATTTTTAATCAATAAGTTGCAGATTTAAACCCTGACTTTGAACATTTTTCGATATAATACAATTGAATTTTCGTTCCATAACGGAGGTACTTTTGATTTTACTTATGAAAATATGAAGAAATTCTAAATAAAGTGATGCTTTAATTCAGCAGATGCGTCTCGTCCTATTTTAGGGCGATGAACATCTTCTTGCGCCTGTTTAATAATAAGAGACGATTTTCTCACTGTAACTTGGACCAAGTATCCACTACGTCCAACATGAAACCGTTATTGGCTATGTGTTACTAAGTCACAAGAGGCACCTCTTATTCAATGCCTACAGTTTGAAATGGCAGTCATAAGGGATAGCAACTAAAACTCAGCGGCTTATCAAATGACTTTGAAAAACTAATCAGAAGAGTAGAGCAGGATTAGAAACCATTACTGATTACATAATTATAATTAAGGCTCATACATAAATGAAATATTAATTTACTTAAAGTGACAATCTTTAAAATACTGTAAAGTGTAGGTGTTAACAGATGGTTGCTAGATCTAATACTACTCTCTAAACCCTTACGTAATGCTAAATGTAACTCCTAACTTAAACTGACTAAGTTTCAGTATGGAGTGCAACGTTTCAAGTTGCCACACTCCATGCAGCATATAAAGCTAAACAAAACAGAGGAAGAGAGACACACACACAGAGAGAGAAAGAGATTCAAAAGACCTGCAATGAACAGAAATGTGAGAAAGAATAGTGACGTGGCAAAAACGTAACGATTAGTTGGTTATGAGACATTACCAAGAGTGAATACATCTGTGCCATTGATAGCGATTTTGATCCATATCACCACTAGTCTCCAACCATTGGTTCTTAGAATCTCGAGGATGTCAGCCAAACAGAGCCTACATTTCCCAACGTGGCTCAAACTAAACGTCAAAGTCTACATGGACTGATGGCATGCTTTGGTTTCACCATCCCCTACCCTTTTGCAAACTAATCCAATTTCAGCTAACATTGCTAGTTGAAGAAGGCGATAACATGGCATACGTAACACGTATCCTAGCCATATCAGTAGATGCATCTTCAAAATCTCATCGATTGAATTACTCTCCTTATCTAACAGTAATCTTAACTTCAATATTTCGGAACTTATTATACCATTTAATACGGGAAACAGAACACACATATCTGTGGTGAAAGCAGTCACTATTGTCATATCCTCGATATTCAATAACCATGTCTGGCAGCGATAAAGCAGGACAGAGCGAACTGTGGCTCATTACACAACGATAAGTAGATTTCATGTCTACTCCAGAGACGATGTAAGTTGGCGAATAGTCACATGAGTCTTTTGTATCCGCTCTCAGATTTTGTCAGTAATCTGTTCATTTGGGACTGATGCAACTTCGTAAACAAGTGGTCAACACACTCAGACACTTCTCTCCCTATCGTTGAAGTAGGAGCCGGTGCTGACCAGTCTTGAAGCATTCTCTTATATTTGTCAAACTTTCAGAGATTTCTGCTCAAGATGTTCAAAAGACTGTGTTTTATTGGAGTTTTCATCTAATGGGACAGTGTCATCCGCATACTCTAAGTCAATAAGATTGTACCCTGGTGACAAATTAGTCCCTAAGTCGCCGAATTCAGCTGGGGCCTATTCTAATTATTTTAACCATTATCTGACTTTAATCTTAACCCAAACTGGTACCTTTGCCTAACCCTTAATTAATCTAATCCCTAACCTTTAACTAACACTATTTCTAAACCTGACTCACATCAAACCATTATCGTAACCCTGTGCCAATCATAAACATAATTCCGTTTTGAAGAAAGATTAGGATGGAAGTGCAGATTAGCTTTTTAATAGAACGGATGCTAAATAGGTCACAATCTAATTAGTCTCCCTAAGTCGTTTATTTTTATTTACTATTCTTAATATTTAAGTTTGAAACTGTTTGTTTCAGCTTGCAGTTTCTTGTTGAGATTATCTTAACTGAGTTAATCAGTCTCATTGTGAAGCAATATGAGACTCCTTGGACAGATGCCTCCACTATAATCATTATACTTTTCTATATTGTGCTCAGTGTCACTTAGATGTCTACTTCAATCTTAAGCAATTACGTACGTTTTACTTTTTGACCATGGAAGTGTAATTTCTGACTTCGATTATTCGTCTTTCATTCAGCATATAATCGGCTGTTTAGCAAACATTATTACCAATCAAACGATACGTGATATATGATTCGAAATAGAGGGCATAACTCTGTATACACAGCATTTGTTGAACCCCTATGTTGTTACTTGCTGTTATGCTGGTAATTAGCAGTAGAATCCAAGAGACGTCAACTGGATGTTCTTACACTCCAGTGAGTGATTGTGTTCCTGAAACGCTTCAAAACACCCAAAAGCGTTATCCACATTTGGCTACGATAAGAGCTGCCCTTTTGTACGACTGGTATGAATTTAGTTATTTCGATTTCATTGTTACCTGTTAAGTTGATAGGCTTTAATTAAAAGACAGTTATTGAACTTAGCACCTTATTTATATCGATTTCTGTAGACTTTTTTGGCATGAGAAAAGTGGCTTAAACGGGTACTTATTGTATTCGTTACTGTATTTTGGATTGTGTGTACACTTGTACACTAGCAGCACCACTATTTATTGTTAGATCATGTGCCAATATTCTAATTGAAACTGATAACTAGTTCATTGTACTAATTGTCTTGCTACTTTGTGTGTACAATGTATATTATTGAACTCACCGAGACATATATATATATATATATATATATATATATATATATATATATATAATATATATATATATATATATATATATATATATATATATATATATATATATATATATATATATATATATATATATATATATATATATATATATATAGACACACTGGAATACGCATAAAGTGTGTTACTATATCTCAGTTGGTTTGTCAAACAACTATTCATTTAGTTAATGACTATTTATTTACGTCTCCTCTGTTGACGTCTTATTTTTTCAACTTCTACAGTGTGTTAAGTATGTACGTGTAATTGAGGGGGAGAGAGAGAGAGAGAGAATATAAAGACTACCAATGATAGTTACTAACTTTTAACCCTAAAAAGTAGGCTGTTATTATCACTTTATATGTTTATGTGTGTATTTTTTAGACATTTTTATCAGTTCGACATTCAGCTATTGTTGGTAGATTTTTTCCGAAGAAAATTGAATAAGGATGTAGCAGTGGTGTTAGTTTGTTTCCATTGGACGACTAGCAAGGCAGTTATGTTTCCTCTTCTCTCTAGTGAAAGGTGGGGGCTAGAATGGGTGGACTCTGAAAATCGTACATCTCGGATTGCCTTGTTGAAGTCCGTAGCCGGCAGTAACATCTCAGTAGGGACACAGCTCCAAAAATGAATTCAGACAGACCATATGTGAATGGCCTCAAGCAGTTGTCCTCTTGTCTCTGTGGTCATGTTACGCTAATGGTCCTTCTGTTTCAGCTGCTCCAAGAAGAAACCAACTTACATGGGGTGGGCAGGCAGGAGGTAATAACTACCCACACATACATAAGCCCATGAAACTTTCCAGGTCATCATCCACCTGCGTCTCTAACACTTTGATCATCTTGCTGTCCTACCATTCGTAGTGCCAACCCACAGGTTGGTCCGTTACCCTTTCTTAACTCTGCGACCGGAGCCGGAAAAACACTATTGATAACCCTCTTAAAAGTGCACTGCTGACTTCATATGAAGGCTTTCAAATTCTGGAACTTAAGTCGAATTGGCTAACAGGCCTCACTAGCTAAACATTGATATCATAAGTTATGGATGTGTGTTGTTTTTCATACATACATACAAAGACCGAAGTGTGGCTATTCACTTAACCCCACCCCACCTAGCCAACAGGGTGGATTTGCTGAATTCATCTTAATGGTATCAAAAGATTCTTTGACTGGTTCGCCTGGAGTTGCTGGCTCAGAAACAGCATTGAGTGTCAGAGTTGAAAAATACCTACTTGACTGGGTCCCAGCGGATAGTTGTATGTGTACCATCCTTCTGAACGGATGTCTTTTCATTATCTCCCCATATGTCCCAATCGACTATAGATCGGAGTTTTATCAAAGCTGTTTAGTTTGCTGCTGAAGGTAAAACTCTCAGATGTAGTCATTTTAGTAAGTGATTTCAATGTTCAGCAGGAGGATCTGTACCAGTGAGAAAAGCATGTTGGCGACATCTATGAAGTCACATACTAACGAATCGACAATGGCGGTCGTTTTCTAACTTTTGTTCAAATAATCATTTGAACTGACATAGGATTAGGTTGAAAAAGTGTTAGGGGTGGTATAACTAAAATCTGTTATCACTCTATCAGGCCTTTGCGTGTTAGTTTGAGCCAATTACATAGGAATATATACACTGACTGGTTGGAGACTTCGGAATGCTATAAACCAATGGCTAGAGAATATCGGTGGTACAGTCGTTCAGTCTTTACAATCAGCTAAACCCTTTAAGTCCTCATGTTTTTTCGAATAAATTATTCTTCCTTTCGTACGTTTCTGTTCACTGTAGTTCCTTTGAATTTCTGTGTTTCTCTTCTCTACTGTCGTGTGCTACACGGAGTGTATTTATTTAAGGTATTTGGCATTTTCCACTGATATATTATATATTGAACTGAAGTACCCGTTTTCCGTTGATGTGTTGGCTTCTAGTGCAGACACTTCGTGGATGATATCTGGAGTTTAACGTGGTGTTATTCGGTTGATGTTGGCTGAAGAGTTCCTAACAGAATACTACTAACTGAATAACAATCCAATGTTTACTAGTTACTAGCTTTACAATCCTTTTCCTGAGGGGTGTTAACGCCAAGCTAAGAGTGGTTGGGTAATCTGAGTTAGATATGTTTTGATAATTATTACTCAGCTATAATGGTGGACTATGGTTATTTGTTATGTTGTGTACACAGGGTATATACTATTTGATGCTGTGTGTGATATTTATCAATTTCTAATTCACAAATAGTCTAAAAGTAAAGAGGATATATAGATGTGCCATACTGTTTGATTTTTGCTGATTCTGTATGATTGAAAGAAGAATCTTCTCTGAAGACTAGTTAGTTAATTACACGCAAACCACTTAGGCGCATAGATATATTTGTGTATATTTGAATCATTTGATTTTATCACTTTTTTTTTCTTCAGAATTGTCGTGCCCTTGATGAAGAAATGTCTAGAGAGTATAATTCACAGACAGGCTCACCAGTGCATAATATCACTGATGATTTATTAACTCATGATGATGAAGAAGAATCAAGATCTTGGGTTATGAAAATGCCACCTGGTCCATGGTGGTGTGAAGATTGTCAAGAGTCAGTGACATCAACTAATTTGACTATATCACAGTTATTTGCCATTTTAAGACAATGGACGCCGTATGCACAATTACAGTTGATTACTATTGTTGAAGAGGTCGGTTTGTTTGTTTGGTTGTTTGTCTATTTATTCGTTTTCGTTGATTCTTTTTATTTTTTTAATATGGAGTTTTACTTTCCATTATGATCTGCTATACTGTTGGTGACCTGATGATAGCTACACCTTCCATTGTCTTTGTGGTAATCATGTGGGTGACTGGGAGTAGATTGTGGTTTGAAGAGTCCACCACCTTTCCGTTAGGTCACTCTCTTAATACCCGTATGCCATATCTTCTCATTACTTTTGCAATCTATCCACTGCCTTTCTAGCCTCAAACATCGTGCAAACATTCCATGTATTTTGCTTACCTTTGCTTTCGTCAAAAGACGACTCATCAGTTGGTTGGCTTTTTGAAGGCTATCACCAGTCGGCGTCATTCGAGCAACTCTAACAGCCAACCCAACATTTATCCAAGAAGAAATGGAAGTAGACTGAACCTACGCTGAAGAGACATTCAAAGTGTCATCACATTAAGTGGTGAAGCAATATAAATTAATTTAATCCTAATGATATTAGAGAAGGCAGACATTGATGTCATTACCATTAGCTTTTGAAACATGTCATTTAAATTCTCTGTGTATCTAATGAATGTGGTTTATTCGCTTCTTCCTAACAATCTACACTCCATAAAATCCTACAAACAACACAAAAGAAATTTAAATATTTCATACTGTTTCTTGGACAGGTTATCCTAGGGTAATTGTACCTTCAACACGACTATGCATTAGGTTGAGCGGTTGCCTAATATGTTAAATGTATGTTTTGACCTCTCCTATTGAGCTGACTAACATATCCCCCTTTTCACAAATAACTTAACGTCAATGGTACACACTCTGTATCTGTATGACACAAGTCATACTATGGTAGTGTTTACATTAGGCAGCTTAAAAATTGTAAAACCTGTACCGGTGGTTCAGTGGTAGAATGTTTGTCAAACAAGTAAGTGCTGCGTGGTCGATTCGCGACTGACACACTCCTATGCGTCGACTGGTTTTAATATTCTGGAAATGAGGGAAGGTTAAGTAAAGTATTGACAAATGTGTTTTTGTTAGTTTCTCATAATTGAAGTACTTGATTACATCAACCTTAGACTGTGTTAACATGGTCATATAGTTTTTATTGACGAGTCTTTAGGTTGCTTTGATTAATTCTTCTAAATATCCTACTAAATTAAATTATTTACAAGAAGTTAGTAGCTGATATGTATCCACATATATGTATATATATATATGTATGGTGGTCTCTCTTTCTGTTTGCTCGCTTAGTCTGTGACCATTTCACTTTGATGAACCTGTCTCCTTTAACAATGTATATTCCCCTTATATTATATATAATATGAGTGTTTGTTGACAGTCCGTTGCTTGGTGACATATATCCATATATGGTGGTTGTTGACATGTCTGCTATATTTCGCTATGTATATATGGATCGATACTTCATTATAATTAGCCAATCATGTTAAGACTGTCTATTGATTGTTCACACCATTGTCTGGACATTCATATATATTTTGCTCTCACAATATTGTGTGACTACTTTGGTGTGATACCACTTATTGCTTCTCCTGGTGTTTTGGAAAATAGAAGTATCATCGCAAACCTAGTGGTCTTCTGATTTCCGCCTTCTTGCGTCAGGACTATTAAATTCTCGACCAGTACATAGCAATAATTTGGCGACGAGTACATAACAGTAGCAAACATTTATGATGAACTGATAGAGCATCAGAAAGCTTATAACTTCATGCACTGTCGTCACTGTTACTTCAAGCGCTATATCACAGGTTTACAGTCTCTTCTCGTAGTTGATAAATACATAAGTAGGTGTTATAACCTCTAGGAAGCTGAACGTTTGTTGTGATCTCTTTGTGTGTGTATATATATGTATGTGTTGGTGCATAATGTTGGTTATCTCAACCAAATACTTTCATTGACTTACTCTACACCGTGACCTCTTATTTCACAGGAAATCGGTGGGATAACTTGGATGATAAACTACTTATATCCAAATAGTGGACATATGTTAGCCTATTACTGACATTTCTGAATCACTGACTGTAAATAAAAGCTGTGTCAAGAAGTATTATTATTACTTCTGTGTGCAGATATTTGTGTGGTTTACTGATGAATTCCGGAAGAGACAAAAACGTGTTAGATTGTTGTAATGTTGAACAACAAATAGAATTATAGTCTTCAGGTCATTGAGCCAGACAGGCGTCGTCGATACAGGATACAACGATGTCGCATAATAATCCAGGGTGCTATTACCTTTTGTTTGCAAGTAAGCTAGTAAGTTTCGATAAATTGTAGACCACAAAGAATAAAATGTATATTTTTAGTTGATACCTGACCAGGAGGAGCAGTATATAACCACTTGAAGAAAGTTTTAATTCGTGGCCCTATCGATTAAAAGCCAGCGGCTGAACGATAATGTGGTCCTCTCGCTACCTTAAGTTTATGGGTTCTATACTTGATGGGTTCATAAGTATGTGGTACTGTGACAAGTCCAAGTCAAGGACGAAACAGCTCTCCAATACTCCGTAGTTTTCCACTGGGGTTCTCTAGCTAATGTCAGTTGGTGAAGAAATCTACCTCGAAATCAATCTAATCGGTACAAACAAAACATCTTGTTTCTATGATTTGAGTTCAACTCAGTACATTGTTACCTAACTTATTAGTCACTATGCATCCAACGCACATCCCCTACCATTATATACATACATTTATTTATTATTTTTTAATTTGAACTGCCTGTGTAAAAACTATATAAGCGCAATTTTCTGAGCACTGTTTACTAGTTGTGAAACTTTCTGTCAACATGTAAAATTTGCAAGTACGTTAAAACGTTTCTGTACTTAAACCTGAAAATTTATTTAGGCTGTAAGCAGCTGACGAGAAGCCAACGAAATAAATGATGGTACCATGTTATTCTGCACAAATCAATGTTGTTCTCGCTTTATTCAAAAACATCTAAAATTAATGAAATTACCTATCTCCATAGACAAAATGGTATGGTCGAGTGTGGGGAGATCTAGGTTTACTTGTCGAGATACTCTTATATAGTGACGCCTTCATAACTCTCGCCAGTTAAGTTCTACTAACTACCTTCACGTGGTGGCCCTCACGAAAGTGTAAGAGTGAATGTGAATATCTGAAGCTTATAATCAGGATGGTCAACATATTGGTCTATCTAGGGGAGTTGAAAAATCCTGGTTCCAAACTTCTGGTGTATATGAACTCCAGTATCCGGAAGGGTTGAATGGATAATCAATCTGTTTTGCTCGCCAGGAACCACACTGCTCCACCTTCTTGTAGATCTGACTTCAGATGAGATGTTCGGGAGGGGGATGGCTCCTTAAAACAATCATCTGCTTCGGTCTGGGTGTCTGAGCAGTATCTGAGCCCTCGGACAAACTGTGAAATTTTATGTGTCTCATCTCTCGCTGCCCGTAATATTTCAGCACTCCGTCCGACTTTGGCCCTTATCACTTTGACTCTCCTGACTTAAAGACTAATGTGATCATGGGGATTTCCATTTCACACAGCCTATATTTCTTCTTACATAACTTAGACTAACAGTAATTGACTTGATGAATTTATATCACCATACCTCCTCCTTCACATCATCGTAGCTGTTTCTCTTGATATTTTTGTTTCTTTTGTGGTTGTGTATTTTAGATATTTAGACGTGGTGCACATGTTGATGATCGTGATGGTTTAACTGATATGACCTTATTGCATTTTGCTGCAAAATCTGGTGCTTTAGGAGATGAACAATCGGCTTGTCGGTAAGTAAAAAGTATCACGTATTAGAATATACCTTAGGGTCACATTCTTTTATATCGCCTCCTGCCTAGCCGTGAGATTTAGGCCAGTAAATAACTTTTTTAAGTTTGAAGAGAATACTGATTACAGTTTAACTGCGTTTTCAGTGTAGATGTCATCGTGGACTGATGTTAGGTGGAAAATCGTTAAAACCCAAGAAGCACTAAACAGCTGTTTCATCCCTAGTTTGAGATTCTTCGTTAGTGTATGCTCATGGATGGAACCCAACACCTTAATTTTTACGAAGCTGACCCGTTGGCCATTCAACAAATGGATTAGTTGGTGCTTAAATCTATGTTGAAATTATTCAGAATCTGTACGAAGTCCGAAGTCTAAAAAGTAACTACAATTGTATAAAACTCCCACGTGTATTTGATTAGTTTCTTTATTTAGTTAGTGTTTGGGGGGGGATTAAAGCGCAGTTCTTACGAGGCTATGCGCCACACATACCTTATGTTTAAGGGTTGATGATTGCTAAACGCTTGTTGCACAGGCTAAAGTAAGTGGAAGGGAATTTATACCTGAGTTGCGTTCACTGTAAATGAAGTGTTTAAGTAGATGAGCCATTTCTCCATGGGCTAAATATGACTGCAGATTGGTACTTTCTTCAAAGGACAGGGCTTTGCTGTAAAAATCAAATTCATCCAGCTTTGAGTCAGCAGAATATTTACAATGTAAGGCTTGAAACTCTTTTTACACCATTCTTACATCGATGTTTGGTATAGATAAAATTGGGACGAAACAGCTATCTAGTGCTCCTAGCAGGTTTTCCAATGGTTCTCTAACCGATGTTAGTTAGCGATGCAATCCTGTAATATATAAAACAGTGGGATATGACACTATTTCATTGGCACATAGCTCTAAAAACTTTGTTTTTAGTTGGCGGGTCTCAGTTTCGCAATCCTGATCCACTTACTTTAACCTGAGCGAATGGTCAGCAAATATCAGTACGAAGACAATAAATGTAGCTCATAACCCAATCGCCTCTGTTGTACATGAGAAATCTGTTCCTAGTAACAGTTTGGCCTTTAGTCTTTCAATATACCAGGTTATGAGCTACACTTTTTGTGTGTCGCCTAATAGTGCTAACTGTTTGCCAAGGCTGAAACACTTTTAAGTCAAGTTATGAACATTGAACCAAAGGAATGGAAGATGTTAGCATAAACCAGTAAGCTACGTCTCCAGCACCATAGATGTAGTGAACTTCGCGATTAATACAGTTTGGGATGAAATTTCACCAAAGTTTCTTTTGGCAACTGAAATTATTCAAACCACATGCGATCAATGACAATCACGAAATTAAGCATAAATGCGTGACGCCATATATAACCGATTGATTCGACTCTCTAAGTTGTATCAAACTGGGTACACCGCTAACAAAATCATCCCAACCCTCCCCCTCCCCCAGGCGAGCGAAACACCAGTGGTGTTTAGATCACTTTGATTAAGTTGACTAGCAAGCACTGCTAGTTGGTGTATAACTATTCGTCTCAATCGATCAGTGTCATAGATGGTAGTTCTTAACCTGGCACGTGAAAAATCTGTCCCGAGTAAGTAGATTTTAACTGAATACGAAATATGTGATGGTGTACACTTTGTAACAGTTAACTTACACTGAAACTAATCGATAATCACGTGTGTTTTTTTAATGTATATAGGAAAAATAAAAACGTTATGTAATACCATTTCTTCATTTGATTTTGATGGTGTACTGTTGTTTTTCTTTCAGAAAAGACACCTACAACAACCATGCAATATAGTCTCACTTTGATTTTGTCGATAAACTGTATTAATAATTAGCATAAATGTTAATGAATTGATCTGTCTACATAGTGATTATTTGTAATAATAAGTACACCAATATGTAAAACATTCACGCATGTACGCATTCACACACTTTAAAAAACTGACAGAGATATATGCCGATAGACTTATGCACATGCACGTAGACACACACTTGTCTAGACAAGTAAATAGTATTACTAGCCTAACGTTATTTTGAAAAGAAATAATAAGATTATCTCAAAATCAGTAGTCTATGACGATAATAATGATAGTAATTATTTTTTTCTCCCTATTTTTTCATTCCCGTTGTAGACAGTATTTAGCAAATTTGTTTAAGTTAGTTTTTCGATTTTTCCCAGTAATTGATTAGACTGAAATATCCTGCCTCTGTGTTGACACTTGGGCACCCTAGCAGGGAAGCTTCAACGATATCTTAGGGTGACTATTATTTTGTTTGGTGCGTAGTAAACTCACAGTGGAATCCAGGGCACGTGCATTTCGTTTCATCAGCTGGCCCGATCGGTTTAATGGATAATGCTTTTGTGTTTGAAAAGTTGGGTGCTAGGTTCGAGTTTTAGTGGGAACGACATGTGTACGTCCAGCTGACGAGTTCAAATTACACTGAAATGCGCATTTTGGATTCCTCTGTTTTAATAAGCCAATTATAAAAATCTAAGGATACTATTCGAGACATAAAGACATCACTGAGGAACAGTTCTTTCATGTGTTGAGATACGTCGCCCCCTCACAACTATGCTTTTCTTCAAGTTTAGTAGAGACTGGTGAATCAGTAACTTGTAAATACTTTAAATGCTTGAGGGAGAGAGTAAACAATACCATTAAAGTTTCAGGATTTCATCATGAGCTGACATTAGTCAAAGAACCATTGGGAAACCTGGAAGTACTGGACAGCTGCTTCGTCCTAGTTTGAGACTCTTCAGCAGTATGCACCTACCGGGATTCGAAGCCATGACCTTCTGGTTACAAGACGAGCTCGTATACCATTAAGCCACTGGGGCCCGATCCAAGGGCCCATGAATTCTAACTTCTGCCAATTTACGACATAGCGCGACCCTTAGCCAATGTCTTCGGCGAGTATTTGTCCTCACACCCGACCGGCTGCACTCTACTGGTCAAGACGTCTCACTAGAACCCCAGGTAACTACCTACCTGAATAGGGCAAGTCGCTAGTGAGCATTTCATTGTTATTCAAGTGTTGGTTCGTAGGAATTTGATTTGTTTCAGGATTTCATCATGAGCTGACCCAGAAAGCCCTGGGTTCGAATCCCGGTGCGTACTGATGAAGAGTCCCAAACTAGGACGAAACAGCTGTCCAGTACTCACAGATTTTCCAATGGTTCTTTAACTAATGTCAGCTCATGGCGAAATCCTGTAAGCAATCAAATCCCTGCAAACCAACACTTGAATAATACCATTAAAGGTCATATTTTAATTGATTAAAACAAAGTGAACAAACTGTAATTGACTGATGAAGGTTTTTGGTAGCCCAATTTTTAAGCAGGCCACAGACAGCCACTATCCATCAGATAACATCAATATGTTAAACAAATTCCTTTAGTTTAATCAACTAACGAAATGATAAATTCCGAAAGACTGATTAATAGTCAATAAAGGACATCATTCTTTTCGATAACTTCCTCAGGAGACTCCACAGTTGGTCATTAAGAGCATTAGTGTTTTTCTTGTTAAATAACATCGAATCATCGATGTCAATAGAGAATACAGGTGAAAACATGTGTGTATGTGAATGTCAAATAAATTAAGAAATAATGCAGAATTAATGAATTTATAGACGCTACAGCAGGTCAGGGTGACGACAGCATTGACCGGACATGCATCTTTTGTACACAGATTTCCCATTGTTTCAAACCAATTGGTATGGCTTCTCCTGTTTGGAGTTATATGATATTTAGAGACCTTCGGTAATTTATTCGGTATTCAAGACATAGCAGAAAAAGATTCTTCAGTGTTGGCTTGATGGGAGTTATATTGGGTGTTGCTCTACGAAGTTATTTTATCATGCTTGGAAACTCCTCTCTGTGTGGCTAATTCAAATGTGTAGTGATAGACCATCAGCAGTTCGATATTATGTCACCTGGTACAAAGAAGCCATAGAAGCTGGGAACTCTGCACATAGAAGGAACATGTCTAGTCAATACTACCCTGGCCTGTTGTAGCATTTATAAATTCGTAAATTCTGTATTACATTTTCTTAATTTATCTGATGTTTATTCACATACACATGTTATGAACTGTAATTCTACTGCTGTCAATGATGCAATATTATCGTCCAAAACAAACAAATATTAATGACGTCAAATATGTTTTGACAATGGGACTACGACCTATGCGTCGGTGGCACAGTGGTTAGGACTCTCACCGACCATGCACATGGTCCGGGGTTCGAGCCCACGCCGGCGCACACCTGATATCTATGGTCGGCCTGCGGAATTTGGGCTACCGATATCCATGCTGAAAATTCCATACTTGTACCAAAAATACAGTGTGGAATCAAGCTGTAAATCAAAAATAAAAAAAAATGAAGACTATGAGCGCCTTGAAATGACCTTGAGTGGCAGTAATTTCATTGGAAAATTAAACAGCGAACAGCCAATAGGGTTTCAATGTCATAAGCAGGGTGAGAAAAGTACAAACATGTGAAAATGACATGTAGAAAATTAGGTTTGTATATCAAAATAAAACAATAAATTCTTTAATTTCCTGATGAAGATAAAGTTTTTTTTAGGAGAGGGGAATATTCCCTGTTCACTACTGGTCTTTATCTTTGGAAATTTCGTCAGACCATTTCAATGGACTTAGAACTACTCTGAATATTTTTATATAGTCACATCTTTCACGTACAAGGCAGCGTGAGCTTCACTTATCGTGTGTGGACTGATGATACTAACCATTTATCAAAGTTAAACACGTGGAGACAGGCGGGTTCGAAATTATAAGACCCGTTAGCTGAAAGTCTGCTACTTGAGCCAATTGGGTACTTTTCCACGAATATTCGAAACAAATTCAAATTTCACTGGTTCAAAAAAGTTTTATCAATGAGTAGATAATATTTACAAATAATACTACTACTTAATTGGTGGATGGTGACTAGCAGTGGAATCCAGGATGCGCATTTCGTCCTATTTGATACTCGTCATCTGGATGTACCTGCATTTCTCAGTGAGTGATGATGTTCCTACCGAGTCTCGAACCCAGCACCCATAGTTTCAAACTCCAAAACGTTATCCATTAGACCATTTGGGCCACGAGAGCCACCTCTTGTGCAACGGGTCGTATTAATTTAATTTAATTTGAGATTTTTTCCCGTCGATTAGTTGGACCGAAGTGCTTTGTCTCAGGTTGACATGTCGGCTTCTTGTGCAGATGCTTCGACTTCTGCTGAGTCGTATAGACTGAAATGGGTCGAATGGAATTCATTCCATTGGTTGACAGCTGAATGTGATTGAATCAATGAGTGAGTGACACATCTTCAGGATTATAGTTTCGCTCAAAGGTTACTTTTATAATCATCCTCACTGAAGTTGTGGATTGTTGGTATAGACAGTGAACTTCCAACCATTTTGGTTAAGGGTTCAAAGCCTGCTGCACCCACTGAGGCTTTCTTAACCATTAACTTCATTAAATAACCATCATTAACTTTTATACAGTAGGTGTAGCTTATTGTCGGTTACATGGATAGATGTATGTAAGCGATAAATTTGTTCACACTGTGTAAACTTATTGTTTGCTTACTTTCATTACAATATTAAAAGTCAATATGCCTTATATAAACAATGCTGTGGAAACTGAAGATTACCAACTTCTTAGCCAATTGAAATGAGATGCCAATTTATTAGAATCTCCAAGAGATAGAAAGAGAGAGGTGCAGGTGATTGGCTAATTTATGCTTGCACCTATCGTCTTACGAATGGGTTATCATTTTATGCTTTATTTTGCTTTAAGCAAATCTGTGCTAATGTTAGTATCGTTTGTTTTGTTCGATCTCGACTCAGAACAGACTTTTCATGTATCAGACTGAGAGACACGTATTTGTTGTGTGTGTGAGAGAGCTAATGATACTACTCATCTGTTGTCCGTGCGTGACTCGTTCTCGGGACTTATTGATTGGAAACTGACATCTTACACCAGTTAGCCCAGTCTCGACCAGGTGGTATTGGTAGCGTCTTCATCAGCCTTTAATGAGTAAAAGATGTCCACAACCCTTATTGAGTGAAATTATATCCCTTTCAGTATTTAGTAAAATTGTTACGTATATTTAATCTACTAAAAATAATGGAAAATGCTGTAGATTAACCCGGATCCAGATAACTATGAGAGTGAGATTTTGGACACTATGGTAGAATATATAATGCCATATTAGATAAGTTTATTTGTCGCATAGTACACTGTGTGACAGATAGTGTTAATAATTTGATGACATTTTCAGGACAATTTGTTATTCATAATCAAATCGTCTTTCCACATGGCCTCTTAACTTGCTTTATATGGTTACAGTTCTTCTTGTCTTTCTAATAGAATTTTCCATATAAACGGAATGGAACTAACACCTACCAATGTCATCTTCGACTATCTGTCGTCCCAACCGACTTGTTGGATTCTACTGGTCATTACTTCTTATTTGAAAATTCCAAGAACTGGATCCCATAGTCAGTCGACGTCGGACTATTTGTTCGATGTATACAGCTTACCTCACTCTCACTACATAGTGTTTGTCTTCGAAACGTCATCGAGTCATTAGTATTATAACACTAGGTTATGATATCGAATGAAATTAGAGAAGACAGAATAATCAATCGAAGGCAATATCTAAATGTAGATTTTTGCTATATTGAAACGAACTTATCTAAGAAGGATTATTATATTATTATTCCCTTTGGTTCCTAGTAGAATATAGGGCTTCAGCAGCACATCGTCATTTGACTCTGTTTTCTACTATCGTTTTTACCGAACTCTACAGCTGCCCATAAGCTCTCAGTTCCTCTTGACATTATCTCCTCCATGTCAACCTCGGACGCTCACCTCCATCGTTTCTCATTCGTACCTCGTGCATGTCGTCGCTTAGTGGTCTTCTTAGCATATTTTTAATCCATTTGCATCTTCTTCTACATATTCGCTGGATTTTAGGTTGCTGGTTTGATCTCCGCCTGTAATAGTTCCTTCCTGCTTATCATTTCTTGGCGGCCGGCCATATGGTCTTCACTATGGAGCAAAGTGGGGCAGATGTTGATGGAAGTCTGCAATAGCCCATTGGGAATTCTTTTCATGACGTGCTGAGTCTCTGTGTCATTTAGAAGCAGTGACTTGGCTGGCACTGGTGTTGAAAACCCTCATCTGGTTACCCATGCTGCGTGTAGTAGATTTTGACACCGATTTCGGTGTAATGAAGGTCTGTGTCTTACTTTCCTGATGCTGGCTATCACTGACGCCCTCATCCGTGCTGCTTAGATAAATAAAAGAGTGAAGGAGACAACTTCTGCTGTTGATGATGATTGGCGCTGTTGACTAAGCATCTTCATCACCTCTATCTTCTCTATGCGTTTACTTGAAGTCCTGTCTTCTCTACCTGCCTCATCCACCAATGTTTCGTTTTACAGTTTACTATTTTATTGATTAAATGCTTAAATCTATTTGTGTTATCAGAGCATTATCTCTTTTAAATTGCATATACACAGTACACATTCTTCTTTTTTCCCTCTATCCTTTTCTGTGTCTTTTTAGCATTGCTAATTACCTGTTAGATGAAGGTGCTAATCTAGAGGCTAGATGTAAACTGACCGATATGACGCCACTGCATTATGCAGCCTACTTTGATTGTCCCTTGATAGCTGATTTGCTTATTCTTCGTGGAGCGTGTATTAATGCTAGATCTTTTCTAATCGATAATGCTACTCCATTACATTTAGCTGCTAGTCAATTATCTCTAGGCACTGCTAGGATATTAATACAAGCAGCTGATTTTTCTGTAACAAAAACTGGTCAAAGATATGATGCTAAAGATGCAAAAGATGGTCTTGGACGTACACCATACGGTAAGTTGATTTATTTGGTTTTCTGTGTTTGCGTATTCTCTGAGATTATGCCAATAGTTAGAAAATGGGAGAAAGAGAGAAGTGGATTAGATTCTATCCAACATCTTACAGACTAATAACTCAGCTCTATCAAGGTTGATCACGTTAAATCTTCGCTCTTAAGTCTCATCATGGATTATTGGACAGGTGTTTCATCCTAGTTTGTGATTCCTCAGCAATATGCTTCCATGTCTCCTACTGTTAGTGATTAAACCTGTCAACTAGTCAGCTACTGGGATAGAATCCAATGTCCTGTCCATGAATTCTATCTCCCGTAAATTCGTGATTTTTAGCTCTGCCACTAGTCATTGTATTACACTACGCAATATTTTGTGTTAATAGAATAGGGTGCTGATTCTGGAAACAGACGCACTGATAACGAATGCTGCTTGACTATGCCAACGACATTTAATACACGACAGCTACGTGTTTCCTCAACCCCCTCTACTTAATCGAGAACATACAACCACGTGAGATGGGAAGTATATTAAACAGTATCCTCATAAGAATTGCAGCCATACAAAGAAAAAACAGTGATATACATGTATTTATGACCAATAGAGCGATGTATGAGTGAAGATCACCATTAAAGGATATTTCTTGGCCAAGGACATAGGTGTGAGCGAAAATATCCAAGCTGAACCTGATCAAATCTCACTGTAATCATGTGACTTGTGTGACTATATATCACATTGTCATCGGTGAGTATTGGTTCTAACACTTGACCTTGTGGGCTACACTGGACACAATTTCTCAGGCAACTTCATGCTTTAGTGTCAGTCACTAGTGTGCATTAGATTAATTTTCAAGTGTCACTTAAATGGGAGAATCTAATCAGTTTCACTTTCGATCACACATTGTTTCTCTTTGTAAAATTCTTACCTCATTGTAGCAACACAGTATGAGAAATCTGAGTGAACGTAGTTATACTTTGACAACAGTATCTGACTAATCGCTTTCTGACTTGTAGTTACTGCGACTTAGACAGCTAATATGATGATGATTGTGTTGTTGCTGTTATAGGGTCGATTATGCATCTCCCACTCACCTGTCAGTTTTTTCTGATGACACAAGTGGAAACAAGATCAGTAATCGAAATGGTATAATTTTGATCCTTGTTGACATCCACTTTTCTTTTCATCCGAAGCTTAGTCATCATTAACTATCGAGCCTTTTTTTATTGCCATTCCACTTCAAACCAATGAATAAAATCATTGTGAAGTTGCATTGATGACAATGTCTTTTATGATAATCTAGTGTTTGTCAATTAAGTCTGATGTTTTTAAATGTTGATTTGCAAGGATTTAATTGTTTTCAACTATTGATCACAGATTAACATCAGTTTAGGGGACCATTGAAAGTTCCTTACAGGTTCCTCCCATTTATGCTGGCTGATTGTTGTTGTTGCTGTTGGCCAGGAATCTTCATCACCTCTGTTTTATCTATGTTCATTTGAATTCCTATCTTTGATGCTTCTTCCTTTGTCGACTTGTTGCTTTTCACTTGCATATCTTCCAGTTTGTGGGAAATCAGACATATATAATCGGTGAAGTCCAGATCCTCCAAGTTTGTTGTTGTGTGAGTCCATTTTATGCCTGTTTCCTCATTGCCCGTTGTCTGTTGCACTATCCAATCTACTGCAATCATGAAGATCATTGGCGATAGTAGACAGCCTTGCCTCACTCCCGTCCTCACTTCGAAGGCTTCCGTAAGTTTCCCGTTGTCGATTACTTGACATGCAGCATTGTCGTATAACTGTTGGATGAGGTGTATAATTGTCGATGGGACCCCGTAGTAGCGAAGTAGTTTCCAAATGACCTCTCGATCGACGCTGTCGTAGGCCTTTTCAAAGTCGACGAAGTTGAGTGAGGTGAAGAGGTGACTTCCTGTTATGTACTGCTCGCGAAATTTAATAGTCCTGACGCAAGAAAGACGGAAATCAGAAGACCACTAGGTTTGCGATGATACTTCTATTTTCCAAAACACAAGGAGAATCAATATGTCCCACAAGAGTGTGAGAGCAAAAATATATATGAATGTCCGAACAAGTGTGTGAACACAAGTGTGTGAGCGAATATTCAAAATGAACAAATCACTAGACAGCCTTAACATGATTGGCGAATTATAATGGAATATCGATCCATATATTCATAGCAAAATATATCAGACTGTCAAACAAACACACATATTACATGGATACATGTCACCAAGATCAGACTGTCAAACAACACACATATTATATGGATATATATATCACTTCCATTCCAAGCTTTGTTCAATGATGATACGTAGTGTGGCAATTCGATCAATACATGACTTGTTTCTACTGAATCTAGCTTGTTCTGCTCCGAGTTTTTCATCCAGGTTGGTGTGTTTGATTCTCTCCAGGATGATGCGGCTTAGTATTTTGCTTGGGATGGACAGGAGCATAATTCCGCGCCAGTTTTTGCATTGACTTAAGTCTGCTTTCTTTGGTAGTTTGAATAAGTATCCTTTCTTCCAATCCTCGGGTACTTTGCCCTCTTTCCACACCTTCGCCAGCAATGGCGTCATCAAGTCCGTTGTTGTCTCTGGGTTCATTTTCAAAGCTTCTGCTAGGATTCCATCTGGTCCTGCTGCTTTTCCAGCTTCTAGCGTCTTGATTGCATTCAGGACTTCTGATTTCGTCGGGGGGATCGGTGTTCACTGATAGTTCTGCTTCCGTAGTTGGTATTGTTGGGCGCGTTGTAGGTGGCGGTCGATTTAGAAGTCTTTTGAAGTGTTTAGCCCAGTGTTTTCTTTGCTCTACTTCTTTGGTGATTGACTTTTCATTGTCATCCTTTACTGGCTTAATCTGTGTCGAACGTTTTCCCGATAGGTGCCTAGTTGTTTGGTAGAGTGTGGCGAGGTCTCCTTTGCCTGGAGCTTGTTCTGCTTCACTTCCCATGGTTTCATAATATTTTCCTTAGTCTTCCCTGGCACTATGCCTTACTCTTTAGTTCAGTGTATTGTAGTTTGCATTCAAGTCCTGTTTCTGTTGCTCGTCAGTGCACTGGATAATCTTTCATTTCACTGTCCTTCTCTCTTCTATTAGTTTCCAAGTGTCCGTAGTGAGCCACTGTTTGTCCTGTCTCTTTTTTCTGCCTAGAACGTCCATGCAGGTTTGACTCCACACCGTTTTCAAGTTGTCCCAGTGCTTTTCGACGCTGACCTTTTCGCTAGTGTTGATTTGTGTCTCGGCTTTGTCCCTTATGGTTGTATCTTGGTCCGTCAGTTTTTGAGTGTTGAACTTGGCTTGTGGTCTATCTGCAGCTACTGTTTTCCTGAAAGCTTTTAATTTGATTTGGATTGTCCCTTGTACGAGATAGTGGTCTGAGCCAACGTCTGCTCCTTTTCTTACTTTTGTGTCCAGTAGGCTGCGCCTCCACTTCCTTGAGCAGCATTGAGATGAAGTCGATTTGGTTTTTGGTTTCCCCGTCTGGTGACACCCATGTAGCCTTGTGGATATCTTTGTGTTTGTATACGCTGCCACCAATCACTAGTTCGTTGAAGGCGCAGAAGTTGGCGAAGAGTTCTCCATTTTCATTCATTTCTCCGAGAGCTTCTCTACCCATGATGAGTTCCCTTCCTGTGTTGTCTGGTCCCAGTTTGGTGTTCATGTCTTCCATTAGTATTTTAATGTCACCAGCTGGAGTATTGTCCATTGCTGCCTGTAGTTGTCTGTAGAATTCTTCTTTCTTTTCGAGGTCTGCTTTGTTTGTGGGTGCATAACATTGTATAATGGACACTTTCCTTCCTTTGGAGTTGAATCTGGCGGTCATTATCCTGGACGAGATCGCCTCCCATTGCATGAGGGCCTTTGTTGTTGTTGGTGACATCATGATAGCCACGTCTTCGGTGTGTGTGTGTGCGTGTGGTTATCTTCTGGGTGACCGGAGTAGATCACTGACTCACCCGCTGACAATTTGGTGAGTCCATTCTCGTTCCATCTGCTTTCACATATTCCCAGTACTTGAATTCCGTATCTTTTCATCTCGCTTGCAATCTGGGCAGCTATGTCAATCTCGTACGTGGTGTGGACGTTCCATGTCCCCACACAGACTTTATTTTGGCGCAAAGAGATCCATCGTGCTGAAGTTTCTGTAGCAACTTTGTTAACAGAGTGGGGTTGCTAACCTCACGCCTGAGAAAGGAATTGTTACAATAAGATATAGTTTAGAGAGAAGTGACCTTGTGGGTTGCTCCCCTCAAAATCGGAGAACAAGGGCTGAAACAATCAGAACAACACCAGCCAAAGGAAAATAATTCACAGCAAAAAGGACAACAAGCGACAACAAAAATACAATGCAACAACATACAATACAGTTAAGCACAGTTAACTAAAATGATACCAAAACCATAGACTCACTGACTTCGGCCAACTTGAACATATAAATCCAACAATATATACAATTACAGATATGAGTTAGTGTTAAAAAGTCACCAAAATGCCAAACAGTTAGTTATAGGTATTAGTAGTCAACATGATTATTTTTCCACAGGTTTAGTGTTCGAAAGTAAACGGATTGCAATAATTTCCAGAACTTCGTGGTGAGAAAAAACAAAGAAATTAGAGTTTTATTTATCTAAGCAAAATGTAGCGCACTAATCCTTCTGATCATATATATGTATATAACAAGGTTGGGTCACACTCAAATTCGTTGAAGCCTTGGCCATAAAAAGGCTTAAACCTGTCTTATGTGTACAAAAGTTATTTATTCTTGCTTTAAACCTGCTTTGGTAATCCACTTTAGAACCAAGGACCAATTTACTTCACAATATATATTTCAACCCCTTCTTTGCCTTGTTTTTTCCCTAATTACACCTCTGGGTTAGCTCCCTATCCAATATCTGTGACCTTGACCTTGCACACAATCTGACCTGTAGTATAATGAATCATTACTCATGCCTCCTATAAAACTGTGTATTAAAAGTACGTGTGTGATGAGAATGTCCGAAATGTGTTGCGCAAATACATGACGCGTTTCAGATAAACTACGTCTTCTTGTTGTGTTATCGGAAGTAAGATTATTAGTATAAAATGCAATTAAAATATTTAGTTTAATGTCAAGTGGCAAAATAATTAATGCCATATATAGAATAATACATACGGTGTATAGATTTTGGAAAGGGGTACGTTATTATAGGATTAGTAGACGAATATGAAATGTTACATAACAATCCAAATGCACACGAAACTTCTCTAATCCTCACTCATCTTTGTCTTCATCGTCATCTGTATTATCTTTCCTTCCTTCCACTGATGCAACTTTTCTACTTGTTGGCTCCTCACTTCCTCTTCACTCTGTGTCCACTAAAAACGACGGAAGCCAAACAGCCACTACCGATAGTCTCCTAAAGCCACACCACCAATTTCATATAGGAGCATTTAGTGTTAGGACACTGCCAAATAGGACAACAAGCATAACTAGCCAAGACTCTGGCATCATGAGCCATCGATGTATGTTGTGTTTCAGAAACACGCATACAAGACCCAAGTGTGATTATTCACCTAACCCCATGTGGCCAACGGGTTGAATCTGCAAAATTCACCTTGAGAGTGTCAGGAGATGCCACAGCTAGTTCACAAGGATTAGCTGGTGTAGGGATAGCTTTGAGTACTATGGCAGAAAGGACATTACTTGACTGGATCCCGGTAGATAACCGAATGTGTACTGTCCGCCTGAACGGATCAGTAAAAAGGAGAAAGGACTGCACTACTCGCCGATGCCTTTTCGTAATCTCCGCCTACGCCCCCACTGACTGCAGTTCAGATGAAACGAAGGATGAGTTCTACCAAAAGCTGTCTAGTTTGGTGAGAAAGGCTAAACACTCAGATATAGTCGTTCTAGCTGGTGACTTTAATGCTCAAGTAGGGAAATTGTGTCAATCTGAGAAGGATGTTGGTGGCACCTATGGAGTCCCATGCCAGCAAACCGACATCGGTGACCGTCTCCTACAGTTCTGTTCAGATAATCATTTGTTTCTTGTAAGCACTAACTTCAAACACAAGGAGAGTCACTGTTTGACTTGCGACCCCTATCATCAAACCAACGCTGGACACAAATAGACCACATAGCAACAAGCTATCGTTGGAGTGGGTTGGTAGGAGATTGTCGCTCCCTCTGGAACACGTGTGTAGATACCGGTCAGGCATTGGTCCGCGCTCGTGTGTGCTTACGACTGAACGGACGTAGGAAACAGCTGGCGGTAAACCCATCACGTCCCCAGCTCGATCAGGAAACTAAATCCCTATTTGAGGAAGAACTAGCTAAACACATATTTGTGTTCGACAGGTGTGCTCACCCTGAAGAAGCTTGGAAGAATATCCGGGCAGCCATGAATACAGCTGTAAAAGCTGTGAATAAGGTAAATCCAAAGTTGAGTAAAAGCCATTGGATTTCGACTGCCTCATCCGAACTGATAGATGTTATAAGACTTATTCCTGCGAGCTCCGAATTCAATGAGGAGCGAAAGCCGCACAAAAGGAAACTTACGAAAAGTCTCCGCAGGGACCGTGAACAGTGGTGGGTGACAAAGGCGAAAGACATGGAAAAAGCATCGGCGATAGGCAACCCTAGGCAACTCTTTAGACTCATCAGGGAAACGGGTGGGAGAAGGCAAATCATAAGTGAAGCAATCTCTGAGAAGAATGGCACCATAATTAGCTCCCAGGATAGACGACTGGGACTCTGGAAAGAGCACTGTGAGGTGCAGTTTAATTTGGCCCACAGCCACGCTCAACTTGCCGAACATCCAACACCTCCCTGAATGGGATATAGACACAAGTCGTCCGTCCCTAACTGAGGTTACTAAAGCTGTCACCAATCTGAAACAAGGCAAAGCAGCGGGATCTGATGGAATGACTCCAGAGGTATTTAAGTACGGTGGAGACAGCTTACTGTCTGAGGTTCTATGCAGCATCTGGGAGTCAGAGGAAGTCCCATCGGGTTGGTGCAAGTCACTGATTATCCCCGACTATCGATCAAAGGACGGGTGTACTGCTCATCACTCCGTTCCGTCCTTCTTTATGGCTGTGAGACCTGGCCACTGAGAGTGGAAGACATGGAAAGATTAGCTGTCTTTGATCATAGGTGTCTGTGTTCTATCTCTCGTGTTAAGTGGTGGTATAATAAAGTGAGCAATATTGAAGTTAGGCTTCGGTCGAGTGCTAGGTAAACAGGGGAAATCAATCGTTGAGGTTGTGAAGTTACATAGACTGAGATGGTTAGGAAATGTGTTACGTATGCCTAGTCATCGCCTTCCTCGACGAGCAATGTTAGCCGATATAGGGTCAGGCTGGAAAAAAAGCTGGCGGAGGTCAAACAAAAACATGGCCTCACCAGTCAATGAAATCTACAACAGCTAATCTAAGCCACGTAGGAAGGTGTAGACTTCCTGATTGGGGTCCTCGGGACGGTAAAAACTAATGGTTGGAAACTGTTGGTGACATGGCCAAAAATCGTTCTCAGTCATGGTGCAGATGCGTCCACTCCTTGTGACTTGTGATTTCCAATGAAACTGTTTTGTTCTTCGTTATTACTCTTCATTTGTCTCACACCTCTGTTTACTGTCTCTATTATGCCATTCTTGTACTTTCTTCTCTTGCTTTGTGTGCTACGTGGAGTGTGGCGACTTGAACTGACGCACATATGTGCAAAGTTCTATGTTGAAAACAGGCAGACATAACATGGTGTGAAATTTCATAATATAGAATTCAATATTGTTAAAATAAAAAAATTAATAATTTTGGGTTTAAAATGACAAGTGGGTCTAGTGGAAAAGATTCAGAGTGAGAATAGTAATAATAATAATAGTCGTAGTAATAAGGGGAAAGAACATAGAATAACTAAATAAACAAAATAAATAAATGTTTATCCCTCTACAGCCAAGGCAGAAGTAGGGATTGTACTATTCTCACTCTGAATCTTTTCCATTTGACCCACTTGTCATTTTAAACGCAAAATGATTAATTTTTATATTTTTACAATGTTGAATTCTGTCTTATCAAATTTCACACCATGTTATGCAACATTTTATATTCGCCTACTAATCCTATAATTATGCACCCCGTTCTAGCATCTATACGTCTTACGTATTATTCTTTATATGACATTAATTATTTTGCCACTTGACATTAAACTATGGTTATAATCACAAATATTTTAATTGCATTTCGTACTACTAATATTATTTCATGTATTCACACCTTTGATCTAATTTCCTCACCGGATATAATTTCTTAAGAAAAACCATATATTTACGATTGTACAGCTTGATAATGAATTCGTTGAAATTAGTCTCTTCGCTGAATATTGTGTTCTTAATGCTACAATGGGAATTATTAAATTATTGAAAGTAAGATTAATTTGAAAGGTATGGCGAGGGTGTATACATTGCTCATGTTGAATGTAGGTTGTTTTGGCGCTTTCTCTTGTCAATATTCAACATAGATTTGAATAATTTAGTCAGTCATAATTAACTCTAGGAACTTCGGTTGTTTCTCTTAGTGTTGAGTGGTATTTTTTGTATGTCACCAGCTATGGTGAATATTAAAATATAGAAGAACCAGATAACTCTGACCGCAAGAGGTTCGAGTTAGATTCTCCGCCTGATACATTTCCAAAATCCTTGCCTAATTTATCAGCTCTTAGTAAATCCGTAAAGAGGTGAAAGTCGATGTGAGATTAGCAACCATATTTTGTAGATAAACGAAACCACATCACAGCTACTGAAAGTGCAAATCTTGGGGCTTAGCGCCTTATTTTCTACTCTGGACAAAACGATTTAGACAAAGAATATTCCATGCTGTCAGATCTTGTTATTGTATAATGCCTTAATCTGTGATCCTCTTTATCTATCCCACTTAGTCTCAATACTTTGTGTTATCTATAAAGTGGTCAATTTGAAGTAAAAGTAGGGAGAATTTGTAGCTGAGGTGTTTATAGTTTCGGTGTTTTTCCTGCTATGTATCATTTAATTGTGAAGCTTTTATCGCCCTTCTTCTATAGACAACATCTTCAGCGGTCACTTCGAATAATGACAACAAGACTACCACGAAAAGACCTCAGATTACAAATATAATACTCTTCCCACAGATAACCCGAAACCTCATTGCTTTACTTTCTGTGTGGAACGTAGGGTTTTAGGCTAGATGTTTAAAGTTTCAATAGTCATAGTATTGATTTTACGAGGTGTGGTTGCTGGTCTCATACTCCACCTTCTGCGTTTACTAGGGCTTAATGCCTGCTGGCCAGTTGAGGTTTAAGAGTGTTCTGAGTTTGATTTCCACTCCATACACTTCTAAATCTCGGTGGCATTTTGCTCTCAACCAAGTTGGTTATAGATTCAAAACCTGTTGGATCTACCAGAATTACGGTCAGCCAAATAGGAAGGTGAACCCTTAGAGCGTATAGGAGTCATTCAGTGTCAAATGCATGGATATGGGTCTAGTTTGTTGAACAGCAGTTGATTTCAATCGATTCTTTGTTTTAAATCCAAACTTGACTTGAATGTTCAGTAGAATGCATATAAGGCCACTTGTATAAATTTTACTTCCACTTAATTTTTTAGAGTGTTTACCTCCTTCTGGTCAACTTCCAGAGCCTTTATGTACACTACGTGATTTATTATCTGAATTACTTCGTCCAACTACACCCCATCAATCTGTAAGTCTCTTACTGTGTTTTATTTATGCATAAAAGTTAAACATGAATATATATATATATATATATATATATATATATATATATATATCCACAATCTTAGCTATATGCTCCGTACATATCGATCATACAATTAAACACTTTGTCAGTGACATTGACAACTGTTGTTAAAATAACTAAGTATTTACTTATATCCTTGGTATAAGGATTAGCAATACTTGAATTGATTTTCTGAGCTTGTTGCCCATTCATCTATGCATTGATAAATAATATTTGACTAGATTAAGACCATTCAAGAAAAGCAGATCCAACAGGCTATCGCAGCTTTTCATTGATAGCTGTTTTCGCTCGTTGGTCAGAAGGAATTCTGTCAATGAACCAACCAAACACCTATTACCCAATAAATCTCCTGAGAGAGATTTAGATAGATTCGATACGCGCTGAAGAGATCGTTGAATGACATCTCCCACCAAGTTGTAGAGTGGTACTTGAATGCGAAACGAGGAGATGGGTGTCCTGTGAAGGAGAACGCATCAGCTGGAGATGAAAACTTATGGGCAGTCGTCGAGTCAGCTAAAAAACGATCGTAGAGAAGAGAGTGAAGTGGAGATGTGTGCAGCATTTCTCATAGTCACACTCCGTGTAGCATAAATAGGTAGAGAAAAGAGAGAAAAAGAATTTAAAAGAACTCTGATGAGCAGAAATGTTCAGCAGAGTAACATGGTAAAACATGAGGGCTCAATGGACCCGATAAAATACCAATAATGAATGCATCTACACAACTCAGAACGATTTTGAGCCGTATTGCCAACAGTCCTAAGCCCCTGGTTCTTAGCATCCCGAAAACTCCAACATCTGCATATGTTTCATACAGCCGGTTCAATTTACTAGTTTGAACAAAGAAAAAACGAACATATTTGCAGGATAATATGATTTCGTTTTATTTCTTGGGTTCTCTTCAACTGCGTACATCCTAAATAAATCAATTATCAGTTACAAAATACCTCGACATACTTTTTACAATGACCTCCGATCATATATCGAAACTATAGGCAGCGCGCTTTTCGACTATTACGCTACATTTTGGTCATAAATAAAATCTCTTATAACTCTAAAATTTTATGCAAAGTGTTTGCGGAAATTATCACAATTATTAACCTTTCGAACACTGAATCCAAAAAATACAATCTTATTGACAGATAATACACATAACTCACTGTTTGGATTTGTGGAATTTTTAAACATAAACACATCTATAATTGTATATATTGTTGGATTTATATGTTCAAGTTGCTCCAAGTCAGTGAGTTTATGGTTAAGATATCATTTTAGTTAACAATACTGAACTATATTGCATGTTGTCTTATTGTATAGTTGTCGTCGCTTTTTGCCCTTTTTTCTGTGAACTGTTTCCTTTGTTGATGTTGTTCTCATTGTTTGTCCGTTATTTTCTGATTTTGAGGGGAGCAACCCAAAAAGTTGCTTCTCTCTAAACTTTTACTTAATGTAATCATTCTTTTCTCAGGCGTGAGGCTAGCAACCACACCCTGTAAACAAAGTTGCTACAGAACCTTCAGCAAAATGAACCTCTTTGCACCAAAAGAAAAAGTCTGTGTAGGAACATGGAACGTCCGAACTATGTACGAGACTGGAAAAGCTGCCCAGATCGCCAACGAGATGAAAAGATACGGAATACAAGTGCTGGGAATATGTGAGAGCAGATGGAATGGGAGTGGACTCACCAAATTGTCAACAGGTGAGTCAGTGATCTACTCCGGTCACCCAGAAGATAACCACACGCACACCGAGGGCGTGGCTATCATGATGTCACCAACGGCAACGAAAGCCCTGATACAATGGGAGGCGATTTCGTCCAGGATAATGACCGCCAGGTTCAACTCCAAAGGAAGGAAAGTGTCAATCATACAATGTTATGCACCCACAAACAACGCAGACCTCGAGAAGAAAGAAGAATTCTACAGGCAACTACAGGCAACAATGGACAATACTCCAGCTGGCGACATGAAAATACTAATGGGAGACATGAACGCCAAACTGGGACCAGACAATACGGGAAGGGAACTCATCATGGGTAGAGAAGCTCTAGGAGAAATGAATGAAAACGGAGAACTCTTCGCCGACTTCTGCGCCTTCAACGAACTGGTGATTGGTGGCAGTGTATACAAGCACAAAGATATCCACAAGGCTACATGGGTGTCACCAGACGGGCAAACCAAAAACCAAATCGACTTCATCTCAATCTCAAGGAAGTGGAGGCGCAGCCTACTGGACACAAAAGCAAGAAGAGGAGCAGACGTTGGCTCAGACCACTATCTCGTACAAGGGACAATCCAAATCAAATTAAAAGCTTTCAAAGAAGGAGGAGCTGCAGATAGACCACAAGCCAAGTTCAACACTCAAAAGCTGAAGGACCAGGCTACAAAGGACATCTTCATTGCAAGCATAAAGGACAAAGCCGAGACACAAATCAACACTAGCGAAGAGGTCGGCGTTGAAAAGCACTGGAACAACTTGAAAACGGTGTGGAGCCAAACCTGCATAGAAATTCTAGGCAGAAAAAAGAGACAGGACAAACAGTGGCTCACTACGGACACTTGGAAACTAATAGAAGAGAGAAGGACAGTGAAGCAAAAGATTATCCAGTGCTACGACGAGCAACAAAAACAGGAGCTGAATGCAAGCTACAATACACTGAACAAAAGAGTGAAGAAAAGTGCCAGGGAAGACAAAAGAAAATATTATGAAACCATGGCAAACGAAGCAGAACAAGCTGCAGGCAAAGGAGACCTCGCCACACTCTACCAAACAACTAGGAACCTTTCGGGCAAACGTTCGACACAGATTAAGCCAATAAAGGACGACAATGGAAAGTCAATCACCAAAGAGGTGGAACAGAGAAAGCACTGGGTTGAACACTTCAAAAGACTTCTAAATCGTCCGCCACCTACAACACGTCCAGCAATACCAACAACGGAAGCAGAACTACCAGTGAACACTGACCCCCCGACGAAATCAGAAGTCCTGAATGCAATCAAGATGCTTAAAACTGGGAAAACACCGGGACCAGATGGAATCCCAGCAGAGGCTTTGAAAATAGACCCAGAGACAACAGCGGACTTGATGACACCACTACTGGAGAAGGTGTGGAAAGAGGGCAAAGTACCCGAGGATTGGAAGAACAGTTACTTATTCAAACTTCCAAAGAAAGGAGACTTAAGTCAATGTAAAAACTGGCGGGGAATTATGCTTCTGTCCATTCCAAGCAAGATACTAAGTCGCATCATCCTGGAGAGAATCAAACAAGCCCTAGATGAAAAACTTCGTCCGGAACAGGCTGGATTCAGGAGAAACAAATCATGTATTGATCAAATCGCCACTCTACGGATCATCATTGAACAAAGCTTGGAATGGCAGTCACCTCTCTATCTCAACTTCATCGACTTTGAAAAGGCCTTCGACAGCGTCGATCGAGAGGTCATTTGGAAACTACTTCGCTACTACGGGGTCCCATCGACAATTATACACCTCATCCAACAGTTATACGACAATGCTGCATGCCAAGTAATCCACAACGGGAAACTTACGGAAGCCTTCGAAGTGAGGACGGGAGTGAGGCAAGGCTGTCTACTATCACCAATGATCTTCCTGATTGCAATTGATTGGATAATGCGACAGACAACGGCAACCAACGAGGGAACAGGCATAAAATGGACTGACACAAAAGACTTGGAGGATCTGGATTTCGCCGATGATATATGTCTGATTTCCCATAAACTGGAAGATATGCAAATGAAAAGTAACAAGTTGGCAGAAGAAGCATCAAAGATAGGACTTCACGTGAACATAGATAAAACAGAGATGATGAAGATTCCTAGCCAACATCAACAGCAACAACAGACCACAATAAGCATAAATGGGAAGAACCTGAAAGAAACAACCTCCTTCACCTACCTGGGAAGCATCGTCTCAACTACAGGCGGAACTGACGAGGACATCAAAGCCAGAATCGGAAAAGCAAGACAAGCTTTCATTACTCTCAAATCTGTGTGGAGGTCAACAGCATTCAGCATCAAAAATAAGATCCGGATTTTCAACTCCAATGTGAAGTCAGTGCTACTATACGGATCAGAGACTTGGCGAGTCATAAAGAGCATCTCAAACAAACTTCAAACCTTCATTAACAACTGTCTCCGCTCAATACTCAAGATCAGATGGCCAGAAAAGATCAGCAACAGGGATCTCTGGGAGCGAACCAATCAGGAACCGATTGTGAAACAAATAGGCAGAAAGAAATGGAGATGGATTGGCCATACGCTGAGGAAACCATCAAGTGACATCACTAGACAAGCCCTCGAGTGGAACCCGAAAGGGAGGCGGCGAGTTGGTCGTCCAAGGGTGACTTGGAGGAGGTCATGTGAAGAGGAGATGAAAGCATGTGGGCAGACCTGGAGCAGGGTGAAAAAGTTGTCAAAAAACCGAAGTCAATGGAGGTGCGCAGCTGAAGCCCTATGTTCCTCTAGGAACTAAAGGATACAATAATAATATATAATAATAGGCAGCATAACTTCAGAGATTTTGGGCTCGTTAACTCAGTCAAAAGTGGGCAAGTATCCTACATATGTCAACTACAACTGCATTTACCAATTCACCTTCACTTGCAACAGCATATACGTAGGACGGACTGCGAGGTGAGCGTCTTCTAGAGTTTCCCAAATAGGAAGCAATGCGCATCCGGGATTCCACTGCTAGTCACCATCCACCAATTAAATAGTAAGTAAATGTCCAGACATCGTCGAAGCATCTGCACAAGAAGCCGACATGTCTACCTGAGACCGAGCACTTCGGTCCACTCAATCCACGGGAAAATCTCAAATTCAATAAAATTAATATGACTCGTTGCACAAGAGCTGGCTCTCGTGGCCCAAGTGGTCTAGTGGATAACGCTTTGGCGTTTATGGGTACTGGGTTCGAGCCTCGGTAGGAACATCATCACTCACTGAGAAGTGCAGGTACATCCAGCTGACGAGTCCCGAATGGGAAGAAATACGCATCCTGGATTCCACCGCTAGTCATCATCCACCAATTAAATACTTTCCCAGCATATCCTTAGAAGTCTCCGTTTGTAAGGTAGCAAAGTGTTTTCAAGAGCAATTGCCAGACACCTAAATGATACGAGATGTACAGTGGAAATTAGTCAGGTTCTCAAGATAATCAATACACAAAGGAAAACATGGTTACTTCAGTTCGCAGTGTGTGTTCGTAGACAGTGTGATTAATTTCTTACTACCCTGGTAACCATAATTGTTTTGTTCGTGTGCTTTTGTGCTTTTTTTCTGTTGCGTAACATTCCACTTAATTTTGATTTTCACTTACTGAGTTGAACCCACTATTAAGTTTTCAAATCTACTGAGCTATTTTATCTCTTTTATAATTTCACTGTTCAACCCCACACTTCATCATAATTTGTAAAAATTCAGTCTCTTGTTCTATCTTGTATTTTTTTCTCCAGTCCATCCTTGTTCCCAAAAGAAATCTGAATTCTACCCCTTTGTCTAATTACTATATAAGTAGTTACTCTTTTAACACGGAATAATTGTCTGCTTTCATCATCTTTGAAATTATGTCGCCTATACTTTCTGTCTATAACTTGAAATCATTGTAAAAGCTGTAAAACGTTCAGAAAAATCTTGTTTTGATTTTTTATCAAGCACATTGGGATTATTTTAAATAATTTATAATGATTCAATCTGACTCGGTGCTCAAATTATTCCAAGAAATTCGTAACCCCTACTGTCTGGAAACTTATAATCTTAATATAACTGATTTATCTGGGATATACGCAGTTGAGAAGAATTCACGGAATAAAACAAGCTCGTATTATCTTGCAAATATATTTTCGTTTTTTCTTTATTCAAACCTGCATATGTGGTTGGCTTAAACGAACAATCAAGGACTTCTTGCATTGATAACAGTTCTTAGTTTGATCACCTTTAACTCTTTTTCAACCGAATCCTGTGCCAGATAACACTGTCCGACAGGAAAGCCCAGTGGCTTTGTAACATTTATTCCAGCTGTGTAATTTCATATAGCTTCACAATCTGACCGATTGTCTCGCTTTCCTTAACTAGGACTCTACTCTTAACCTTCTTATTACTCACCAAATTTTATTATAATATATATTGCTTCATATTCCAGCATGTGAAAACTGTTTTCATTAGTCTGACTTTTATTCGATAGGATGTTCAACTTTAAAGAGGTTGACAAATAATCCAAATATTCTATTCAGTCTTTCATGCAACAGTTCATGAAGGCTTGTCATTTCAAGGATGGTTTCCTTTGACCACTTCTTCTTGAAATCTAATATAATTATAAATTTACTAATAGAGGCATATTGCTTGTCTTCGATATACCAGAGATTGGCTGTCCGCTAGGTAAATAGCTTGTCCACTTATGATCCATAGAAAATTTAACACTCACTCTGAAGTGGGTGTGGGGAAATACGAACCAGATGCACAGTTTACTAAATATTCTGTGCAAAATAACCTAATTCGTATTTGAAATGCATTTCATGCCTTTAAAATATATGAGACGATACTACGGCATATGCATTTCCATTGGTCTATGCTCTTCGCTTCCACCGAACTAGTGGCTTATGGGTTCGAATCTCACTTGACCCACCTAAGTTTCAGTGACCAAGTAGAAACATTAGCCGTCTCACACACTAAAGTTGTGTGGATCATCGTCAACTGCTGTATGGAATTACAGGTGCAACGATGCTATATGACTGATTGGTGTGCTTGTCAACGTTCCATTCGAGATTTACAGTGGTCTCATGGTTTATCTATTTAGTGACTTGTGATAGCTGGTACGGAATTCATTGCTAAAAATATTTGGTAATATTGATACATGGAATTTATACCAGTATTGAAAAGAGAATAGGTATACATAGTTTTGTTACTTTGTTGTGTTTTCCTTTATTTTTAGGAGAGCATAGATATTGAAAAGACTATACTTAAAGCTACATCAAGTGATCCGTCGGATTATCGAAGTGATAAAACCACTAACAGTATAGATCATCCTGTAGGTGAAGTCAAATACACTGATGGTTATGCTACCAGTCGTCCAACTGAATTACGACAACATCAACAACAAGCGCAATCTGCATGTAACGGAGTTGATTGGTTAGTTGGTAAGTGTGCGAGTCTTTCTGTGAATATATTCTTGGAGGCCTGCTTGAATCACCAAATTTTCTCTATTTCTTGTTGCTTTAATCATTTAGCCACTTCTTTGGGCAGTGAACTGTGCTCATGCACATTTTTCATTGACTTTTGACTTATTCGGTGTGCAATTCTGAGGGACAAAGGAAAAATATCATAAAGGGTTGGTTTACACTACAGTTTGCACGGCATTGCATCACCTGGTGTAGTATGGATTACTATCCTATTTGAAGATCTTGGGTGAAGAGAAGATATTTTGTGATGAATTACTCTGAGAATTCTATATATATTGTGTAAACGTCTTGTCCAGAATGAGGCTAGTGCTAGACAATCAAATCGATGGCACGACTCTTGCTGTCACTGCTTTCGGTTAATTAACTTCTATTGGAGGAGTAGATGAGATACAGTTGAAATTCACCGACTGTGTAATCATCAATATCCAATACAGTCTCAGATAGTTTCACTATCTCCTCTGCTTTTAATTTAATGTGATGACTAACACTGACAAGCGAAGACCGTAGTTGGGTAACTAGTGTTGATGACAAGTAGACAGCAATACATCATTCATATACATCGTATATGGGTATTCCCCTTAGTTATTCCAGGGAAATGATGTTCTGGTCAGCATTAGGTCTCGGCGGGTGCTCAACTATTGTTAGACCACCTGAATAGTAATTTAGAGACTGTTGATTCGAGTCCTGCCACTACCAAGATTTTAATTTCACCTTCAATTATCATCCGTTATAATAAATTATTTTTGGTGAAACCATTAGTGGCTAAGTTAAACTTTGGATACCCAAAAGGAGCGAATGCACCAATGACCTTTTGGCTATCAGTGATAACAAGGCACCTTTACTTATGAAAGGAAGTATTGATATTAAGTAGACTATCTGGTTAATCTTAAGTTAGATTAGGAAAAGATTAAGGTTGGGTTTAGATTAGGGGTAGGCTGAAGGTAAGTTAACCTAACTTGGGCAGTATTACGATTGGTTAGGGTTGTATATTAAGGCTAGGTTACGCATAGATTAGGGGTGAAGTTGAGTCAGGAGACCAAAAATTGTTTTTTAGTATATTTGCTCTCTTGGAGGTCGTTAGCGCCTTTGCACCTCTTGGGTGTTTAGAGTTGGATCTTGTCCGACTCATTGTAGCTTTGGTTTCCTAATGCGTATAAGATTGCAATTATTATATCTTTCACGGTTATTATTATTGCTTCTTGAATGAAGCTGATCAGCTATGGTAGGTTCAATGATTAGTAGATGGGTCTTCACTGCATGTCGTGTACTCCTATTTTCCTAAGGCGAGTCCAAACTGACTATTAAATCCGTCTGTTCTGTATGACCCACAGGCGTGTAGTGACAGGAAGTGTAACCTAACATACCTATTTCATCCTATTTGAGATTTGTCATCTGGATATGCCTGTAATTCCAGTCAGTGACTATATTCCCTCTGAGACTTGTTTCAAACGCTAAATCATTATTCACTAGGCCATGATGAAGGCCAAACCAAGCTAACAACGAGTTCGATTCTCGTCATAATCAAACAAAATAATGACTTATAATGTTAATTCCTGTTTCAGTAGCTTTCTATCAACTACAATCAATGTCTTATACGACGAAAAAATATATAAACATTAGTTCTAAAAATGTTCATGCGTTCGTCAGATAATTAGCCAATAAGAATAAAGATAACAAAGTTGATCACTCAGTGTTGACTGGTTGTTGTTGTTGCTTTTCGTTTTGACAGTTCGGTGTATACAAAAGTGTTATTGTGAAATCAAAAACTTTATCGACAGTATATAATCATTTGAACCTTGAATTCACCAAAAGTTACTCAGGTTTTCTGTTTTTATTCTCTGATTTTTATCCTTCTTCTTCAACTATAATCACCACCATCTACTCATCTGTTGAAATACATTCTTAGGATATAATAATGAAGCGAAAAAGCAGTGAGTGGCCATGACACCACCCAGGTTACGAAACTAAGTATTTGACCATGTAGTCACTCGGATGGAATCGATGAATTTTAATTTCTGTTAATTCGTTGTTTCTACCTCCACAGTCAGCCAATGTCCTTGGCGAGCATATGTCCTCATAACCTACTTGGTAAACCTCACTAGTCACGACTTCTCATTAGAACTCCAGTCAACTTCATCCTATAGTCAGTCAGTCGCTAGTGAGTCACACTAGAGTGATTTTCAAGTGTTAGTTTGTAGGGGAATTGGGTTGGTTTCAAGTTCTATCATGTACTGATGTCAGTTCAGTTCTGCGTAATACTTCCTGGCAATTTTCAGTAGTTTTCTAGCTGTTATCCATCAGTTCATTGTCAAACGTGGAATCGATTAAATCCTTTTAAACTAACCCTTGAATTACATTGGGTTATATATTAAATTATAGGTTACCAAGTGGTGTAGTTGTTAGTTGCTTAGTTCGAGGAAACTATTAGATATTAATCACTGTTACAGCTACTGCACGAATAACTCTCTGAAGAAAGGGTCTTTCAGTCTTCGACCAAAATTCAAAATAAGTCCAAATTAGTTTCAAACAGAATAACAGACTGTTTAGGAACTGAATGATTATTGTTCTTCAAATATGAGGTTATCTGGCATCGAAACACCAAGAACACAATGGCTGAACCCCAAAAATGTCTCTCATTTAACAAAAATGTGAATTCGAACAAAGAATAAAATGTACAACAGTACAATGAACCACAAACAGTCCAATTAGCACAAATGCAATCCGGTACACTGAAGTACAACTTTAGTGTTGAAGGTTACAGTATTAGACATCACAATCAACATTAGTTACTATTGTATAATTTTGCATGAAAACCTAGAAAATTAAATTTAGAGAAGTTTAACATATATATTGATTAGTTTGATAGTTATAGTTCTGTTCTCTTTTTTATTCTGCTTGCTAGCCTACTTGTTTACTGTAGTTCTAGTCTGTTATTAAGTGTATTCGTTCTCACTTTACTAGCATAGTTGGCTACTTTAATTTGATTTCACAAATGAAAAGATAATTATTCAGTTAGTCTCTCTGAGTATGTGGTTCTTTTCTGCCTTATTTTCTCTTAAATTTATTTCGGCGTTTGAAGTCGTGTTTCAATTATTTTTTGCAAAACATTAATTATGACAAACACTTTGGATTCTAATTAAATTGAATTTCACTTCATTTGATGAGTCTTTTTCACCTCGAACTGTATAATTTACAAATTTTTTGAATTGACTTCTCTGTGTATCATCAGTTAGCTTAAGTAGCCAGCTAACCAGAACATAGCCGATGTGAACTGGTTCTGAGCTGTGTCTCGTAAACTGGGTACACCGCTGAATCTTAACGAAAGACAGCTGTTCAGTGTTTTAATCCCTTTGATTTCGCTGGCAAACACACTACAATGATTGATATAGGTAGTTTTCAACCTCTTCATTCATTTCGCGTTCTGGGTGTGATATATATCCATATAATAGGTGTGTTTGTTTGACAGTCTGATATATTTTGCTATGTATATGTGGATCGATATTCCATTATAATTCGCCAATCATGTTAAAACTGTCTAGTGATTTGTTCATTTTGAATATTCGCTCACACACTTGTTCGGACATTCATATATATTTTTGCTCTCACACTCTTGTGGGACATATTGATTCTCCTTGTGTTTTGGAAAATAGAAGTATCATCGCAAACCTAGTGGTCTTCTGATTTCCGTCTTTCTTGCGTCAGGACTATTAAATTCTCGACCAGTACATAACTATAATATGGCGACGGGGAAAACTATGGACTTTTCTAAATTGGAATTACTATTTGAACAACAAATGAAATTAATGGAAATGTTCGTCAACCAACAGACTGGTCCAACTTCACCTTCAAGCAATCTGAATCATACCATGCTACCATCTGTCGACGGAATTGTGAATAGTATTTCACAGTTCAATTATAATCCAGAAGCGAATGTCACTTTTGACACATGGTATCAACGGTATGAGGATTTATTCACAGTTGATCTCGCCTCACAAGACGATGCTTGGAAGGTGCGAGTGTTATTACGTAAATTGGGTCCGGCAGAATATGAAAGGTACTGCAACCTAATTTTACCCCAAAAACCACGTGACAAGTGTTTCGATGATACAATAAAGCTGCTGCGTGAACATTTTGGAGACCACTCCTCATTATTCAGCATACGTTATCGTTTCGTCAAGCTGACAATGAATGAAAATGATGATTTTCTTACTCACGTTGGCACAGTCAACCGAGAATGTGAGAGATTTCGACTCAGGTCCTTAACAGATGATCAATTCAAAGCCTTGATTCTCATATGCAGTCTTCAATCTCCTCGTTTCACAGATATCCGAACTCGACTGCTCAATCAGCTAGAACAAAATCCTAAGTTAACATTACATGACATAGCTGATGAATATCAACGGCTGATTAATTTGCAGAAAGACACACACCTGGTCGAATCAACACCTTCGAGAAGCTCTGATATTCATGCATTACGAAAGAGCAAAAATCTCTCATCATCTACTCCTGACCCACCTACTTTCTCTAATGTTCCGCGGAAATCTACACATACTCGTCCAACTTCATAAAATACTGCAAAGAAGACCCCACCATCACCATGCTGGCATTGTGGCGCGTGGCACTTTGTAAAGTCTTGTCCATACAAAAATCATCGTTGCAGCAAGTGCAAAGTCATCGGTCATAAAAATGGTTTTTGTCAGCCACGCAAACCCAGATATCATAATCCAGCGAAAGCTCGACAAACTGTTGGTCCTAAATCTCCAAGGAGATCATTGAGTCTACTCGCAACCTGTCAAGTCACAACACCAGGTATGCGGAAATATATTGACCTTCAGATGAATGGTCATGATGCACGTCTGCAGCTAGATACCGCCTCTGATATTACTGTTATATCAGAGAAACTTTGGAATAATATTGGCAGACCACCAATCGCAAATACTTCTCAGACTGCTGTCAGCGCCTGTGGTGGGTGCCTCAAACTAATTGGTGAACTCGAATGTTCTGTTTCCTTCCGCAATATCAAATTCACAGGAATTTGTTACGTCACCAAGAGTGATTTAAATCTTTTGGGACTTGATTGGTTCGATCGTTTACATCTAGCTGATGTCCCACTAAATTCGCTATGCAATGCAGCCAAGAAACAAAAAATGTCAAACAATTCCGGACGAAGCTGAAGCCGCAAACCCAATAAGCAGACGAAGCGACAGACGTCAACAACAAGCTCAAAGGTTCCAGATAAACCCCCAAGAAAACACGCTACTAATCAACAATCTTCTCAAAAGAGGAGGTGATATACATCCACATAATATGTTTGTTTGTTTGACAGTCTGATATATCTTGCTATGTATATATGGATCGATATTCCATTATAATTCGCCAATCATGTTAAAACTGTCTAGTGATTTGTTCATTTTGAATATTCGCTCACACACTTGTTCGGACATTTATATATATTTTTGCTCTCACACTCTTGTGGGACATATTGATTCTCCTTGTGTTTTGGAAAATCGAAGTATCATCGCAAACCTAGTGGTCTTCTGATTTCCGTCTTTCTTGCGTCAGGACTATTAAATTCTCGACCAGTACATAACAGGTTGGGAAAATAATGCTTTAAGATAGCTGAGCTCTGAAGTTTCAGTAGTGCTTGTATTGTTTTTACGGGACGAGCCTGCTAGAGTCACACACAAAGTACCTACGTTTTAGGAGTAGGAATGCACCTGTCTAAGGCTGGAGAGGAGATGCAATAAATAACAGAACGGTAGATAAAGGAAAAACAGATTAGTAAAGTTGGTCGGCGGCACGTCGGTGGCACAGAGGTAGAGTGCTCGCCAACCACGCAGGTGGTTGGGGTTCGATCCCTGGCCGACGCACTCCTTTACTTCGCTATGCCAGTAATAAAGACTGGTGAAAACAGAAGGTTGGGCATGAGGCTAACAACCTCATCCTGTAAAAATAATCTTCACGTCTACTGAGACTTCAAAGCACTAGCTTGACACCCTCTGTTCCACTAGGAACATAAAAGGATAAAAAGAACTTGCTCTTTAGTGGGCTACAAAACACTCTACGGGTATACATTGGATTTCAGTCATCGAATTATCGCTGTTTCTACATATCATAGCGATCTACTGCTACTCTATTTGTTTAACACATCTGAAAGCTGTCTTCTTAGAATTGACAACATGACTTGTATCAATAACTTGTTTACCAATAGTATTGCTTTCCTAGTTCTGATGATAATCTTTTTACTACATGTTCAAAGATTCTTTTCTTACAGGATTTCATCATGAGCTGACATTAGTCAGAGAACCATTGAGAAACCATGGAGTACTGTACAGCTGTTTCTTCCTAGTTTGGGAATCTTCAGCAGTATGCACCCACCGGGATTCGAAGCCATGGCCTTCTGGTTACAAGGCGAGCTCGTATACCATTAAGCCACTGGGACTCGATCCAATGGCCCGTGAATTCTAACTTCTGCCAATTCACGACATAGCGTAACCCCCTAGCCAATGTCTTCGGTGAGTATTTGTCCTCACATCCGACCAGATGCACCCTACTGGTCACGACGTCACTATTGGTCACGAAATAGCTGTCCAGTACTCCCAGGTTTTCCAATGGTTCTCTGACTAATGTCAGCTCATGATGAAATCCTGTAAGCAATCAAATCCCTACAAATCAACACTTGGATTCTTTTTTTAATGACTATCAGATCGTACACCGCCTTTTTCTTAACCTTGTGCATGTGTAGAAGATTTAGGGTGCACGAAATAAAAGTGAATTCAGTTCATTTCGTTCGTCTGTTGTACTTACTTTAGAAAAAAAGAATCTATAAAAGGGGAACTAATTGTAGACATGTTTATTTCTTTATTTATTTACAGCTGAATCTGGTTACCTGTCGCCTCGTACTACAAAAGTTCAATCAGTTCTACAAACACCAGACAATATTAAGACTAAACGACCTACAACACTTCAATCAAGCAGTAATAATGCGCGCCCATCAAGTGCTAGCAGTAAATGTTCAATATCTGCTAAAGTGACTCTACAATCATTAGGTTTATCATTAGGCGATCGTGTTTGTATTGCACCAGGTAATTCAACTCCAACGTCATCATCAGCTTCAGCGTCTGTATCGAGTAAGGCTCATCCAACAACACCTACAGGTATATCAGGTCGAATAGGTAAACTACGCTTTTGTGGATCAGTTTCATTTGCTTCTGGTGTATGGGTTGGTGTAGAATTGGATGAACCAGTGGGTAGAAACAATGGAAGTGTAGCAGGTGTAAGGTTTTTTAAATTATTTTTTCTTTTATTCACTGACATATTGTTATGTATTTGGCTTTTGCAACTGTCTTCTTGTGTTATGAATAACTTGTGGCTGTGTATGTGTGTGTGTGTGCATGGTGGCCGTGATGCCTTTAGTTAAACATACGTTTTGTTAAAGTTTTTTTTCTGAAAGTGGATTAAACTTACTTTATTCGTTGACGTGTAATTATCTTACAAGGAAGCTCAAATTAAATTGACTAAAAGAGGCTCCTCTAATCCATGGAAAGCGATTTCAAAGCCAGGATGTCAAATCAATCAGTTCTTCCTTTTATGGTTCAAAGACTTACTGGGTCACCAACATGCTGCTGTTGACTTTTATTAACAGCTGCCTTCACTCGATGCTGAAGATCAGATGGCCGAAAAGTATTAGCAAAATTGAATTATCTCCACGAATCAACCAAACACCTGTTACCCAAAATATATGCCACAAAAATGGAAATGGATCGGACTCATTCTGAAGAAACTGTTGACTGACATAGCGCATCAGGCCCTCGATTGTGCAATCAAGGTGGGAAATATCGAGTTAGGCTTCAGATGGTGGTGACAAAATATTTTCCAGACTGAGGTGGGTGGTTGTCTTAAGAGGCCACCTCCTGAACGTTTGATCTGAAGCCTGACCCACAAAGCAGCGGGGTTGCGTTCTCATGGATTCCGATGACTAAAACAGGTTCGTACGCCAGTCGATCTTTCCAAATTCCGGGGGCCATATACACCACAATTTCAGAATCAGAGTTTTTCACATCCCCCAGGTAGATCACCATGTCCACCAATCCAGTTGTAGGTGCAGGACTTTCGCATTCGTCCATTTACTTTTGTATGGAACACATTCGTCGCATGAAGGCAGTGAATGATGCTCATTTGGCAGAGACTATGGACATGTGGCCATGTGACAGAATTTTTAGAGGAAGTCTGATGTCGACCCATTGTCATCTGTATCTGGTTGTCTATGAGGAAGGCGCAAATTGTGGATGTTTCCATCACAACGTATTCCTCATAGTCATCATCATCATCATCAAAGTAGTCATTTAACTTTCAAATCCAATTTCTCCAATGTCTGTAATAGATGGTAAATTTATTCTAGTTTTACATATTCGTTGTCAGTCTCATGAATAAAGTTTCAGTAATCAATCGATTTCTGTACATATAGCTTGCATTGTGGTATCGTCATACTTTTGAATGAGATCAAGTATAATCCCTAGACAGTAGTATATTTAATTAGATTTAATAGTGTGAAATATACCCATATCATGAATTAAAAGCCGATCTGAACGAAGAGTATTCTTTCCAATCATTTCTCCACTTCAGGTCCTTACAATTACAATTATAAAATATAATATTTGTGGTCGTTACAATTATGCGACGGATGCATTTTTAACGTAGAATAACAGATTAGTTATGGGGTGTCAAAAGAAATAGTCATATTTGTGTGACAAACGTGCTGGGCTGAAATCGATTACAAAATATTATGAAATGGGAGACGGTAGTGATGATTAGTCGTAATAGATTCGTAGAATGTGGGGTAGGAAAATTGACTAGTCAGTTCAAGTTTATAAAAGGTGTCAGAGGAGTTACTAGTGCGAAGTAGTACGTATTAAAAGGGAGCGGGTAACACTACAATGAGAGGTTTATCATGAAATAACCAATGTGTAAAATGAAACAGGTGCAGGCGTATATTAAGAAAAGAGAATATCACTAATAATAAGTCGGGAAAGTATAAATGGAAAATTCGATAGTATTGAGAGAATTATGGCGAATAATAATAACAATAATTGTAATAATAAGCAAAGAAAGAAAAAATCAAGATGGTTAAGGGGAAAAGCATTCTTGGTGAGAAGAAGAATCATCAATCCAAGTTTGACCACTGTAGGAACAGAGTCTGGGAGTGTTCATTTTGGATACGATGTTCCGGTTTAGTCGATCATATTGCAACAGCTTCAACTATGTGTAGCAGACGTAAGCGGTCCATTTCACTTACGAAGGAGAATACAACGACTGTCTGCACTTCATCAACGTTCTACTAACGCGATGAGAGGTTGGTTCCGTCAAAAGAAAAATAATTAGAAAGCTCAGTTATTCACAATTCCTTAGCTTCGTACCGATGAAGTACTTACGGCTAGATAACATAACATAACTGAAAAATTAATTCAATTATCTCAGTGAAGTGTCTCTCTTTTCGACAAATTCAGTAAACATTTTAGCTGTAGCAATTGCATTTATGTACAGTGGAATACGATAACTGAACCACCTTTGTAACTCTTGTGTTCCTTTCGAACTCTTAGCCAATATCACATTTTGACTTGTTTCTATGTGCATCCTAAATTACCAGTCACTCATTAAATTACTGATCCTATTGCGTAACTACAAAGCCTTAATTCAACTCCTTTTATGTACTAATTAGTATTAACAATTATGAATTATGACAGCTCATGATTTTTGTCACTATCCTCTTTCTTTGAAGAAATTGACATATAAATCCAAAAACTAAAGAGGAAACTGGGCCTGTCGTAAAGAGCCTCTTTGTTAAACTACTTGTCTTATTTTTTTTTACTGATACCTAAGTGGGGATTATTCATGGGCATGATAGTAACACTTTTAATAGGACACTAGTAACTAGTGTGACGTGTCTAGTCCTTTCTTCGATGCAGACGGAATTCTGTCAGTCAGGTTTGGAATGTGGCCACCATTCTAGGTAGCTCGCCATCACAGTGCACGTTGATTTGGTGATATCAGATGGTTGGAGGCAATCGACAGAAAGCCTTGGACCTAGGTTTCGTGCTAATTGGCACTTGTCAGCAAACCTGACTGCACCAAAGAAAGGACTAGACACGTCACACTAGTTACTAGTGTCCAATCAAAATACCCACTACAGTCCTACAGGAGGTCAATTGCGAGCCAGCCCGAATAGCACAGCGGTAACACCTTGGTGAAAAATCACTCCATACTCAATTAAGTTTCAATAGATCATATCTCCCTATTTAATTATACACTAATGTTTCTTGTCTCTTCACTTTATTTAACTGTTTTATTTCGCTTTTTTCTTCTGCGATTTTCTTCCCCCCCCCCTCCCCACCTTGAAAAACATCAAACAGGTTAAATATTTCACATGTCCAAATCAACATGGTATATTTGCTCCAATCGGTCGGGTATATAAAACTGTCAATGTAAATGGTAAAACAAATTGGCATCCTATCGCTACTTCTATTGCTACTACAACTACTGCTTCGAGTAGTAGTTCTACAACTCATAGTGGTGTTGTCAAGCGTTCTAGTGTATCGAGTACACCGAACACTCTAAGGAAATTAAATAACTTAAACGAAGAGGCTGATGAAGAGGAGGCAGCCAGTACACCAGTAAAGCGTTTACCCTCATCAAGATCAAGTTATTCAATTAGTTCAACTACAGCATCCCTACATCATCAGTGTCCGTCAACTGCTAGTGAGCATCAACATCAGCGTACGCCTACACCGACTGGAATGCAATCACCTATAAATTTATCACATGTTACTGCGAAAATTGATACTGGTAAGTAAACTGATTTTGTAATTGCATATATATATATATATATATATATATATATATATATATATCCACTTGTTTATTAAGTGAGTTGAAGACAAATATGCCTTTTCATTGGCTTCAGAAATTGACTAACACCCTGTAGAAGTAGGTTCTGAGTTTGAACCCTGTTTCAGCCATTCGACAGACTAGAGGCAGCTGGACAGCCCTCACACGCTATTAAGTGTCGCTTGTATATCATGCTTGGTTCAGGTAAATTGTGTTATCGGTAAGTGAGTCTGTCTGTCTGGTTTCAACATAGAACTTTGCACCGGTGTGTAGCAGTTCGAGTCGCCAGACTTCACTTAGCACACAAAACAAGAGAAGAAAGCAAAAAGAAACGCAAAATAGAGACAGTAAACAGAGATATGCGGCAAAAAGATTACTAATATCGAAGAACAATATAGTTTCATTGCAAATTATAAGTCACAAGAAGTGGATGCATCTGCGCCATGGCTGAGAACGATTTTGAACCATATCACCAATTGTTTCCAGCCATTGGGTTTTACCGTCCCAAGGACCCCAACCAGGAAGTCTACACCCCCCCCTACGTGATTGGCTGGCTTAAACAAAGTGTTGTGAATTTCATTGACTGGTGCCATGTTTTGGTTTGACCACCACTGGGTCTTTTCCAACCGGACCCTATGTCAGCTAATATTAGCCGTCCGTCGAGGAAGGCGATGGCTAAGTATGCGTAACACATGTCCTTACCATCTCAATCGGTGTAACGTCACATCCTCGTCGATTGATTTTCCCTCCTTACCTAGCACTCGACGCCTAACCTCAATATTGCTCACCTTATTTATACCACTTCACACGGGAGATAGAACGCAGACACCCATGATCGAAGACAACTATCCGGTATTTTCATGTCTTCCACTGTCAATGACCAGGTCTCACAGCCATGATGGAGGACAAAATGGACTGTTGAGCAGTACACACGCCCTTTGGCCGACAGCGAGATATCACGTCTGTGCCAGGGACGGCGCAAACTAGCATATGCAAAACGAGTCTTTTGTATCCGTGCTGAGATTTCTACAGTGATCAACCCGTTGAGGCTGATGCAACTTCCCAAATAAGAAGTGGTCAACACGCTCTACCACTTCACTTCCTATTTTTGAGCTAGGAGTCAATGTGGTCCAGTCCTATAACATCATCTTACATTTGGCGGGAGCGAATCGCATGCCCAACATCCTCAGATTGCTGCTCCTCGAAGTGTTCAGAAGACTTCGCTGGATTGTGTCAGCGTCTTCACCTATAAGGACTATATCGCCTGCATATTCTAAGTCACCGAGATTATTCCGTGGTAACAAGAAAATCCCTGAATCGCTGAATTGAGTTAGGGTTAAGTCCACAAGTACATCTATGATGAAATTAAACAGAAATAGGGACAGTGGGCATTCCTGACAGACACCACTAGTTGTCGCCACTTCAGATGACAACTCACCGTAAGCCTTCACCTGACTGACTGGATGAGCTCGAGTAGAGTGCATTGATCAGTGCAATGTATTTTCTTGGCATTCCTTTTACAGCCTAGCATCTGCAGAGTACCTCTCAGTCGACAGAATCGAATTCCGCCTTTAGGTCAAGAAATATAAAGATCGCTGTACGCCCACGGTAAGTATACCTATGTTCCATAAGCTGTCGAAGAGTGGAGATATGATCAATACTCTCTCTTCCTGATCTAAAGCCTGCCTGGTTCTCTCGTCTTTGTTCCTTCCGTGGCCTACTTAGTCTAGGCATGTTTATTGAGCCTAGAACTTCAGATCTCCCTGTGGTTATCAGAAGAAGACTTGTCTCCATTCTCGTATATGGGGATAATCAATGACTTACACAAGTTCGACGGGACTTCCTCTGATTCCCAGACGCTGTCTAGGACTTCAGTCAATGCATACAGTAAACTGTCTCCACCGTACTTAAATACTTCAGGAGTTATTCCATCAGGTCCCGCTGCTCTGCCTCGCTAGGGATGGAGGATTTGTGTCTATATCCCATTCAGAGGGGTGTTGGATGTTGGGTAATTTGAGAGTAGCTGTAGACCAAGTAAACTACTCCTAAAGGGTAAGTGAGTTCGAACACGCAAATCGACATACTTGTTTGTGTGGCCTGTAATATTTTAACCTAGCAGATTGTGAGGGTGATGGAAATTTAACGCGCTAAATAAACCTACTATGGTAGCTATTCATCATGTCAGTCATTATGACAACAAGAACAGGGCACAGATCGGTGTTACTGTTTCAAGCAACAGTCAAATTATTATTTTTTTTCAAGTCAATTTTTGTTTTTCCCATTGATTGACTGAAATGAAATGTCTAGCTTCTTTTGAATTGTCGGCTCCTAGTACTAACGTTTTGGCGATGTGGATTGGATGATGACCAGGAAGTGGAATCCATGATGTACGATTCGTCCCATTTGTGTTCCTGTCGTCAGCTGTATGCACCTGCATTCTCATTTAGTCGTGGTGTCCCCATTGAGACTTGGATCTGTTACCCTTCATGGGAGCCACCTTTTGCGCTTTGGGTATAAGTTATTGTTTAATGTCACTCAAAATAAGTGACAACAATTCTGAATATATATATATATATACTAAAAGAGCCTTACAAATACTGAATACAATGAATTCTTTAAACAGTTAACAAACAGTCTTCAAAAATAATGGGAAACACAAAACAGCTGGCAAGATGGCGCTAAAAGAGAGGTATTTTTAAAATGAAAATCTATGGTCAATCTATGAAGTCTCTGATTGTCGGTTTGAGAAAGCCAAGTAGGGAGGTTTAGAGTACTTGGCTGAGGAGGAAGTTCCTTGAGAACCAAGCAGTTCGAAACTGTTGGTGATATTGCTCAAAGCCGTTCTTGACGGGTTAACTCTTTGCAATCTTCTAGGTCTATTAAATCCTCATGTTTTACCCGTGTAATTGATATCTCTTCCATACATTTCTGTTGATTACAGTTCTTCTGAGTTTACTTTGTCTCTCTTCGGTGGAGTGTAACTATAGGAACTGATGGACTTTTGTAGAAAAATTAGGCAGTCAGTCGGTCAGAGATATCAAGAACTCAAACTATAAGACAAATTTATTGACTTTTAACTAAGAGCGAGAGGTTGAAGTAACCAGTGTAAAGTATCTAGTCTTTGGTCTTATATGTTGACTGCATTTTATTTAAGTCAGGGTTCCAATGTCGTCATCATGTGATGCACTTTGAATTGATTTTAGGTGCATAGATGTAACTGACAGGAAACCATGAATCCAGGTTGAAGAAACTGATTCCCGTCTTGGAGGTTCGATGTCTCATCGCCCAATGCTGTAATCAGAGACATCATTGAGGTGTTCGGGCAACGATGGACATCCTCCAGAACTGTAATGAATACAGTGATTGGTCTCCAGAGTGTCGTAAACACCTCTTCAACTGACCACTGATTGATTAATTTCTTTTAAATCAATTATAAATTATGCTAAAATTCTACTTCATCACTGACGTGTAACAAATGCTATCGATTGAATAGAACTGAAAAAAAGTGAATGAACAAAATGCAATGGAGTTGTAATACTTTGTTAAGACGCTAACTAGTGTAATACTCCTCCTATTTTCCAGTATTTATTCATAACCTATATTCTTTGCTAAAACAAGAGATTACGCCACTATTCAGATGTTTTCAAAATAATAAATATAACAATTTCCATCTTCATGTGGCATACTGTTTCAGAGGAAAGCTTTTTGTATATATATATATATATATATATATAAAATCCACGGAGTTTTGGGAAAACCAATGGAAATTCTATGTAATGTGATCCGTCTGGAGCCCGAGTAGCTTACTGCTAGCGCCTCCGATCGCAGTGCTGGTTGACATAGCTTTAAATCATCTAGAAAGCATTACTTTCTCCGAAGTTGGAGAGATGTCTTCTGGGTGTGAAACCTATGTCAAGCAAGGCTTCCTGTCGATTGCTGATAATCCCTTAGCACTGAAAGATGAAGTGATTTGTTACGTTTTGGCTCACAGTAGAATTCAGGATATGTATATGTCGTTTCCTCTTTGGGACTTGTCAGCTGATGATTTTTTTCCTTCAAAGGATAGTTCATTAGTTAGAGTAGAATTATAGGGAAAAATAATGTAGGCAATTGACTTGCATTTATTCACTGCTATTATTATTATTGTTATTCCCTTGGGTTTTGAATGGAACATAGGGTGATTTCAGCGGTACATCTCCATTTCACTATGTTCTCTTTAGTCTTTTGAACAGACACCACGATTTCCTATAAGCCATCATTGCGTCATTTCCATACAATCGATTCTGTTACTTTCGAACATACGACTAATTCATCATTTTCCATTCACGTCCAATTCCAAGGGTCTATCTGGAGTGTGATGTATGTCACTGAAAAGTCTTCCCAGCGTATGTTTAATAGATCTCGTTAAAATGTATAGTGTCTTCTTATTCTTGGTTTTCAATCTATACGAATTTAGTCATTGCACAGTCTTTACTATCAAAAGTTCTTTGTACTATCTGTTCATAAAGTTTATAACACGATTACCGAAATCGAGATAAGACACAAGAGACAACAAGAACCCTCTACCTAATTGGATACAGCATCTTTTCTATAATTTATGTTAAAGCGAGATTAATTAGTGCATCGACTGGGGATCGAATCCTGAACCACTTGTGTGGTTAACGAATATTCTGCCACTGAGTCACCCATGCAAAGTAAATGGTCATGAATAACCATGAATATGTAGTAATGAATGCTCGTGATTAATGTTCACATTCAATTTTACGTAAACTGATTGTAAACTTCATTCAAACGAATAATAATTTCAAAAACAGTAAAAAGCAAAATAAGGTAGAAGTTCATGTGTGTGTGTGTTTATGTGTGGCAGTGTGTAAATGAATTACCAAGATTTCTTTTATACAAGTGTAATGATAAATAAGGTTAAGGAAGAGGGTCACGTCCAGAAATTATAACATAATACAATATTTATGAGTCTATAAATTTTACAATAGGTCAGGGTAACAACAGTAACTGGATTCGTTTATTGTTTCGTTCGGAATGCTATGATAGTGTTTAGACAAATCACTGTGTCTTCTGTCATTTGGAGTATCCAATACATGGTGACTTTTGACGGTATGTGGCGGAGCAATCTAACACTCAACCACTTGGTTAGGATTGGAATGATTAGTTCTAGGGGTTGATCCTTTACAGCTTACTTCCCTGTCACTAAAGTAATCTCGTCGAATGTGTAAAGACAAACACTCATCACCGACATTTCAATCCATACTCTTTTGAATATTAGCATTCACTACTGAAGAGCCTTAGATTAGTGCAAAACAGCCTTCTACTATTCCCCTAGTTGATAATTGTTCTCTAATGAAAAATCACCCTAGATTTACTTTGGTCTTTTCGACCACTGAATAGACTGTGGTTCATGCTTATGTGTTTATCGAAAACATTTCATAGGCTATTTTCCTCTTTTCACAGAGAGAGAGAGGCTTGTTTTATTTTTGGTTAGTATTTTTAAGATAAAGCGTATTGAAGAGGTCGTATTGAAGCAAAGAAAAAGATGGAAAGTGTGAAACAATACTCCCCATCTTTTAAAATAATTGACTGTAAATTAGAAAACAGAGAAATAATTTATGAATAGGCATAATAATGAATGAGTTTCACTTTTGGGTGTGTACCCTAGTATGTGTGTGTGTGTGTGGTGTTATTCTAGTAACCGATTTGCCACACCCAAATACCCGGAAATGATTCATTCATTCGTCAGTGATTAGCAAACTAATGTGATGCTTACTGAGTTGATGAGAGAGAAAAAAACTATTCTGTTCAGTAGTTATAGATGGTATACTTTTAATTGAAACCTATTGGATGGATATAGTACATTTGATTTATATTTTGTTTCTACTTTAGTCACACTGTTTTAACAGTTAAATAATTTAGAATTTAGGTGTTGACTCTTTGGTAAAATCCCGACCTGTTTTGCACGTGGTCTGGATTTGATTGCCGACAAACACGCCCCTAAATCTCACCTAGTAAGCCCGAAGAACAGAGAAGGTTAGGTGTGAAGTTATAGCAAACCCACCTAGTAAAATAAAACAGCAGCAGTGATACTGACAGACCTATCGAGCTTGAATCCATATGTTCTGCTCGGAATTCAATAAAGATTAGCAACAGTAAGGACAAGATGCATAATACGGATTACACCCTAGTAACTAATCGGTATATTCATTACACTCATAATAGAGGTCAGTCGTGAGCTTGAGCAGGTCCGGTGGCAACATCTCTATCTGTAACACATAGTGATATGGGTCCAGATCTTAAGGGGGACATTGGTTCCCCTTCAGACTATGCCCTACTGATGAATGCCGAAAATCACATGAGATTTAGATAACACAGGCCTTTGTACGGATCACTTCGAACTGTTTAAGATGAAGACTGATAGTCTGTCTGACAAAAGTCATCATATCCGTGCATCACTTCAGTCTTCTCAGAACTTCTTAGTCAACATTACCATCCACTTACACACACACACTCACGCCGTAGTTCAAGTTGTCTAAATAGTCATCTTGATGTAATCTATCTTGCGTTTTTCACCAATTGATATATGCTAAGTTGTTAGTTATATTAGGATTATGGAAATTTAACATGAGCATTGACAATTATATTTATTTTTACTTGTCTAGGATTACGAATTCGTTCACCGGATATCAGTCAACGTAGTCAACAACAGCTTCTACAGCTTGGTGATCGTGTCTTAGTTGCTGGCCAACGTAGAGGTATCCTACGATTTATTGGTGAAACACAATTTGCTCCTGGTGTATGGTATGGTGTTGAATTAGAACAACCAGTTGGTAAAAATAATGGATCGATAAATGGTGTACGCTATTTCGATTGTGCTGTTGGTCATGGAATATTTGCACCGGTCAATCGAATACAAAAGCTACCCTCACGATCAAATACACCAAATCCACACTGTGCCACCATGGCTAATAGACGTGATACTTTAATGTCAACCTCTTATCATTCTGAGATGGCTGATGGTGGTTATTCAGCGTCTAGATCATTTTCACGTACACCTTGGTCGAGTACAACATCACCAATGATTGGTCGTGCTGTAATTGGTCGACCACCTTTACCAACAGAATTGATGAATGCTTTAAAAGCGGTTGGTCGTATGCCTACAACAGAATCAACTGCTGATGAACCAGTTTTCTATTTAGCTGAAGGAATGCAAGTCTTGTGTGCTGGAGAAATAGGTTAGTTGTTGTTGCTTTTGTTGTGTTTAGCTTCTGTCTGTGTTGAAGGCATAATGAAATTGGTCCTTTATATGACCTACTGTGATAATTGTATAGCTTGTGTGAAATTTACGCTTTATATTGTCAGAAATCTCAGATTAATTATATTGAATTTTTTTTATCGGATTTGAAAACGCCTTAGACTGCATTGATTACGAAATAATTCGGAAATTGCTTCAATACTTGGTGATACTTCAAACCCTTGTCAACCTTATTCAACAGCTAACGTCACACGTCAGACGATTCACAATGGAAGACTTAGCGAAGCCTTTGAAGTACAGATAGGAGTGAGAAAAGGTTGCTTAATATCACAGACGATATTTCTGATTAACATGAAATTAGTTTGGAAATCTACTGGTTTAAGCATAAGATTTCCAACACTAATGTCAATCAAATCAGTCAGTGCTTTTATATGGTTCACTCGACGTAAAGCTTCTCTGACAGGCTTCAGACTTTCATCAGTAGCTGCCTTCGAGTGGAACGAGACTGGGAAACAGCGAGTTAGCCGTTCGAAGGTAACACTGAGGAGATCGTGTGAGGAGAGCTTAAAATCAATCTTGGAGCCAGCTGAAGAGGACTCCAGAGCGCTGTCGAAGCTCTGTGTTCTACTAAGAACCCAAGGGAATACTACTACTACTAATAAATTGAATTTACTGGTTCACATACAGCTTATTAAGCTCAACCTACAACAATGGTAGTCCTGTAACACACCAAAGAAACTGTGTACAAATTTTATTCATAAGAGCTAAATCACATTGCAACCCTTAGGTAGTTGTAGGAGAAGAGAAGAGAAATATATGCTAACTGTCTTGAAGATAAATGGATACGCCTAAAAGTTTATCACAAATTTTCCAAACTAAAAAACACCTCCAGAAATCACGAGAAAACTCATCCTATCTATAATTCATCCAAAGAATTTTTATGAAGTAACTGCTAAAATACTACAAACCACTCGAGGTAAACATCGCACGCAAATCAAAACAATCACTTTATTCAATGTTAGGCAAACCAAACAACCAAACAGAGAAAAAAGACAATATCAACACCATCTATGAAAGAAGTCGCATGAACTGTCAAGGTGGACGTCCCTTTCGACTTTGAGTGTACGAACAGAAACTTATTGTGTATTCTTTCATATCAGTGCATGCAGACACCTTTAGGTGTCAGTTTGACTAGAGCGATCATAGATGTCTGCGATCTCTGTCTCACGTTAGGTGGTTTCACAATGTAAGTAATGTTGACGTTAGGCGTAGAGTGTTGGGCAAAGAGGAAAAATCAATCGACGAGGCTATAAAGTTACATAGACTAAGATGGCTAGGTCACGTGCTGCGCATGCCTAACCACCGCCTCCCCCGACGGGCATTGCTAGCTGATATAGGTTCAGGTTGGAAAAGAGCCAGTGGTGGTCAAACAAAAACATGGCATCAATCCATGAAATCCTTGACAGTTAAACTGAGTCAGGTAGGGAGATGCAGACTTCCGGGTTGGGGCCCTCGGGACTCTAGGAATCAATGGCTGGAGACAATAGGTGACATGGCTCAAAATCGTTGTCAATGGCGCAGATGTATTCAGTCTCTGTAATCTTTCGTATTCCTTTCTACCATTACCCATTCTGTTTCACTCTTATACATGTCAGACTGTATTGATTCTCTTCACTCATCTTCTTGTCTACCTCTGTGTGCTATTTGGAAGGTGGCAACTCGAAGTGGTGCACTTCGGTGGCAAGTTCTATGTTGAATCCAGACAGACAGAGCGATGTAGTACATAGAAAATAATCAGAATTTAATCGATCTTGTAGTTTATGAAGTTTGAATTCCTTTGCATCATTTTGAATGGTTTCGAGCCATATCGCCAACAAAACCCAGGCCCTAGTTCATAAATTCCCAATGATCCCCGCTAGGCAGTTTATAAATCTCTTTGTATGGCTCAAACCAGCAGCAGACAAAGATGGATTGATGACTGACTGGTTGTGGTTTGAGCACCCCTAAACTTCGTTCCAACCTAAATCCTATGTGTTAACTGATACTGTTCGACAAAGAAGGTCATTGTTTGGCATGCGTAACACATACCCTACTTATCGCAATCACTGTAGCTGCGTAACCTCATCGATTGACTCTTACTCTAGTTGAAATTACATCTCACCTTAAATATTACTCACTATATCTGATGGCGTCAGATGTTCTTATCGTGAAGTGGATAGGTGTGATTTTAGATTGAATCGGCTCTGCTAATCCTTTTCAGTCAATCGCATCTATAATTAAGGTTTAAATAATTCTTCCCTGATTATTATTATTATTTATTTTACAGGTATTGTTCGTTACATTGGTCCTATAACTTTTGCTGACGGAATTTGGCTTGGTATTGAACTGCGTAAACCACGTGGACGTCATGATGGTTGTGTAGCTGGAAAGCGTTATTTCACCTGTCGTCCTGGACATGGTCTACTCGTCAGACCAGCTCGTGTATTTTGTCATGGAATAAATGCCGTGAATCTACTCCCACCGGCTTTAGCTGAATTAGAACGTCAGTTAGCGGCTAAACGTCAAGAGGCGAACAGTAACAGGAGTAATAAAGTATCATCGACAACTTCAATTAGCTCTGGTGATGAACAATCACAACAACAAAAGTAGTAATGACAACATGGAATGCGCCAATCTTATGTTATTCTAGGAGATCTTTACTACACAATTAATAATCTTTCCTTGTTAATAATTTTTCTATGCTTTTTGCATAATTTTTATTTTTTGTTCCTCTTGCTCTACTGCCTTCAATGAACTACTTCAGGTATGATGAAAAAACAAACAAACAGACAAAAACTGATAATTCCATAGAAATCTGATCTTTCATTCCTTACTTCGCTTTGTTTTAACCCCCTAGTGTGTCTACTACCACTCTCTTAACCACATCGCATTTATCTCCTTGCCTTTAACCATTCAATTATGACATGCCATTAGTCCTTCAGTCAATGAGCGCATATTTTAAGCATTTTTCGATTGCATTTCTCGTCATTTATATTGTGGTTGATGATCATCAGATGTCTCTCCCTCTTAAGTTTCGAGTAATATATTTCTCTCTTGTTGCTTTCATTGTTTTGTCGGTGTTTTCTGACATTTTTCTCTTTGCAAATTTGTGTTATTTATTTCCAAGTGTCATGACGATGAATGATTCCTGACTGGTCTCCTGTGGAGGACAGGAGAGTGTTTCTCTAATTGTGACGCATTCCTCTCAGTGGGTTCGGTGACTGCAATGCGATTATCTTGCTTTTTTTATATAATGAATCAAACTACTTATTGTCCTTATAAGTAAGTAGTGTGGTTTCTACGTCACTTTTAATCTCTGTGATGTAAAACTGAAAAATGTTGAGTTCATTTCGATTTTTTGCGATAATTTCATTCTTTATGCTCTCTCTTTCTCTCTTTCTGTGTGTTTATGATCGTGGTTAGTTGTAATTTTTAATGACTCAGTGGTTTTTTGTCGGTTTTTCTTATCAGAGGGTGAAATGTTTATCATGACCTAACTACTACTCTTTGTCATTCAGTGTATGCTTTAGCTACAAAATTTCTCATAGAAGAAAGAAATATAATAACATTTGAATACTTGGAATTTGAGAAACAGATTGTTTTGATGCTTTCCTCTTGTTGAAGTTTGCACGCAGTACCTTTTTCTATATATATAGGTGTGTCGGATTGTCGAGTCTTACTTCGTTTATTACTAGTAGGGTTGTTTTCATCCTGAAGTCGTTGTAAGTTGAGTATCTGACTGGTGCTGAGTAGTGGCTCATCAGTTCATCGACTGATAGCTACTACTATTTTTTGGTCATCGGGGTTTGCATATCACTACGTCTCAACGAGGTTCATTATAATTAAAGGTTTTCTTGTATTTCCCAATGAATAAAAAACCAAACGATATTGTTATTACTATCGTTTCGCTACTTTTTGCTGATAGCTGTATCAAAGTATTATTAAACCAGAATTTACAAAATGTCAGCATACATATATACTCAATGAGGTATTTTATCCAATATTTAATTTATTATCACATTTTTTATGCACCAGCCTTCATGGGCTGATTGCTAACGAAACCTCAGGATAGATACAAAAGCCTCATATCGCATTTGCCAAATTAAGCCATCTCTGACTTAGCAGACCTGATATCTGGTTGTCGACTAAAGGACGCGTGTACTCTTCAGCAGTCTGCTCCGTAATGCTCTATGGCTGTGAGATATGGCTATCGAAAGTGGAAGGGCTAGCTGTCTCTCCCGTGTTAGATGATATAGTAGTGTGAGCAATATTGAGTGTTAGGTGGGGGGAAAAGTCAATTGAGATGGTTAGGACATGTGTAGCGCATGCTAGCCTAGCCATGGATCGCCAATCTTGACGGGCATTGTTAGCGAAAATAGGATAAGGTTTGAAAAGGACTAGTGATGGTCAAATGAAAATTTGTAATCAGTCCATAAAATCTACGATAGTTAGTTTAAGCCTCGTAGGTTGTTGTAAACTTTCTGACTGGTTGGGGTCCTTTGGAATCTAGGATCCAGTAGCTGGAGACAATTGATGATTTGGCTCCAATTCGTTCTCACTGGCTCAAATCTAAGCCAAAGAGATGGAGAAAGCTTCGAGGATAGGCAACACCAGGCAACTCTTTAGACTCATCAGGGAAACGGGTGGGAGAAGACAAATCATCAGTGAAACAATCTCGGAAAAAAATGGCACTATAATTAGCTCCCAGGATAGACGACTGGATCGTTGGAAAGAGCATTATGAGGAGCAGTTTAATTGGCCCACAGCCACGCTCAACCTTCCGAGCATCCAACACCTCCCTGAATGGGATATAGACACAGGTCCTCCATCCCTAACTGAGGTTACTAAAGCTGTCACCAATCTGAAACTAGGCAAAGCAGCGGGACCTGATGGAATGACTCCAGAGGTATTTAAGTACGGTGGAGACAGCTTACTGTCTGCGTTAACTGAGGTACTAGGCAGCGTCTGGGAATCAGAAGAAGTCCCATCGGGTTGGTGTAAGTCACTGATTATCCCCATATACAAGAAGGGAGACAAGTCTTCCTGTGATAATCACAGAGGGATTAGCTTGACTAATATAGTATCTAAAGTCTTAGGCTCAATAATCATGCGTAGACTGAGTGGTGCTCGGGAGGCACAAACACGAGAGAGCCAGGCAGGCTTTAGACCAGGAAGAGGGTGTATTGATCATATCTTCACCCTCCGACAGATTCTAGAACATAGGCATTCCTACCGGCGTCCAACAGTCATTATATTTCTTGACCTAAAGGCAGCATTCGACTCTGTCGATCGAGAAGTTCTCTGGAGATGCTTGGCTGTAAAGGGAATTCCGAGAAAATATATTGCACTGATTAAGGCACTCTACTCGTACTCATACAGCCAGGTGAGGGCTTACGGCGAGCTGTCATCTGAACTGATGACGACCAGTGGTGTCCGTCAAGGATGCCCATTATCCCCTTTTCTATTCAACTTCATCATAGATGTGTTAATGGACTTAACCCTAGGTGACTTCAGCGACTCAGGGATTGACTTGCTACCGGGGAATAATCTCGTTGACTTGGAATATGCAGACGATATAGTCCTTCTAGGCGAAGACGCTGACGAAATGCAGAGTCTTCTAAACACCTTGAGCCGCAATCTACGAATGTTTGGCATGCGATTCGCTCCCGCCAAATGCAAGATGATGTTACAGGACTGGACTACATCGACGCCTAGTTTAAAAATAGGAAGTGAAGTGGTAGAGCACGTTGACCGCTTCACTTATTTGGGAAGTACCATCAGCCAACGCCAACGGGTTGATCTCTGACGAAATCTCAGCACGAATACAGGGGGCTCGTTTCGCATTTGCCAGTTTACGCCGACTCTGGCGTAGACGAGATGTTCGACTATCGACCAAAGGGCGGGTGTACTGCTCATCAGTCCGCTCCGTCCTCCTTTATGGTTGTGAGACCTGGCCACTGAGAGTGGAAGACATGAAAAGGCTAGCTGTCTTTGATCATAGGTGCCTGCGCTCTATTTCCCGTGTAAAGTGGCATAATAAGGTGAGCAACATTGAGGTTAGGCGTCGAGTTCTAGGTAAACAGGGGAAATCAATCGACGAAGTCGTGAAGTTACAAAGACTGAGATGGTTAGGACATGTGTTACGTATGCCAAGCCATCGCCTCCCTCGACGAGCTATGTTAGCGGATATAGGGTCAGGCTGGAAAAAAGCTAGCGGCGGTCAAACAAAAACTTGGCATCAGTCAATGAAATCCACAACAGTTGGTCTAAGCCACGTAGGAAGGTGTAGACTTCCAGGCTGGGGTCCTCGGGACGGTAAAAATCTATGGTTGGAAACAATTGGTGACATGGCTCAAAATCGTTCTCAGTGGCGCAGATGCATCCACTCCCTGTGACTTATGATCTTCAATGAAACTGTTTTGTATTTCTTTATTACTCCTTTGTCTCACACCTCTGCTCACTGTTTCTATTATGCTTTTCTTGTACTTTCTTCTCTTGCTTCGCGTGCTACACGGAGTGTGGCGACTTGAACTTCCGCACATTTGTGCAAAGTTCTATGTCGAAAACAGACAGACAGACAAATCTATTCATTCCTTGTGATTTGTCGTATCCAATAAAACGCTATGGTTCTTCCATGGTAATATTCTTTCCCCTTCACATTTCTGCTGATTATCGTTCATTTGAATATCTTTTTATTTCTCGGTCGTCTTCCTTTGTGTGCTACATACAGTCTGGTAGCTCGAACTGGTGCACTTCTGTGCAAACTTCTAAGTCATTTACTGTCAAGTAAACATGCTTTTCAACTGAAATGTTCCTTGCATCGTAGTGTTATCTGAGCTGGGTGAATTTGATTTGCGAAGCTTTCATTATTCATCTAGACAACTTAATTTCAGCTCAAGCTTCAATATGAAGTGAACCTTGTCTTGAATTCTCCATTATTGATTACATGTTCTTATTTCCTGACAACCTTTGTCATAACTGGATGTTAATTAGCTTTGATAACTCTTTTTGATAGTTCAAGTTCTATCCAGTTGACCTTTGCAGAGTGGTTGGATATTACTAAAATAGAGTTAGTTGCTTAGATTATTTTGATTTAGCGAAAAATCCTATTTCGATATTTAGAAGACAGAAAGGACTTAACTAAGAATATTCTTCTGGATAACTTCCGCATCTGGTTCAACAGTTGTATATATGCACAATTTTAAACAGTAATTGTTATCGACAACTTGCATGTTTTTGCTTAGGTAATATTGAATTGTGATGATCACAGATCATCAGCACGTGTGATAATATATATACATGAAAATGGAATTCTGAGGGGGTGGGTTGGGGAGGAGGAATTGTGAGATTTATACAACCGAGTAACTTTGTTAAAGGTAAGGAAAGCGATTGTATGACTTTCTTATAAATGACGGCTTCAGCTTAATGTAGAAGACTAACTTGAAGGTTGAACTGAGTCGGAATGTGGTAGATAACTATAAAAGCCCTGTTAAACATCGACTTTATGTTCAGTATTTAAAAGGTGAATTAAAACATTGGTACGAGTAGACCTTGTTTGTACCTTCTTTAACCCTGCACGATGATGTTCAAAAATCCGATGGTGAACATGCCTGATTTTACGCCCCAATGTAATTGGTTCCCTTAAAAACCGACATTTTCGGATGGCCATTGGTAGACAGGTGGTGAAGCTGCAATAAGATGTCTCCCCTTGAATGAGAAGAAAACTTGACATATGTTGCCCCTCCCCCCTCCCAAATGAGTTACTAATCCAAAAATATGTACGTCCTAGCTTACTCTACGATGATCCAAAGCTTGTAATGAAGTTCATTGTTCTGACAAAATCCCATAGATCGGAATACCTGCAAACAGGTTGTGTGTGAGGTGTTCCAGTCTGCTGTCTCTAGGGAAGTGTATTCACATTAAGTTCCTGTGTATTCCGTTGATTCAATTCGGCTAACAGCAGGAATATATATATATATATATATATATATATATATATATATATATATATATATATATATTAGTTTCAGGATTTCATCATGAGCAGACATCGCTTAGAGAACTATTCATAAACCAACAGGGAGTATTGCATAGCTGTTTTGTCCTACTTTGGGACTCGTCAGTAGTACTCATCCACCTCAGGGGTTCGAAACCAGTACCTTCTGGTTACAAGGCGAGGCCGTAGACCATTAAGCCAGTGGGACCTGATCCAATGGCCCGTGAATTCCAATTTCTGCCATTTCACGATATAGCACCACTGGCACTAGCTAACATCATCGGTGGCGAGTATTTTTCCTCATACCCGACCCGCTGCACACCAGTGGTCACGATTTCCTACTGGAAAAAATATATAAATATTGTGAGATTCTTTGGCTGCCTCTGATGCATAAGAATATGACTACACTAAACACCTGAAAACTCATTGCTAAACTGGGTGTCAGTGGTTGATCATCTGTTGGGGTAGAAGCAACAGTGGATAAATTATCCTATAAAAGCGAAAGCAATAATGCAGACAATAACGTTTTTCGAATAAACCTGACATAATCCGTGTTTAGTATATATAAATTGAAAAGTTAAAACCCATTTAGTGACGACTTCATTGATCCACAGGAAAAAATGTCTTCGCTGAATTGTCTTCTGTTTTCTTCATAATTCAGAATACCTACGGTTCGAATCCCGCCCCGATGCAAACATTAATCACACCTCCGATCATCACCCATCGCTTTAATATTCACTATAATAATAAGAACTAGAAGAAGAGGCAGAAAACGAGGAGGGAGTAGACAATTACGATGAAAAAAACGCGATAGAAGAATGGGAAAGAGGGGGAGGACGATGACAAAGGAAGAAAGAAAATGGCGATGACGACGAAGAATACCGTGACATGGAAGACGGTTAAAAGCAAGATGCAAAAGAGGAGTAAGTAGATAAGGGAGATGCGAAAGAAAATGGCGGCAAAAGGGGAGACGGCGAAGAAGAATTAAGGAAAGGGAGAAAAACAGGAGGAGGTAGATAAAATGAGGCAGAAGGGCAAGATGAAGAAGAGGAAAAGAGTTAGAAGACTCAGAAGCAGAATGGTGACGAAACAGGGGACACGGAAGAGGAAGAGCCGAAGATATTCGGCGTGAAACAGTGTGAAGAAGAAGAAGAAGAAGCAAGGGACAAAGGAGGATAGAAAGGGATCGCAAGACAAGGAAAAGGTGAAGATGGAGAAAGTGATGAAGAAGACAATGAAAGAGAAAAAGCAGCACAAGAAGAAATAGAAGGATCACTTTGGAATCATTAAATTCATCTGTCTAGTGTATAATTCCTCCGGAAAAGAACCCAGAACAAATTGTACAATCCACATTTATTTTGATTATGCAAATATATATATATATATATATATATATATATATATATATATATATAAGTATGAAATAAAAAAGACTTATAGGAATAGAAAGACAGATTATGTTCCTGTTTGAACATTAATTTTTGCTTCTTGTCAAAAATACACAATTTAGAATTTTAATTGATTTTTCAATTTTTCTCTAGTTTAAAAAATGTCATTTAAAGTATTTCTTAATGTTCAATTTTGAAAAATAATTCCCTCAACCATGGGGGGGTGGGTGAGTGGGTTGTAGCTTTATTTAAGAAAACTGAAACCATATCCATAGTGTAATTCTGTTATGTAACATATTACCAAAATATGTAGAATAGTAATCATTATCATTCAATTCCATTCGAATTTATGTTCTGGTTAACTCTATAGTGGAAGAAATTGAAAATATTGATTAGTGGTGCTCAATATTTCATTTCAAAAGACGTAAATTACTGGTAGTGGATAATTACATTACATTTTGGATAAATTCTTCGTCAAATTCTACACTAATACATCCATAACAATTAAAGAATTTAAAACAACTAGTCTCTTTTATAAATTCTGGTAGCGTTATTAGAAGACGGAGATTATCTGAAAAGTGTGATGTATTTGTGCTATACATTTCGAACAATCTGATCACACATTTACTTGTCAAGTCAATATATATGGAAAAGTTAGATTAAACAAAGTGACAAAAAGAATTAAGAATAATTAACGTTTGGTAATCCAATCGCCTATAGCTAAACATCTGATCGAGATGAACCATAAGATTGATGTTAACTCAGCCTTTAAGGTTATCTATAAAAACGGTCAAGGGCGCTTATTGAAATACTCTGAGGCTATAACTATTCATAAACTTAAGCCCCCCCCCTGTGTATTCAAAAACAGTTTGTTTTTACTCTTAACCTACCTTGGTAATCCTTATTTGATTGGACTACCAAACATTTGTGTTTATTATTCTTAAATCCTATTTTGTCACTTTGTTTAATTTAATTTTTCCATATATATATATATATATATATATATTTGACTTGACAAGTAAATGTGTGATCAGATTGTTCGAAATGTATAGCGCAAATACATCACATACCTTTTCAGATAATCTCCGTCTTCTAATAACACTATCAAAATTAAAGAATTATTGCTGTTGACAACTTGAACAAGGCAAGAAAGACAAATGAGTATCAAGGTAATATGAACAAAAACTAGAGTAAGCTGAGTGATGTACACTAGAATTTCTCTAGGTAGTAGTGTACAGTCATGGGAGTACGCACCTACAGGGGGTTCGAAACCAGCACCTTAAGGTTACAGCGTCGGTGGCATAGCGGTTAGGACGCTTGCCGACCATGCACATGGTCCGGGGTTCAACTCCCGACCGACACACTCCTTTACCTCGCTAAGCCAGAAATAATCCTGGTGAAGAGGAAAGGTTGGGCATGAGGCTAGCAACCCCATCTTGTAAAATAAACACTTCTACAGAAACTTCAAGCCACTAGCTTGAAGCCCTATGTTCCATTGGGGAACGTGAAGGAAAAAAAGTGGTTACAAGTCATAATTGTATACTATTTAACTACTGGAATCTGATTCAGTTGCCCATGAATTCCACCTTCTACCATTAAATGTCATCGTTGGAGAGTTTTTGTTCTCATAACTGACCTGGTGGGCCGCACTAGTATCTCACTTGAACTCTAGGCAAATTCGTCCAGTCAATAGCGAGTACCAGATTAATTTTCAAGAGTTACTTTGTGGAGGTTTAGTTTTTTAAAAGTTGGATTACAGACTGTCATCAGTTAGGGAATCATTGAAAACCAGGAGATAAGGGCGAATGCACGAGGTAGTCCTAAAATTACATAACGTTGTCTTGTTATTGTAGTCAACGAGATAGTGTAATTTACATAAATTTGATTTTAACCGTTTGTTGGCGATTGCCTCAACCAAACCTAGAGGGTTAGATTTGTTTCTCCTGCTGATTGTTAACAATTTGACCACTGTCGAAAAAGCGGTGTGCAATCGCACTGTTTAACACTTATGGGCAATTTTCTCTTAGGTTCTCGGGTATGCGTTTATATATGCAGACAATAATCCCTCATATTGAATTTTATTCAGACTGATTATAAATTCCGTATGAATGAAAGACAGTATAAAAAGCACAAAATGAGAGTAAGATAGAAGACTGTGTGTATGTGTCTATCAGTGTTAGTGTTAGTGAATAACTCAAGCTCAATTAAGGAAATCAAACGGTTTGTCTGTATACGTGTGGTACTGAGTAAGGGTGAAGACGAATTTATACATACAGGACAAAAGGCCAGACTTGAAAGGGATGATGTGATACATTCCATATCAGGTCAGGGTAGGAAAAGCAAATGGACTTGTTTCTTTCGTATACAAGGTTATTTTGGCTGTCACCCTAGGAGCCTAATCTTTCTTCTTCGGGAATGCCTACCAGTGTGATTGAACTAAGTTGTCAACAGTTTTCTATTGAGTCACTTCGTTCGAAGAGGCCATAAAACTAGCTAGCATTTGAAGAGTCTCTATAATTTATTAAGTATCGAACAATTTACTGAAGGCCCCTGGACATCGAACACTGAAAAACAGCTGAGGTCATTACAATTTGTTTAAGTCAACCGGAGCTCCGAAAGCAAAAGAAGTGGTTCAGTCTGCAACCATTGTTACCCTTATTTGCTGTTGCTTCTGTAAATTCATAAATTCTGTGTGTTATTTCTCTTAATTTCATACATTTGTTCCCCTTAATGAATTTGAATAAAGCAAGAACAACACATTTTGCAGAATAAAATGGTACCATCATTTATTTCGTCGGCTTTTCACCAGCTACTTACAGACCAAAGACATTATTAAACATATATCTACAAAAACAATTTTAACATACTTGAACAGAGTTCATTTTTAAACAAAAATCAATCAATCAATATATGCATACACTAATATATATATATAATATTAAACACTATTCCGAACAATAATTATCATACACAATGGAAACTTTCGACATTACGTAATCAGATGAAAGAGAGATGGAAATATCCAGTTGCCAGGGCAAAGAAAGACTGATAACTGCTTCTTTCTGAATGTATAAATCAGGTTTCAGGTGCTTGATGGAGATGGCTTCAGCAAACTTGAGGAGCTAAGAGATTATGCTCTATAGAGAAATTAAAAGAAGGATTTATTTTTCCTGAAAAGATGTTTAAAAGCAATGGTGGCCCTCAAGGATTCATTAACAAGTGAGGAAGATCTGAAGTCTCAAATGCCAAACAAATCACATTGGAGAAAAAGGCAATATACATTCAACTTGATTGTAAAGGTGAAAACATTGCAGCAATGGCCAACAGAAGACTGAGTATTTCACTGACCAGGGCATATCCTGCAGCTAAGCATGTTCCCTTCTATCGAACAACTTGCTCTTTGGTTCAATCAAACATCGATAGATATCCTTCGTATGTTAAATCCAACTGCATGTACAAATTTACAGGTATCTGCGGGAGCAGTTACATTGGAAGGACAGAAAGAAGGGCATATCCACGATTTTCTGAACATGTACCGAAAAACTTATGTCTAAAGGAAACAAATGCTTTAAACAGTGCCATCGCCAGGCATCTCCTTGACACGATTCGTGAGTTGGACGTCACAGGATCGTTCAAAATTATCAATAGGCAAAATAGCTCAAGTTTGCTGAAGCCATCTCCATCAAGCACCTGAAACCTGATTTATACATTCAGAAAGAAGCAGTTATCAGTCTTTCTTTGCCCTGGCAACTGGATATTTCCATCTCTCTTTCATCTGATTACGTAATGTCGAAAGTTTCCATTGTGTATGATAATTATTGTTCGGAATAGTGTTTAATATTATATATATATTAGTGTATGCATATATTGATTGATTGATTTTTGTTTAAAAATGAACTCTGTTCAAGTATGTTAAAATTGTTTTTGTAGATATATGTTTAATAATGTCTTTGGTCTGTAAGTAGCTGGTGAAAAGCCGACGAAATAAATGATGGTACCATTTTATATATGTCCAAACCAAGTTCACTTTTAACAGTTTGAAAAATTTGGGCATTGGGTGTATGATATTCCTTATAATAAAGGGTTTTGTATTTCCCAATGAATGAAAAACAAAACGTTATTGTTTTTGATAAAATCAATACGAATGTGATAATCAGGTTCACTTTGTAAACACACGCTGCTATTATAATTTTACACACTGATCAAATCCAACAATCTACACTTGGTTTTGTTATCTTTATCAATTGGCCAGCTTGACAACGAAAAAAGCCCCCCAGAATGACGAACTTTGTTTTGATACCATAGGAGATGTACCTTTGTTATTTGATTTAGTGATTTTTATTGTTATTTCGGCTTTCGATATGTCCCTTTAACTTGACCTAAGTCTATTTTCTCACCTCTTACCTCTTTGTTGTATATATGCTGAGATTTTGTAAATTCTGGTTAGCATAAAATAACAAAACGTCAGTAATAACAATATCGTTCTGTTTTTCATTCATTGGGAAATACAAAAAGGTTTTTTATAATGGTACCATTTTATTCTGCAAAAACTGCTGTTCTTGCTTTATTCTCTTAATTTATCTGATAGTCAGTTTAGTGATGCATTATAATACACATTCTCTCTCTCGCTCTTAATGATGCTTTTTAAGTGTAATCACCTATCGATACTATTGATTCATTGTAGTTTAAAACAGCATTCGTGTTTTTTAGCCATAATCCTTTGATGATAATGGTCATATGAATGTAGAACCTGATTAGAAATTTATCGAAATGAAAATTATTTGTTCACTGATCAGTCTTATACATTTTTAAGGACATGCCCCATAAATCTCAATGCCTTCTGCTTTTGAAGTATTCGCTACTTAGTGACAACAGAGCACAATTCTTCTATGTTGGCTCTATGGCTCGTTTAATCCAGATGTGCTAATATCGAATTAGTATTATATTAAAGCATATTATTTAGATAGTCATGCTTTGAACTGTAATCTGCCAACCATCTGTTCACATATACATCTCTGGGATTTTCAGTTTGAATGACTCTTTATTCTCTAAAAAACTAGTGTTCTCGTCAGCAAAAATTATTCTTGAACCTTTATGGATGCATAACTGTAGGTCTTGATGATGAAGTTATCGGAAAGGTTAATGTTCTTTGGTCGTTCTCTAACGGAATGAACAAATTTTTATTTAAGAATTTAAACTACTTAAACAACAATGTCAGTAGCAGACTGATATCAACAAAATATATCATAAAACTTACTTCATTCTCTTTCGATGATGGGCTATTCAATGGGTTAGGTTTATTGGCTGTAGTCGGTTGAACTGATTTCGGTAGAATTGGTGTCTCTGTTAAACTTTTTCTTGCTAGCAGAGAATTGAAAAAGCTACTGAGTACAGCTTCCTTATCTGATGATGCTGCAGCTGAACCAGGTTTCGACTGACTTGGTAGACTGGATTGGATTCCTTCGCTTATTAACTGAAAGGGAATAATAATAATAATAATAATAATGATATGCACTGAATAAGAGAAAACAGGGAACTATTACAATTGAATGTATTTTGGTTAGTTAACTGATATCAGTCTGTGGTCAAACTTGAAACAAATTGAATCCTCACAAATTATCTATTGAAAATTAATCTGATCGGTAATGGTTAGACGAAAGTCCCTGGAATTCTAGTGAGAAGCTGTGACTATTTGGGTCCATCTGGTCGTGAGTGTGGAAACATACTCACTGATGATATTGGCCTATCGTGGATCTATAATCCTGAAACGGCAGACGTTGAAATTTATGAGCCACTGAGACAGCTCCAAGTGGTTGAATGGTCTACGAGCTTTCCTTGTAACTGGAAAATCCTGGATTTCAACCCCAGGACGAAATGGCTGTCCAGTACTCCTTGTTTTTTTTCAATGATCCTCTAAGTGATGTCGATCCGTAGTCACAATTGAAATCAATCAGATTCGTACAAATTAACTTTGGAAACAATGCTTAACTGCGTTACCTGATTTAGTGTGACTGCATGTACTATTGAAACGGTAGGTTAGGGAACGTTAATTCGGAAATTGGTATCTCTATATAGCCAAATTATGTATAGCTCCTCTTCAAAACACCATTTGCACAGATCTTTGTGTTGTGGTACTTCTGGACTTCATGTTGTGTTTCTTTGTGTTCCTTTCACATCTCCCAAGTATCTCCACAACTTTGTATCATTTGCTTTCTCTAACATTCTCCCGCTACTGATAAATTTTATCAGTAGCACTCGTGACAGTGTGAAAAAAAATATCATCAAAGTAGTAGTGACTTACTGATGACTCTCTTGACTGACCAGCGCTTGTTACTGTGCCACCTGGTGTTGTAGCACCTAACGAACTAGTTGCAGTCGGCGTGGGCATATTCGCTATCATTGTTTGCATTCTGTTTAAAAAAAGCTGATCATCTTCAACTGGTTGAATGATATTCACTTCTTCTGAAGATGTAGTAGACTCTGTGGCTTTAGAGGCTAAAATTTTAAAAACGGAAGGAAAAGTGGAAAGAATATCGATTTAAGCTTATTTCTCTTAGTATTTCAATGCGACAGAGCTTTGTCATTTCACTGTCCCTGTGCAAGTTTTACGCACTCTATGGGAAAACACTAGTTTCCACACAAAGCCATAAAAGATATAATTTAATCTTAAGGAGTTTACGTATAATTCGACAGTGTCAATGAAAGTTGTATTTTATATCCTACAGAAAATAAATAGTACAGTTTCCAAGCTTTTTTTCTTAGGGATTAGACTGGTTGGATCACTAAGTGATATCAGTTACAGAACCACTCAAACCAAAATGTTTTCAACAGCTATTTCATCATAGTTTTGAACTTTCCACTTGTATGGAGTCAAACACGAGGTGAGTTAATTTCTAATGATCATTCAACTAATGTCAATTTGTGATCACACTTGAAATCATTCAGATCTCTGCAAATTAACTGAATGTTTAGTGGTGATTGACTACAGTGATCACGCTAACTATCACAGATTGACAGAAGTTAGAATCTATGGGCTGGCCATTAGATTCTCTACCAGTGTTTGAATAGTCTACAGACTTTCGTTATAACCTGGAAGTCCTAAATTAAGATGAAACAGCTTTTCGATACATCCAGGTTTTCCAACTTGTTTTGGCTTGTGATTTAATCTGAAGTAGTGTAGTCGTTGAATGAACAGATATTCATCAAGGATAAAATTATACGCGTCAGCGTTATCTAGTGTATATATAACTAACAACCTGCAGCTAACACTAAACTTTACCCTTTTCGCTAATTAGAATCCCAAACTTAACTCTTAACTTAATCCCAATTAATATTTACTCAGATTGGTGATACATCTATGCCGACTGTGACTTCTTAGTCATAACATCATTACTGAACTTAAAACCCCAAAAGTCATACTAACTTGTTTTGTTCATTGGCAAATGTATTCTATGTGTTACTGCTAGGCAACTTACACATTTCACTTACTTAATGTTACTTAGAATGCTGTATATGAAAATACTGAGTGCAATGTGATACAACGGGAGCAGAATTATCAGTGAACATCGCCCTCCACCTCCGACGAAATCAGAAGTTCTGAATGCAATCAAGACGCTAAAAGCTGGAAAAGCAGCAGGACTAGATGGAATCCCAGCAGAAGCATTGAAAATGGACCCAGAGACAACAGCGAACTTGATGACGCCATTGCTGGAGAAGGTGTGGAAAGAGGGCAAAGTACCTGAGGATTGGAAGAAAGGATACTTATTCATGTATGTCATGTACTGATCAAATCGCCACACTACGGATCATCATTGAACAAAGCTTGCAATGGCAGTCACCTCTCCACCTCACTCAACTTCATAGACTTTGAAAAGGCCTTCGATAGAGCAGGGTCGATCAACAGGTCATTTGGAAACTACTTCGCTACTACGGGATGCCATCGACAATTATACATCTCATCCAACAGTTATACGACAATGCTGTATGCCAAGTAATCCACAACGGGAAACTTACGGAAGCCTTCGGAGTGAGGACGGGAGTGAGGTAAGGCTGTCTACTATCGCCAATGATCTTCCTGATTGCAGTAGATTGGATAGTGCAACAGACAACGGGCAATGAGGAAACAGGCATAAAATGGACTCACACAACAACAAACTTGGAGGATCTGGACTTCACCGATTATATATGTCTGATTTCCCACAAACTGGAAGATATGCAAGTGAAAAGCAACAAGTCGACAAAGGAAGAAGCATCAAAGATAGACCTTCAGGTGAACATAGATAAAACAGAGGTGATGAAGATTCCTGGCCAACACCAACAGCAACAACAACAACAGACAACAATCAGCCAGCATAAATGGGAGGAACCTGAAAGAAACAACCTCCTCTACCTACCTATCTAGCTGGGAAGCATCGTTTCAACTACAGGCCGACGGAGCTGAGAGAGGATATCAAAGCAAGTATCGGGAAAGCAAGACAAGCTTTCATTACTCTCAAGTCTATGTGGAGGTCAACAGCACTCATCATCAAAAATAACATCCGGATTTTCAACTCCAATGTGAATTCAGTCAGTGCTACTCACTATACGGATCAGAAACTTGCACTGCGCGTCATAAAGAGCATCTCAAACAAACTTCAGACCTTCATCAACAGTTAACTGCTTTCGCTCAATACCACTCAAGATCAGATGGTCGGCCAGAAAAGATCACCAACAGGGATCTCTGGCAATGAGCGAACCAACCAGGAACCGATTGTGAAACAAATAGGCAGGAAGAAATGCAGTTGGTGGATTGGCCATACTCTGAGGAAACCATCAAGTGAGTGACATCACTAGACAAGCCATTGCTCGAGTGGAACCCGAAAGGGAAGCGGCGAGTTGGTCGTCAGTGCAAGGGTGACTTGGAGGAGGTCATGTGAAGAGGAGATGAAAGCATGTGGGCAGACTTGGAGCGGGGTGAGAAAGTTGGCAGAAAACCGAAGGCGATGGAGACGCGTGGCTGAAGCCCTATGTTCTTCCAGGAATTAAAGGATATAATAATATATAATAATAATAATTGTGATGTAATTACTGTTTTTTTTCTAACGACACAAGTCATCTTTCGATGTCTAATTAGAATAAATGACTCTAAGTAAAGTTCACTTTTGGCTACTTCTAATCGACAGTTTTATCATCACATTTCCTCCATCTAAACCAGTGTAACAAGAAGCAAGGAGAAAATATCTGACTGATTGATATTCAGTAAGCAGTTATGCAAGTATGCCTTATTCATCTGAATGAAGAACAAAATCCTCTTTTAAACTGAGACCCGTTTACATTTATAGATACCAGCAATAACTTTTAAAACGTGAAACAAAAATACACTACTATGACGTAATGATCACCTCCGAATCTTTAACGATCAATAATGTTAGTATTAAACGATAAAATGCTTTTTAGTATTTATTATTCCCTTGCTTTCCGAGTGGAACATAGGGCTTCAACAGCACATCTCCACTTTGTTCTGTTTTCTGCCGTTCTCTTCCGCTGGGTCCACAACTGACCAAACTCTCTCATCTCCTCTTCACACACGATCTCCTGCATGCCACTCTTTAAGCAACGACCAACTCGTCGCTTCCCATTGGGGTTCCACTCAAGCGATGGCCTGGCGCGATGTCATCCGATGGTCTCCACAATGTATTCCCGATTCACCTCCACTTTCTCCCATAAATTTGTTCTTGGCTGATTTGTTCCCACAGTTTCTTGTTACTTATTCTTTCTGGCCATTTGGTCTTCAGTATGGTGGAGTCAGCGAAGGCAGCTGTTGATGAAAGTCTGCAGTGGCCTGTTGTATGTCCTTTTCGTGACACGCCAAATTTTTGACCCGCATAGAAGGACTGACTTGACATTGGTGTTGAAAATCTGAATCTTGTTTTTTACGTTAAGTTTAGAAGATTTCCATATCGGTTTCAGGTTGATGAAGGCGAATCTTGGCCTTTCCCATTCTGGCTGATGTTGACATCTTCGTCAGTTTGATCTGCCTGTAGTTGAAATGATGCTTCCTAGATAAGTGAAGGAGGCAACCTATGTCAAATCTCTCCCGTTGATTTTGATTGGTGCTGGTCGGTTGTTGCTGTTGGTTGGTTGGTCATCTTCATCACCTCCGTCTTCTCTATGTTCACCTAAAGTCCTGTCGTCGCTGTCTGCTTCTTCTGTCAGTTTGTTGTTTTTCGCCTGTAAGTCTACGGGTTTGTGTGAGAATAAACGTAAATCATCCACACGTGAAATCCAGGACTTGTAAAATCTTCTTATCGGACAGTGTAGTGTATTACTGACTCCTCTCCCCCAACAGTCCAGTCCACAACAAATAAGGATATCATCGGTGATAACAGACAGCCCTGTCTTACTCCTGTATTCACTTCGAACGCCTCACTGAGCTTTCCTTTGTGTATCACCTATACGCGGCAGTGTCATATATCTGTTGACAAAGACTTGAGGCACGTCGTAGTGTTGAAGCAGTTTCCAAACTAGTTCTCGGTCAACGCTGCACTGTTGGAGGCATTTTTGAAGTCGACGTAGTTGAGGTGGAGAGAGGTTTGACTGCTATTCTATGCTTTGTTCGATGACGATGAGTAGATTTGCAATTTGATCAGCACATGATTTGCTTTTTCTGAATCCAGCTTGTTGTTGTCGGAGTCTTGTATCTAGCGCATCCTTCACTCTTTCCATGATGATGTAACTTAGTATTTACTTGGCGTGGACAAGAGCATGATTCCACCCCAGTTTTTGCACAGGTCTAAGTCGCCCTTCTCTGAGAGTTTGACAAGATAGCCCTTCTTCAAACCAGTAGGCACCTTTCCTTCTTCCCAGACGTTTTGCACTAATGGGGTGAGGACATCTGCCGTAACCTCCGGTGCTGTCTACAGTGATCCAGGGAGGAATGCCATCTGGTCCCGCTGCCTTCCTGGCCGGTGTTCAGTGGCTTGATAGCATTCAGGATTTCTTCTTTCGTTGGAGGATTGGCGTCCACTGACAGACAGTGCGCGCTGTTGATGGTGGTGGTATGGTGAGAGCTAGCCAAAAAGGTAGACATTAATTTACGTCAATGTTTATGTCCCAAATATTGGTCGTGAGAAAAATAAGAACAAACACTTTGCGTAGGCGGATACAGTTAGCATACAGATGATCTGATGTTCAAGAAACAGCCACAAAGAGATGAAAGATTAACTTTCAGTGAGAAACAACCAATCAGAAGACTGTGTTTTTCTGTTAACAATAATCAATAATATGTACATGAAAATATTTAAATACGTGTTGATTTCCTTAATAAACGATCTGTTGCCTGGCCCTTATCTTCTGTTACAGTGGTATTTCTGGGCGAGTTGGAGGTGATGGTCAATTCAAGAGTTCTTTGAAGTGATCAGCCCATTGTTTGACTTGTTTCTCCTCCTTGATGACCAGGTTCCCTTGAGCATCTTTTATTGATTTCATCATGTGGGTTGATCTTTTTCCGGATAGAGACCTGGTTATTTGATATAATATCCTGAGATCTCTTTTGCCTTCGACCAGCCTGTTCTGCTTCAGTTGACGGCTAGTGTCGTAGCATTGGTTTTTGTCTTTCCTAGCACTTCCCTTCACTTCTTTATTCAGTGCAGTTAACATTGAACTCAGATTCTCCTTCTGTTGTGCATTGAGTCATCTCTCTCACCATCCTCCTCTCCTCGATTAGCTTCCAGGTATCCGTTGAGAGCCATTCCTTGTATCGCCTGTTCTTTCTTACTAGAAAAGTTGTTCACATTCCCTTAAATATTGCTTTCAGAGAGTTTCAATATTCTTTTACACAGGTTTCCTTGGTGACAACACGTAGTGTGTTCAACTTTGCTTTGATCTGATCATTAGCGAAGGCATCCCTTATAGTTTTGTCCTTCAGTTTCTGAATATTGAACTTGAATTGTGGTCAGCCTCCATTTGTTTTCATGGATTTTAGCTTCACCTTGGAGGTTACTTGAACTAGATGATGGCCTGAGCCCACATCTGCTCCCCTTCTCGACTTTGCATACAGCTGCGTCTCCACTTCCTTAAGATTGATATGAAATCCATTTGGTTTGTGGTTTGTCCGTCAGGCGAATTCCATGTTGCTTTGTGTATATCTTTGCGTTTGTACACGTTGCATCCGATCACCAAATCATTGAAATAACAGAAGTCTGCGAATAATTCTCCGTTCTCATTCATTTCTCCTACCTAGAGTCTCTCGGCCCATGATGCATTCTCTTCCTGTATTATCAGGTCTCAGTTCGACGTTCATATCACCCATAAGGATTTTGATTTCACTATTTGGGATGTTGTCCATTACTGTTTGTAGTTATCTGTAAATGTCCTCTTTCTTGTCTTGCTCCGCGTTGTTTGCAGCACTGTGCGTAGCATTGGATTATTGTAACTTTCCTTCCTTTTGAGTTGAATCTTGCTGTCGTGATCCTGGATGAAATTGGTTCCCACCGCATTATGGCTTTTACTGCCACTGGCGACATCATTACAGCCACTCCTGCAGTGTGTTCATGGTTGTCGTCTGGGTGGCCGGAGTAGATTACTGACTCTCTAGTTGACAGTTTTGACAGTCCACTTTCGTTCCATCTGCTTTCGCGGATACCCAGCACTTGTACGTCATATCTTCGCATTTCTTTGGCTACCCTTCTCAGTCTCGTAAATTGTACGGACATTCCACGTCCCCATTCTTATTCTTGCTTTCATCAAGAGAAGACACATCGGCTGACTGGCTTCCCGATGGCGGGCTTTCATCAGCCTGCTGTGTTATTTCACCTGTCTGATTCGAGCGAAGAATAAGATTGTTGTCATGTGGACCTTTTATATTTTTAATATATTTTCCGTGTTTTGAAGTTTTTCTAGCGGTTTATAAGATTTAGTAGTGTGGGCTTGCTAGCCTCATACCCAACCCTCCCTCTTTACCCGGACTTGGGAGCGGCTAGAAAACTAGCGGGCTAGTTAACTAGTCGAGGTCTGAAATGCTTGTTATTCCTCAGTGAACAATTAAGGTTAACGTTCATTTAAGTTTCGATCACGTATTGATTTTATTTAGTGAGCCATTGAAAACCAGGAAGTACAAGGTAGTACTCATTAAAGTTATTTCATGATTTAACTTGAAATCAGTCAAATTTCCCTGCAAACCAACACTTGAAAATTAATCACAATGCTCACTAGTGACTGACTGCAGGATGGAGTAGACTGATGTCGTTACCCTGTACATTGAAGGCCCAGGGTGCGGTCCTTGATGGTGTCATGGGTGTTCACTGATTCTGAAGAGTCGCGGACTAGGATGACACAGTTGCGCAATGCTTCCTGCTGGCTTTCAGTGGTCCTCTAGCTAGAATCCTCTCGTGATCACAATTGAAATCAGTCAGATTCTTTTAAAATAATACTTCGAAGTTTAATTGAGTTTGTGAAGTAAAAGGGAAAAAACACAGTCGAAGTCAAACTCATATTGAAGAACTTACCACAAGATCCCTTTCTCCTATGCTTTAATGGCCTTGGAATAACTTGATTATAACTACTGTCAATCAGATTTGGTGATAAACTTTTCTTGAACAATTCCAATCGATGAAGACTATCCCAACCAGCAGGACTTCAAATGTTTCAAGTCAATTGATGAAAAGATTATTGTTGTGTGAAATCAAAAAAAAAACAAAAAACAAAACAAGTAAAGCAGAGCGAAAAGGAAGCAACAGCAAAGACTTCAACGTATACAACACGTGGCTCATAATTCATCGACTTCTAAAGAATTGAAACAAACATACAGGTCTTATTTACAGGTTGGTATTTCATTCTACTATGTAGCCGATTTAAGATGATGTAGTATATACTACTGATTGATTTGCGTGAGTAGTTCGAAGTACATATGTCAAACAATGGTGCTAACTAATCAGATTATAGTAATCTGAACACTGAATGGTTATATTTGCTGTTTGGAGCCAAGCTCACCGGGAGTATAATTCGTTAGCTTACTCAGTTCACGGAAGTGAATCACCTCAAACCATGCAGATGATGAGTTAGACTTTTAAATCAAATTCGGAATTTGCTATTTACTCAGTTCGAGGTGGAATTTCACAACTGAAACTATTCAGATCACAGTGAATGTGTGATCTTTTCAGTTCCATAAATGATAAAAATTAAAAACAATTCAGCTAAGAAAATTTTCCTTATTGACGAAATCATCCTCAGAGGCTGTACAATCGTATTTATATTTACCAATAATATATATTTATAGGGGTGACATAATTGAACATTGAATGATTGAACTGAATAATTTATAACTTTTATTTTTACTTTTGAAGCCAATTTTAAGTAATTATATCAATTATTTCACGCCCCCTATCACTTATTAATGGACTACTAGACATGATTGGTTAATGTAAATACGAATGAACAGTGATTTGATGATATTAGATGGTTGGAGGCGATTGGTAGTAAGCCTTGTCTGACCTAGGTTTCGTGCTAGTTGCCACTCATCAGTAAGGCATATCTGCAACTGTCTAGAAGGAACTCATATCCCTTCTGAGATCCGAACCCGCGTCACCCAGCGCTGCAGTCAGAAACGTCACCACTGAGCTATTCAGGGTTGCAGATACAGCTTGCTGACGAGTGCCAAGTAGCACGACACCGAGGTCAGGCAAGGATTCCTGCCAGTTAACTCCAACTATATAATATCATCAAGGCAGTGTGCGTTATGATGGCGAGTTACTTAGAATAGTGGCCACATTGTAAACCTGACTGATAGAATTCCGTCTGCAATGAAGAAAGGACTAGACACATCACACTAGTTATTAGTGTCTAGTCAACGAATGTGCAGCCTCTGAAGATGACTTCTTCGAAAAAGAAAGTTTTATTCATTGAATTGTCTTTTGTTTTCTTCATGATTCAACGGGTATTTTTGCTGACCTTAAATAATAACCAAGAAAGCAAGCACAAATTCGTGGAATAATATATTACTAATCAACCGAGATGAGTAGTGTGTATACGACTCACAGCAACTAGTAGTACATACTTGTGGTGTTTATATCACTTCAATCCGGTTGGCAAGTATTACTGGTTAGTGTGAGTGATATGCTACTACTCATCTCAATCAATCAGTAGCATATAATCTTACGAGTTTAATTTTTATTTATTATGATATAATCATAAAATATTATATGTGCCCTAGCAGTTGAAGGCAAACCGCTGGTATAATGACGTGCAGCATGCATGACATTCACGGACTGGAGGAATTGTGACATATTAACAATTTAAGAGCTAACTATCTTAGATAATTTCACAATCGGTTAATAATTTTCTCCTATTCTTCCACTTTATTTTGCATGATTAGAATGATCATAGACAGACAATTAAGTATCACTGATCTATTCTCATGAAAGCCAATTACAAATCGAGGCTACTAAGGTGAAATGGTGACCTGCTTAATAGATGTAGGTCAGCTGGTAGAATACTAGCCTAGTAATTCAGAGAATGCTATTTTCAATATTCCAGCTATCCAAATTTCACTCGACCTACAGTCCCCACCCGTTTGCTACATCAGCAGTAGTCTGCCAACCCAAGACAATTCTAGGTAGTCATAACATCAGATATTTCTATAATTATCTCCCAGTTAACTGTGATACAAAGGCGTGAAATATTTTGGCCACCTGTTATCAAAACAAAAACCTTAAAAGAAGCCATTAGTCAAAAGTCCCAGATACTTTTTCCACTGCCCAACGATAATTTCAAGGTTTAACAGTATATTTAGTCCTGGTTACACAGTTTCAACTGAGGCCAAATATAAATGGAGTTTTCTCGATTCCTGCTCCCTTAAGATCAATAAATTTCCCAATTCTAAATCAAAGGTAGTAATTGGTAATATCACTTAAAATTATACCGGACATCTAAAATAAAACAAAGACCAGTGGATATCTAACAGCAGAAGACTAGAAACTTGATAAAGGATTGTTTATTCGGAATTCGGTATCGCTGTTTAGAGAAACTATGTACACCTTATCTGAAGATGGTCATTTGCACAGATCTTCAGTGTTGTCACTACTTCTGTCTTTCATATTGCCGTTCTTTGTCTTCTTTTCATGTCTCCCATATTCTACCGCAATGCTGGTTCATTTTAGTCTATTTGTTGTCAAATCTATCTCTCCGCTATTTGATAAACATCTCTTTGTAAACTAATGATAAATCTTATCACTAGCATACACCACAAATATGTTTCTGATAAATTATTTTTTTGATTTTTATGATGCATAACACAATTAACTACTGATAGATTGATATGAGTAGTTGAACACCACTCATACTGATCAATAGTGCTTGCTAGCCAGTCAGATAGAAATGTTAAATAAAGTCTTTGAATGAAGAAATATTTCTTTGCTGAACAAGAACTGAGTTTCCTTATTTTTTTTAATTTTACCGAGAATTGGTTAAAATTTTTAAAACTATTATAATCAAACAACACAAATCAAACTTTTGTATGCGGAAAGGAACAGTGATTAATCTCACTCTACCCTGGAAACACTGTTTCCTCCATTTGTTACATAATTTCATATTCTCTTTTCTCTTTTTATTATTTCTAATCCACTTACCTTAACTGACTTAAATGATTACAAATCCCTTCTGATTTGAAACTAGTGTGATGTGTCTAGTCCTCCGATTGGTGCAGACTGAATTCTATAAGTCAGGTTGTAATGTGGCCACTATTCTAGGTAGCTCACCATCACGGTGTACATTGATTTGATGGTATTAGATGGCTAGAGGCAATCAGCAGGACGCCTTGTCTGACTTCGGTTTCGTGCTAGTTGGCACTCGTCAGCAAGGCGTATCTCCAACCTTGAAGGAACTCATGTCCCTTCAGAGATTCGAACTCGCGTCACCCAGTGCTGCAGTCAGAAACGTTACCACTTATAGAATTCAGCCTGCACGGAAGATAGGACTAGACACATTATACTAGTTACTGACTAGTGTGCAATCAAAAATATCCAATACAGTCCTACAGGAGGTTGATCGCGAGCCTGAATAGTTCAGTGGTAACGCCTCTGACTGCAATACTAGATGACGCGGGTTCGGATCTCAGAAGGGACATGAGTTCCTTCTAGGCAGTTGCAGATATGCCTTGCTGATGAGTGCCAACTAGCATAAAACCTAGGTCCAAGGCTTCCTGCCGATTGCTTCCAACCATCTAATACCAACAATTCACTTCTGAATTGTTTCTTGTATATTACTCAATCTATTTTCCTATATGTTACTGAGTAGGTCATATATATGTATATAGGCTTTCTATTCGGTGATGTGAGAAGCTTCAAAATAAAATGTGAGCATTTATTTCACCGGCAGTTATGAAAAATCCCCATGTCATGTAGATAAGATCACATGAATCAGCAATGAAATCTCTTTTTGTGACTTCACTTTAAAGCTGTACAGTTAGTAATTCAGGTGGTTTATCATATACAAACTTAACTCACAAGAAACGTCACAGTTAATTTTCCACATATTAACAGAATAAACAAAAGTATCTAAGTAATATTACTGTGTGAATAAATAGTGAATAATCTTACACAATCAAGAGACATTTGACAACTAACCAGTTGAGTGATGAATAATCATTTAGAAAATTATTGATAGGAAACAAAAGGTGAGAGGATTAAAAATAAGTCTTAATAAGAAATAAAAAGGATTATACAGAATTTATTATACAACTATTCGAGAAAACAGAAATTCTTGCTAACTGACCATAACACTGACTTCTGTTGTGGATCAGCCTCCCTTAAATAGCTGTACAGCTTTGAAGCAGAGTTATTAAAACATAAGGAGATTGTTTTGCCGACATATTTATTCTTCTTTAATTCAGTTTCAGATCTTCATTTCGATTGGTTGAATCGGTGTGCTCGGTCTCAGGCTGACATATCGGCTCCTTGTGCAGGTGCTTCGACGATGTTTGGTCATGTAACATGAAATTAATGAGTGGCCGGTGACTAGCAGTGAAATCTAGGATGTGCATTTCAACCTGTTCGAAACCTATTGGCTAGAAGCACTTACATTCGTCGAAACATCTCCACAAGCAGTCGACATGTCAACCTAAGACCAAGCACTTCAGCCCAATTAATCGATGAGAAGATCTAAAATGGAAGTATGTAATCAATAAGGCCCGTTGCACAAGAGATGGCTCTCGTGGTCTAATGAATAACGCTTTAGCAGTTGAAACTATGGGCACTGGGTTCGGGCCTCAGTGTGAACACCATCAATAATTAGCTGGGGAATGCAGGTACATCCGGATAACGAGTCCAAAATAGGACGAAATGCGCTTCTTGGACTCCCCTGCTATTCACCATCCACCAATTAACTCTTTTTATTCTGAATTACCCTGCGAATCTTGTTATTCTAGTTTAAAAGTGATGAGCAGATGTGTGATAAGAATTCTGAGATTTGTTACGCAACAAGATTACACACGTTAGATATTGTTGATTTATCGAATATCATAGAGGTAGCTGATTACTTCTAATTGGCCAAAATGATGCTTCGGCGTCACAAATCAATGTCAAGTAAATTAAGTGTATTTCTCTGAAAATAAGACGTATTTTCCCATATTACATAAGCTTA